AGTCCTTTGATTAGTGGTCACATATATTATCGTAATGTTATATCTATTAGTTCACATAACTTACTAGCTCAATTGATAATAGAAGTTGATCATCTATATAAACTAATTAGCTTTGATGGTTCGTTAACAAGCTTTAATAGCATTTACATGCTTCAGCGACATAGACTTGTTTAAACATCAAGCTCTAGCAAATATGACCTGTAAATAGCGTAAATATACATTGACTAACAATACAATCAAGGACTAAATAGTTCTCTGGACCTAATTATCAGTGTTCCTTCACCTAACACCTCATCCTGTTTTAAACTATGCACTATCCTGTAATATCTTTTCTTCTGACCACTGCCTGCCTAATTTCATATTTTCGAGTTCCATTGCCAAACAACAAGGATGACACTTCTCTAAAAACATACGGTGAGTTTCAGCCATAAGTTTTCTGCAATCATAAGGTCATTTTAGATAGCTCGTTCAATGGCGACCACACAATTATCTGGATTCATTCGATTGTTCTGATCCGAGCGAGTGGCAAAAACGTCAACAGCATCAAGCACCCCGGAATTAATTGCCATACTGCATGTTTTATTCTGGATGCTTTTGGATCAATACTACTCACGAATGGCGTTATATATGTCGTCCACTGAATAATCTAAATTTCAAAAATAATCCAGGCGAGTTCAGCTATTTTACTGGATGATTTTTTTTGTACTTAACATGTATATGTTTTCCAGTTGCTTTTGCCATATATTTGTAAGTGTCCCTAGGCTAAATGCAGTAACTTCTTATGGAATGTTTATAACGCATCATATTCCTGCCTGGAGTTTCACAAGCAGTCTTAACTCTAAAATTGTTTATCTGGTCATGTTCATTATTTTCAAATTGTCATATACGTCAACAACCTGCTTGTTAACCTGGCCCGTACATACGTTACACTATATCTTCATGTCTTCTAAATTTAGAAATCATCTGAATCGCCTTTAACGTGTATAAATAAACCCATCATAGTCGTTGTTGCTAATCGTATTTGGGTTTATGGATTGGTTTATCATAGTAGCAGCCTAAAATGCAGACATAGTTTAGATAATTAGATTACAAATTTAGGTACTATCAACTGCACTAGTAAAATAACTAAATCCCCAGGTAGCTGTTGGCTAAACAAACGTTTAAAATCAAAACTCCGTAGCCTACTAGAATTAACACTAAACGAATATTTCTGAATTGAAATTTATAATTAAATTAGGCGTCTCGGATTCTGTAACACTACAAATTTCTGATAATTTTGAATCACCTAAAGCAAAAATACCTATTTTTCCACTGGCTAATCCTCAATCAACACTATAACTAGTTTAACATAATAGTTTCAGGATATCGTCATAAAGCATTGTCATGACTTGACAATCACGTAATATGATTGATAATATTAATGAAACTATTAACATAACCGGTCATCAAATCGACTTATAATTATCACTAGTGTTGTTTTTCTTTTATCTTCATTCACTACAGATGATTACAGTATGTTTCTCTATCAGTTGCTCATTCAGTAAATATCTCAAAACCTTGTCAGTCTAATTGATGGTTTAGCGACACAATCATGCATGCAAATAATCAGTATAGGCAGTCGAGCAAATCTCCTGCAAACTGAAAACATCAATGTCGAATTTACCCCAACACTGACTAAGGTTCAAGCCATTATCATAGACATGAGTTGGGAGTGTACTCCCCTTGGTTACAACTTATGTACTCCCTGATAATCACATGAGCATCACTTACGGTTAATCATCTTGTAAAAACGTATTTGGCCGAGTACATCTTACAGCACCACATCACTTAGTAATGTGACAGGCTTAACTGATTTCAGTAACTTATAATCACCATATCTCATTTAAATCGTATTCTGCCCGCATACGTGCAACTAACTTGTATGCCCATCAGCCGGCAAGTATAAATATAAATAAATAGTCTATCGCAGATCAGAACATTGAGTCTAGAGCATGTCTCTTACGAACACACTCATGTTTAACGATTTGTTTCTAGCTATCTGTCCAAAATCCATATAATTATCACTCATGTATTTAAATTTTATTTTGATAACCATTCATGTGTATTAGTAGTATTACTAAATTCTATCACGGTCAAGTAAAAATGAGTTTGAGAAAATCTCCTCGTAACTAAATAAACCGTATCAAACTAACTGGAACACTAGTTGGAATTCTTTTCCACGGTATACTTTTGTTCCTTCAGTTAGCCTACTAATACAGATGCAATTGGAATTCAACTCATATGGACAACTTACCGGCATAATCGTTATTCGATTTCATAATTTAAACCAAAACTAATACCAATATTAACATTTCTACAATATTCATTATTTTAATATTTCTAAACACAAAATACTTACTACCTATACGTTAAGTTATTAACCAACGGCTATTAACACGCATCATCGTTTTATTATTATTATTGTAATCCCATTTTTTATAGTTCAAATAATCTTCAACCAAATTTTCATTTTAAGCGTGTTAATCATGGAAGCAGATATTTTAAGATTATTACATGTATTTCCCGACCAGATGCTGCCGTCTTTTTGATTTATCTTTCAGCTTATCAATACCCGGAGGATCCTTATTATCCTTGGTAACCTCCGGCACACGACGATCCCATCCAATTTGGTATCGAACCAACATCACGTTGATTATGGTGGGAGAGTAGTGTAGTGGCATTGGACAATAGCCACACAATCCACAAAGCTGTGAACACGAGACTACTCAGAAAATAGATATTCAATATTTAACGCGGATAAATACCTAACGATGGAGAAGGCGCGGAGAATGAATTGAATGGACTGGAGTTGAAAGAGTGGCATGGCTCGACCATGCGGGCGTGGTCTCTGCTGAATGTGACCTTTTATCTTCTATTCATATTAAATATATTGTTCTTTCTCTAGCCTAACCTTGTTCTGCATCATATATTGGTAATTGATACGATACAGTGAGTTGGTGTAGTGGATAATTGACAGTGATTAAACAGAAAGATGAATTTATAGTTAATCTTGTCTCGCTTACATCAATGTATAAATTACAAACAGGTATGCGTTCGTGTTGCCTTGTGGCTATACTTACGAGTGTTTGATATTTAAACAGACATATTACACAGGAGCATTTACATGCTGCTAATGATTGGTAAAGTAGATACAAGCAAAAGTAAGACCACCGTCGCATGGGCCAGTCCATTGAAGTACGAGTGACCGATGCGTGTTGGCCGTCCTTGACCTTGAAAGGAATTGATGATCTGTTCGATATTCAGTGACCCAACTGAAGTAGGTTAAGCGTTCACGGTGGCTGAAGGCCCTGGTCTCGAATCCCGCTGGCGGGATCGTGAATGCGCACTGCTGTGGAGTCGTACAATTGGACGAAACAGCCGTTCAGTGCTTCCAGGTTTCCAACTATGGTCTAACATCAGTCGGTTTATGATCTCAATCAAATCGTTTATGTTTGAAGTTCCGTTTATCTCCCGGAGTAGTGAATCACTGGAATCCCCTACCAGAACAAGTAATATTACCAACTTCTGTTGATACATTGGAAGCGAGACTGGACCTCCACAGTAGTACAAATTGTAAGAATTTATAGAGGTCGATATACCTCTAATCATTATTACTGAAGACTAAGGACAGTAGTTTGTTATAGTCTTCAGTCTTCAGTAACAAGGATAAGAGGTCTATCGACCTATATTGATCCTTGAAGTTTGTAATACTGTGGAGGTCCAATCTCGTTTTGAAAATGTTAACAGAAGGTGCTGATATTACGTGTTCCGGTGGAGAATCCCAGTAATTCACTACTCGGTGCGAGAAACGGAAATCCAGACGTAAACGATTTGATCTCGGTTTTTGAACTTTCTTCGAATGTCCTCTCAAGTGGTCGGTCCTAGACGGAAGCAAGGGATAAGACATGTTAATACCAAGGTCATCGTTTAGTATACGATAAGCTAATATTTGATCACCCCGTATTCTACGGTAAGATAACGGAAATAAGTTAAGGTGTCTCAGTCTGTCTTCACAAGATAGGCCAGACAGATCTTGTACCATCTTAGTACCTAGTCTTTCGACTCTTTCCAGCATATCTGCTTCATACTTGAAACAAGGACACGCTACTTGAATCCCGTATTCTAAATGTGGTCGCACATAAATCGAGCATAGTAATCTAAACATTTCATCGTCTGAATACTGGAAAAACCTACGAATTGACCATAATACCCTATAGCCTTTTGAAGCAGCAGCTTTACAGTGACTAGTGGTTTTGAGATCATTGCTTAATATGACTCCTAAATCTTTATAGTTTCTTACTTTGGGCAGCACGAATCCACGTGGTGTATAGTGGTACGACTCAGCAAAGCTATTTAGCTGCATCACTACACTCTTATTAGAATTTACTTCTAGTGACCACTTGTCTAACCATGCCACCAATGATCTAAGATCATCCTGTATTACCATTCTATCCAACATACTATGTATGGGTCTCCAAATCTTTATGTCATCAGCGAAGAGAAGGACGGGTGATATTGCTACAGTCGGCGATTCATTTACATATAGTAAAAAAAGAAGAGGACCTAGAATTGTACCTTTGGGAACCCCACTTTTTACAGGTACCCACGAGGAGAGAGCCCCATTAACCCTTACCCTTTGTCTCCTGTCATGCAGAGAGTTACTTATTCAATCCACGACTGTATAATGGATTCCAAAACGTTTCAGTCTGAATTTAAGACCAGAGTGTGAAACCTTATCGAAGGCCTTGCTTAGATCTATGAAAATCACATCCACAGGAATATTCAAATCGTTTGCAGCAGCCCAATCTTATAATTTACCATTATTTTTCTTTTTAATCATTAAATATACTTAGTTTCTTATCTAGAAGCACCCGTTACTAACTATCAATAGATACGGAAGCCAGTTAAACAACAGCTTATTCTGTTCCGTCCAGAGCCATTTGAACCATTTGAACTCAAGGTCTAGGTCAAGCCGCTAGATTTTATTTACTCGAAAGGATGGTTTTCGAGTCGATTGTTGTAGAACTTATCAATAGGTACTTAGGCTCATATATAGAAGCACTGAATGCATCTCAACTAAAAATTGGTCTTCTTGGAGGTGGGTTTAGTTTTGTCTAATTAATTCAATTCAGGAAATGCTCAGCTTGACAACTTGGACATCAAAGCTAATGCTTTCGATGATTTGGATTTACCTGTCAAAGTCTTGCAAGGTCACATAAGTAAGCAAAAATTACTGCATCTACTTTTAGGTTCCTTAACTCTTAAAATACCTTTTAAAAATCTGTTCACGGAACCTACTATTGCTGAGTTAACGGGGCTTTATGTTCTCATTGTCCCAAACATAGGTAAGACCACACCCTGAAGTAGAATATTTCTTCAGCTATGAAATATGACGAAGCGAAAGAAAAGCGCTACGCCAAAGAATTGAAACAAAAGGAGCTAGTTGGTTTGGAGACGGCTCGTTTGAAACCTAAGAATTCGAGTAGTATTTTAAAATTAAATTAACCATTCAAACTCCCTCAGATGACTCCAAAGCAGATTCTTTTGGTGAAAAGTTAGCAGCACAAGTCATCAAAAATCTACAAATTTCCATCAAAGATATTCATATACGATATGAGGATAGTTTTAGTATCCCAAATCGTACTTTCTCTCTTGGTCTAACCTTAAGTGAACTAACATTTCAGGTAAAATATATGTTGGCTTACAAATCCTTTTAGACGTGCGATATTAACCAGAAGCCTATTTTTATCAAGGATGAGTCCATTCGTCAATTCATTAAAGTTTGTGCAATAAATAACTAATAACCTTACAGTTTGTAAAACTTACAAGTCTTGGTGTGTATTGGAACCCAATGTCCACGAAGTTTGCAGAAAAAGCAAAAGTTCCTCTTCGGGTATGTCAGTCAGTACTTGTAGAGTGTTTTCTAGAGTGCTATGCGCAACTCAATCGCCAGCCCAGATAATCTTAACACAGGCTTTCATTACTGTACGTTTCGTAACAATTTTATATTCATTTTCAGTGGTAAAACCGATTTCGTCCACGGCAATGCTTCATATTCACACAAGACCAGAGGAGACAAATTACTCTATACCACAGATGGACTTGGTTATTAACTTTGCCGAAATAGAATTGTGTTTTAGCCTTTCTCAATACCATGATATTACTTGTTTTTTGGAAGCTCAGGACAGAATAGTAACCCAGGGGAAATACCGTAAATACAGACCGTTGACGCCGATTTCACAGAATTACAAAGTCTGGTGGGTTTTGCATGTTGGTTTGGTAAATGAACTCTTCATCTAAGTTCCTCTTATAATTTTTAATCCTATATATATATATATATATATATATAATATAATATAATCTCACCATAGGATTACCAGACATAATAAATGAACCGTTCATGTTTATTAAACTTAATAAGCGTGATTAAGCGAACAATTACAGTTGAATTCTGTATATAGGTGTTAAAAACACAGCGTATATTTGTGGAACTAGATCCCAACATAAATTTCGAAACAAGATTCCGAAAACGACAATACAAGTTGTACCTAAATTTTTACTGTCGTTAGCTAGATATTGCATATTAAGACCGAATAATGAGTAGGGCTCTTAGCATCTCCGCTGGCAAGTCGTTAAAAGCTATGGATTTTTAAATAATCCAAAACTGGGAAAAGGAAAGGGGCTTTGACGAAAGCCAACAGTTTCAGTTGGCGCTTCCGGCTACTTGTTTAAAAAACTGGCAATTTAGTTTCACTTCCGAACTCATTCTATTTACTTCAAATTCACATCTTCAGTCCTCACAATGTCTCCATATTAAGTAAATAAACCTGTACTCAGCAATAGTTATGTAGGTTTTAGAGTTTGTGTATCTAACGTTTTCTGGCTATCAGCGCAAAATTAATATCATGCCCATTGCTGGGATCTAGGTATACAGGTTACTTGTCAGTTTCGTAATACTACCACTAAAAATGTTCCTATTAAATTTAGGGTGATAGTGTTGAAAAACCGGAATTTTCATAGATCACATTAATTTATGTCTTCATAAGATTACTCTAAAGTGTAAATGAAATTATTGCTTTCATCAAATATAGGTGGCAGTTTGCATACAACGCTGTTTTGGAGGAGTCTGTTCGTCGTAGACGTCTCATGTGGTCATGGGAACATATATCAAAACATAGAAAAATATCGAGAGAGTATATTGCAATCTGGAGAAAAAAGCTGTATGGAGATAAACTCAGTCAGGCTCAGTTAGCTAATTTAGAGGTAAAAATCGCTCAAAAAGCTGATCCTATTTTATCTCTGAAATTGATATATTTTTAATTGCCTTTTCATCAAGTGAATTTATCATACTTTCTGACCAATTTTTACAAATTTGAGGGTGTACAGCAGTAGTAAGAATACAATAATTCAGTTCATTATTCGATGTAATTAATGTAACTCGTTTGCTAATTATATCCTCGCGTTTGAACATCAGTTTTTTTGAAGGCTAGTGATGCTACTTTCCTACTGAGACTTAATTAATTGAACAGGTTTTAAAATTTGAGGCCTATTAGTTTTAAAATGAGTACTTTAACCACTAAGCGTCCACATTGTTGTGTTAAAACGTTCAACTGTACTTTCTTGTACTAATAGTATAGGTCAGCTTTGTCATTTCACAAGTTATTTGTAAGTGTAAATCAATTGATAGAGTTGCTAACATTGCACGATTTCGCTTCTCATTTTTGGACTGTGGTCATAGGTCCTCCATTTTTTTAATCATTAAACTATCCAACCCAAAAAATGCAACGGCGCTAAAAAAGTGTATTTGAACTTTAAATATTTTTTCATTTCGAGATGTGAATCATCCTCAATAAATTTGCATCGTAATATAATTTTGGTGACCAAAGTCATAGGACATTTTATTTGATGACTAGTTTTTTCCCCTTTCTCACTTTTCATTTTAGGCATATGAAGAGTTTCTGGATGTTTTCAATATTGTATTATGTCGACAACAAGCTGAACTTCAGGTATACATCTTTAAATGATTTTATAAGCTTAGCATGTTTCTATAACCTTTATACGGATTTGATACGTATGGATAAATCGATGGCGAATTAAATGATAGCGGTTGAAGTTGCCTATCGTTGTCGAATAGTTTTCATAACCATCGACTGTTAACTAACATGGTGTTCCATTCATTCTATTTTAGTAGACTCTTACTGAGTGCTCACACCCTGTTTTTTTAGATGAATAACCTAGCACTAAGTACTTAACATCAATGTAACCTTGTTTACTGTTCGAAAGTTAACGAGTTTTTACGTAATTCACCTTTACTGAATATTACACAAGCTTGTGACTTGTATTTTAAAAAATGAAGTTCGACTTTACCATACGGAAATAATCTGCTCTCATTTATATGTAGATTATAGTATTTTATCTGTCGCATATTGTTTTCTAATTCGTATTTTCCCTTAATCAAACAAAGTATTCCGAAAAGAAAGTAAAAAAGCGGAAACCACGTTTTAAGAAGGTATGTTTGGCGTCGCATCTATTATTTGTCGTATCATCAAAGGATATTGTGATGTAGTACCAGTGGTGTTTATGCTTATCGTTGTACTTTAGTTGGTTGTATAATTATGTTAATTTGTTTTCTTCTTGATAACTTATGAATAAAGAGTTGTGAGATTTATATTCAGATGTTACAAAAGTTTAACTTAAGTTAGTGGTAATCTTTTGCACTTATATCATTAATATATTTAGATGTATAAACATATTTTGTATTACTTGTTAATGTTGTGGTATTTGTAACATTGCAGATTTTTATTAACTAAGTCTTCTTGACAATTATCTGTCTATTTTCATGACATGTTGATTTAAGGCAAACACTTATTACAAATATAAATTTATTTAATTCTTTGTCAGGTTTTAATAATAAACATGTCCTAGGGTGTTGATCAAGTCTAAAAATACCAGTCATTGCACTTGGTTTGATGAATTCAAAATACAGCGTTGTTCACAATTCTTTTCGATAAGGCACTTCAAAATATACCTAGTACTTTATTTCTGATGGTTGTTTAAACGGGATCTAGTTGTTATTCAAACATTGCATATCTTGACACTAACCGTTTAATTAATCGAAGATCTCAGGTGACACATGCCTTGAAATTGATACAGGTGCATGTATTATTTATCTTCTCATACAGTTTCGATATTATTTCATACTTCTCATTCCCTTCATTTCTTATTATCGAATCATATTTTTTACTATCATCAGCACCACTACTACTTCAATATGTTTGTCGTCCACTTTGAAAATCTAGTCTCAATGTGCTGGTATGATTTATGAACTTATGTCGGTATTCCTTTATCCAAGGATATACGTTATTTTTGACGGACTGATTAACTTAAACTAACCAATGAATTTTAAAACCTTCATGTTTAAAGTGTATTATAAATCCAAAGTGACGGTTTACTTTCTACTGAAGAATCAGAGATATTTTTGTTGTTAGACTGTTGCTACTTAAATTTAAGGTCCCCCTAAATCTAGGCTTCGACACCCACTATGTTTTTATCGTGTAACAGTTTAATTTAATTAATTTGGATGTTATCTACACTTTATAATGCCCCGATGGGTTAGATTTAATGTAATTTATAAAAGATACTGCCTAACATTAATTAACCATTTACTTTTAACATATCTTGGCTATAATAATGTACATAGCCAAAGTGTATTGAGAAGAAATAATAACGAAAAAATATAACTAAACCTTGCCTGGAACACCAATATATCCATAAAGTTTTTAATATTCTGTAATTTATTAGTATAATTTTTCACAGTAATAAAAAAGTTACAAAGTTATTAGAGGTATCCTTTTTTTTATAACTGCATGATGTACAACACCAATCACTCGTGTATTTTCGTCAGATTTTCGGTAGCATACAGTACGGAGGTAAAAAAACCCTGTGGCGAATTTTTTTTGTCATTGTCGTTGTTATTATTTGTTGTCTTGAAATATTCCTTTTTATGTGAACATTTTTTCCTCCTATTGTACTTTATACGATATCGAATAATTTTGTGCATAAATTGATCCCATATTAAATATTTCTATGGTTATGCTCCTTTAACTTACAGAGTTAACGGTATTCCCCTTTTGTTTTCTGTCTTTCTTTTAAAACTAAACTGTCATTCATATTTTTCATATTAAAATAAACAACTGAAATTTGTCAACTAATTTATGATTACAAACGAGTTAATTTCAACTTTTATTATAGTGCATCAGCGTTTATTTACTTAAACCGTCAATATGACATAATTTAATGAAGCGTTTTGAAGATATTTTGTTGTGTGTGTTGGATGGTTTTTATCATGAAGCTTTCATTAGCTTACTAACCAACGTCATCAGCTTATACTTCAAAATAAAGTGACGTACTCTGGATTGATCAACCAAAGCCACATGGAAAATTACTCATGGTAGCATGCTTCTTTATGGCTCTTCATTTTTTCATTCTTGATATTCAAACCTGAATTGATGGGTAGCTCGTTGTTACGTGTATAATAAATGATCTTTTAAAAACTAATTATTAAAAATCGTTGGCATGAAATTTTACTTTTCAAACTAATGAAAATTAAACAAAGACATTGGTCAATTTAGTTCTATTCAACCGATGCAAATGATTTGTGGTAATTTTTAATAATCATCTTTTTTTCTTTCATATTTTCTTTGTTCACAACTTTACAGTTTAATGCTTCTAAACAGAAACAGGATCAAAAAGCTAATTCAAAGAGTGGTGGTTGGTTTAGTTGGTTTTCACGTGGTTCTGCCGTTGGATCAGATGATGTGGAAAGTTCGTCAGAAGGTGATTTAATGAAACGTTTGGAAACTGAAATGACATCAGAAGAAAAGGCACATTTATTTGCTGTTATTGATTATTCAGAGTCAGCAGCGTCAGGTGTTTCTGGTTCTGCAATTAATTTCCCAATAAGTTATGTATCATCTTCTATTGCTGTTACTTTAAGACAACTTAGTTTAGTACTTCTAGATGATAAATTAAGGTAAATATAATTTTCTCACTTTTTAAAGTCAATTATGTATGTTTTCTGTTTTAATATGTTGTCTTATTAACCATTTAAGGTATAAAATTTCTAAAAAAAGCTATGATCTCGGGTGTTATTTTCAATATTCGTCTTAGCTTTGCTTATACAATATCTAATGAGTAATTTAGTTGTACTATCTCAGTTGGATACTTTTCATCTGCGAATGATCGTTTCAGATTTCTAATTACCTGTTCAATTTGTTAGTCGGCGTTTCTGTCTTCTTGAATCGACTTGTTTAGTATTTCATGATCGGTCTCATAAGCGAAATTATGCCCACCCTAGTTATCTCAATACTTTTTATTTAATCTGTTCACTCGCTTTAATAACTATTATAAGCGAATATTCATTTTTACAATCAAATTAGTTTCTACTGAAAGTGAGAAGTTTTTATTGAGTCTTTTTTCGAAATATCTTTTTAAAAAATGGGATTTCATTCGAGCTTCTAATCAGTTATAAAAGTATAATATGCTAAATTGAAGGAACATGGCTGGTTTGAGGATCATTTTAATCTAAATCATGATTATTATTATTATTATTATCATTATTATTATTAGCGCATCTTATTTCGTAATATCTTTAGAATACTTTGTTTTTTATATTCTTATTCTCTCAGTGATCCTAATGTGCTGAAATTCTCCGTGAATAAACTCACTGCCGATGTTAAACAACGTGCAGGTGACCAAGCTTTAGCGTAAGTGACGTAAAACACATTGATATGGAATGTGTTAACTGTTTGTAATAAAGTAACTTATTGATTATACTATGCTAGAAATTTACCCGACCGTTGCTGCTACCTTGACGTAGTGGTCGGGCTTGTATATCGCGATGAACCAATCGGGCTATACTGGCTGGAACAATCGTTTCTTAAGGTCCTACTATGACAGACAGGTCGGTTGAAGAGCGGTAAGACTAAAAGCAACAAACCCAAGGTCTGAGGGCGAAGTAGTACTGCTGATTGTACAGAGGTGTGATGGCAGTAATGTGTTCCCTTCAGACAACCAGCATCTGCAGCGATGCTGCCTTCCTACAAGGAGGGGTGGGATTAGGAAAGGCCGACCCTAAAAACACACACCTTGCCTTATCCCAAGGGTTTTCGTCTCCGATGATAAGGTTCCAATAAGTACAGAGCTGACACGAAAAATACTCATTAAAGGGTCGTGTGTGACCGACCTCAAGTAGTTGTCCCTTGGGCACTGCGGTCACGCTCAGGTCACTCAGATAAACTCTAACCCAATTTCTTTTTCAGGTACCTTCAGATAAACCCTTCCACCGTGTGGACAACCGGGAAGCAATAACCCCCTTCATACTTTAATTTTACATTCTTTTATGGTGTGCAGTGTCCCAGACGTGTTGCCGATACACAACGTCCTACGCGTTCACCACTCAATCTGACTACTTAGTCGAGAAAAGAGTAGAAGGGAATGTCTATTGAGCAACCGAACAATATGCCTAAATTTTCATCTATAAAATCAATCAACTTCTTAGTCAATGATATGCATTTGTCATCATGTCGTTCCTAATTGTCATCAAAAAACCTCGCTTGGCCACTTTTGATTAGCTCGCTATATCATATTCCTAAATTAATTTGTATCTTTGATTTGAAGAACAATAAAATGTTTTTGTTATTTTTAGTAATGCTGTAATTTCCTGGATTAAGATTTTATTTTAATATGAGAGCGGTTAGAAACGAGTAACTACATAACTCAAAATTCGTCACAATAATGCCGATTCATTAAGTGTTTTATCTTCCTTTAGATCTTGAGTTCCAGTTTTTATTCGTACATAACCTTTTTTTAGATTCTTTCTCGTTGTTTAATATTTCTCACTATCGTTGCTACAACTTTTATTTCGACTTTTTAACTATTCATCTGGTTAATTCTATCTCATCTATTGTGGAACGGGAACTTTGGCTAAGGCACATTTGTGCCAGACTACGTTGATTGTGACAGTAACTGGTTGATATCGGCTAAGACACCATTAATATTATTAAATGGTATCCATTGTCCCATTGGCATGTGGAAACTGGTGTCTTTTGGGTTTTTTACGGTGTATTCGCATCATAGTAAAACTGTATCTAATCAGTAACCTAAGATTTTACACCGACACTTCTGTTCTAAATTAAAATAATACAACTTAATTACAATCTAAAAGGTTGTACATAAGTAAGTGAATTCATATTTTACTCTTTTTTTTACCTGTAATCCGATCTACCAGTTTATACAGTTAATAGTGACAAAAGTTATTTATCACTATAGTAATTCGATCTACCTTCAGACCAAACAAAATGTAAATTAAAACAGGATAAACTGACTGTTCTACACTTATCATGTGTAAAAACACAGTTGATTTGTTAGTAATAGTGGTAATAATATAAGTTGTTTATCACAAATAGTTTGATGTACTTGACGTTGTGCCACACTTTTAAGTGTAACAGTAATATTAATCAACTGTCCAAATCAAATTATGCGGAGCGGGGTCTAAACCTTCGAGTTATTTGTCGAAACCCGATCCTTCAGCAGCGGAAAATAAGATTAGTGTATGCAGTAGAAGTATTGGTATTCACCTCTTTATTTCGATGTTGAACTCTTTTCCAAATGGTGATTTGAGCGTATTATACTGCGTATGCTTTAATTTGACCTTATATTCATACTTAGGAATTATACTTACTTAATTTATCATTCTAGTGTCTCATTACGATTGGATAGTCTTGAAGCTTTAGGTGCTCAGCCAACATTAAAAGAATCTTGTCTTGCTAAATCTTCAATCAAGCCTGTTCTGATAACAAGTCATGTAAATCAGTTACTATCCAATGGCAATAACCAAGCCGGTACTACATCGAAGCCCAGTCATCTACTCTGTATTGACTTTGAAAAGAATCCTCTTGATCGCAAAGCTGATCAATGTATTTCAATTCAAGCTGATGCATTGCAAATAGTTTACGATGCTGAAACTATCAATAGAATTGTTCATTTCTTTACTCCACCAAAAGATGTTTATCTACAAGAGTAAGTTGTTTTATGTACCGAAAATCGTCAAATTCATCTGTACAACTCTTATTGTTTTTCATGACCATTGACCTAGATTAGAATTTATTTACGGTTCCTTTAATACGCATACTTTCTAGTATTACTGGGGATCGATAAAGTATGCTCCACGCAAGTGATAGCTTAATGTAGGATACTGGCTTACTTCTGGTCAAGGAGTTGACTATGTTGCTTAGAAATTTTTAGGAAACCGTGTTCCAACATCATGAAATGAAGTGACTATCGTCCCCATATTTATTAAAAGTCTATGTAACCTATGAAACAACTTTCGCGGTAGGTCTACTTTTGATAGAGTCCAAACTAATGGTTCTAACTATACTTTGCATTTTGTACACAATCTGTGGAAGATTGACTCGTTAGGAGCAGGGTAGTTTTCGATCACGTTATACATTTATTGACCACATCTGTATTGGTATTATTTATTTAAATAATTATAATAAACGAGTTATTCAATTCAGTAATCACCCGGATACCCTAAGCTACTTGTCAGAATCATTTTACAGGAGTTAACAATATTACTGAGCCGCTGAAGGTCCAGCTTCTGGACATTTATATGGATCAATTGCAGTTGTTGACTGTTCAACTCATAAACCACTTTGCAGTATAGGTGGACATATCAGTGGTTCGTTTTCCTGCTTTTATGCGGTCAGTATGTTTATTAAGTGATTATATTCCATACAATAACACTTGACTTCTTACTTAAAGAGTACTTTCTAGATGAAATCTAAGAGGACGTATGTTACCATAGCTCTTGTAAATGATATGTCATTACTACGTCGTACAACCAACCAATACGCGTAGACGACACTAAACAACCAATACTCAGCAAGGAATTGGAAGACTGATACTCTATGCCTGACGGTTAGCCCAATGCTAAGTTGTCCCGAACGAAGAGGAAGAATGCAAGACCAATGTTCACCGGTCCAAGATCATTATTATATTTAAGACATTTATTTATATACATACAAGTTCAGATCACTCAGCAGATCAATTGAGTAACGGTATTCACACGGAAAACTAAGTACTGGGTACACAAATAATTGGCCCTAGTTTATGAGTGGAAGATGTTGTAGCAACAAATTATGGTTCAAATAAAGGCTTAGAACTAGGGTAATAAGGAAGTAGTAAAAACAAATTACTCAGTAAAAATGCAATATATATATATATATATATATATATATATATATATATATATATATATATATATATATATATAACCGTAGGAAAATAGCTTCGAAAGCTCTCACCGTGTAGTTAAACCATCCCTTACAGCCGTAATCAATAAATTTAAGTCAGGTATGTTAAAGGCTTATTGAAATATTCTAACTTTTCCTACTACTTTCTCTCATGTTTTCTTTTTCACAACTTTATTTTATTAGGTTATCTAATACAGTGCTGTCATCTTTCGAAGAAGTTAAAGAAGTGACTACGACTGGTCTGAAACATCTGGCCACTAATCGATCTTATACAGATGTTCATATTGACGTTAAACCAAGTTATTTTATATTACCAGATTCTGGGATATACAGAAGGTGAATTCCAAGTTTACCTTTTACTTAATACTGATTTTTCCTCAACTCTATTTATAATTATACATATCAATAATTAAGCCGTACGGAGCGTTTATATATTTCCTGACCGTAGCTGGTACCTTGAAGTTGTGTCTGGGCTTGCCTACTGTAATAACACAATCGAGGTATATTATATAGAATAATTATTCCTCTAGGGCCTACCATGTCACGCTAATCGGTTAGGGAACTGTAAGATTGTGAACAGCAACTCTAGGTTCGGGGGTAAAATCGTATCGCTGGCTGGACAGTATTTTGACAGCAGTAAGGTGTTTCCCTCAGATGACCAACATCTTCAGTGATGCTGCGTTTTCAGAACGGAAGGAAGGGGGGTCATAAAAGGTCAGACCTAGAATTGTCACACCCTAATTTGTTCCACTCATATACTTAAGCAAATCATAAATAACTATATTTACTGGATGGTTTCATTTCTGATTTTGTGTTCAGCTTCGAATCTTAAATAAATAATCAAGCAATTTTGTTTAGTGACTATAAAAAATAAAATCTAGTTGGAATTTCCACTTACATCTGTTGTTTACTGTGAATTCTTGGTAAGTTATTCAGTCATTTTTTGTTTTATTGTACTAAAATCTCCGTGTTAAAGTTGTTAAATTTTGTATCAAGTGAAATAGTAGCGAAATTGTTTATTGAATGTGTAACATTGTGTTATATAATTAGATTATCGGACTGCCAGGTGTTGTCCAAAGAATATCAACTAATTACTTTGTTAGACGATTCATTAAGGGATTTTATGGATCTGTGATTATTTCTGAGACATGAAAAACATATATCCTATTCATTAAATACTAACTATATATATATAATGATGGTAATAATACAGTATATGTGATGTAATTAATAATTAACGTGAATTTTTCTCAACTAGGTGCCTTGATTATCACTTATTTGATAACAATTTGTTTTTATTTATAGTCTCTTTATTATCATTTACACTTTTAATCCCTTCCCTTTTTGTGATTTCACCTTTAAGATATAAATCTAAGCTATTATGTTAAATATTTTGTTCCCTATTGTTTCTTATGTCGTTCCGAGCCAAACTTCACTGATTATGGTGTGTAATAAAAATCTTGCAGCTGGTAGTAAGCCTTAAAGTATAGTGAATTCATGTCATTGTGCAAATCTTGTTCTCTTAATTTAAATTAATCAAAGGATCATGATGTGTGAAATTCACGTACTGCTTCAGAAATAAGTGTCAATCGCATGTATTGTTATGTCTGAACTTGATGGTTGAAGAACACTTCTGTTTATTTTAATGAGATCGCGAATCGATCTAAGTTAGAGAACCATCAAAAACATGAAGACACTGAACGGCCGTTTCGTCTTAGTATAGGACTGCTCATCAGTACCCATCTGCGACTGCTCACATGGATATAGAACTCAAAACCTTTGGTCTCGCGCATGAGCATTTAAACTCGACCAATAAACCCTCATTGTCTATAAGCCTAACTAATCAATCTGCGATATTGCATGACCATCTTCATTGTTTTTGGTGAATAGTTTACTTTACTGGTCACGGCTTCCCCTGATTTGTGTTTGTTTTTTAATTATTGAAGGAATTAGTTAACAGTTAATACAGTTGCCAGTACAGTTTTCTATTCACCTGGTATTTGTTTCTCGATTTACTAATGTTTACGTAATTTTTAACTTTTACCATTTACAGCGATTGCCGTCTGTTGTTGGTAGATCTTGGAAGTTTTACGGTTGATTCAAGTCGTACATCAGTTCCACCAGTGTGCAAAACAGTACGAGATCAAGCTTCATCAAATGATGAAAATAAAAATGGTTCTACAGGAAAAACTGATGCAAAAGAATCCATTTCGAAGATTTCTGGTCAATTGAAACATAAGTCTGGGAAACTAACATTTGATGAATTAAAAGATGAGGCCTATGATAAATTTAACATTAATTTATCATCCGTTCAGGTTATAATGGTTAATGAAGGTAAGCTGTGTAGTGGATTTTCTGGTTTTAATAAAGTTTCAGGTAACAATTACGTCCTGGCTAACAGAATGATTTTAGTCTGTGGTTTGGTCAGTATAGATTACTTATATCATATATGGTTGAATTTCTTAACCTTAGCAACTGCTACTATGAATGGACCGTCGTAATTATCCTCTTGCATAATTCAACAAGTAAGATTTCAAAGATAAATATGGGAAGGTGAAATGAGAAATCTGTAGATCACCGAATCTCCATTCATTGAATTTGATTTCTATGGGTGCGATAGAAGCTATTCAGCATCCAAATATTTTAATGATTGTACTAATATGGAAATAACAAACCGTGGATAATTAAGACTGTAAGGAGCTAACCATCAAAGTTGTTGTCTGAATAAGACTATCTTGTGGTACAGTAAGGATTTGGAAAGCTCACTTATACATGAAATGGAATATACGTGTCCGAACCCTATCTGCAGATGGTGATTCACAGTCTCATTAACTAATCTTTGGCTAGTACTCTATGCCTAACTTCAATACTGTTCATTCGGTTATTTCGTGGTACTCGACCAATTCTTTAGAGGCCTATGACAAAGTATTTGCAACATATGTTTGTGTTTCACTTTCATAGATTGTTTCACACCCGTAGATAAATACAAAGAGGGCACTGTACACTATGCACGGCCGTTTGTTGGTAAACAAAAATCTTGTCTGCACAATTGACACAAGCCGCCAAAAATTAAGCGAGCTTTATAAATTTGTGCAAACGACATTTGGATCATTCATTCAGTTATTCCACAATCAATATTCCCTAATTTCAAAGGTTGCGCTTCACAACTGTAACATTACCGAACAGACTGCTGTTCATTACAAAACTCCTTTAGAATACATTTAGAAACTGTGCGTCACAAGTAATATGAATTGGCCGATTGTTTCACGAATTATCATCTTTTTTTTCAAGATTGTAGATAAAATAAGTTAGTTCTATTTTTAGAAATATTAGAATCCTTTTGGAACAACGTTTATTTATTTATTTGAACAGATAAATATTGGTACAAAGGGGCACCGAATACATATGCTCCACACAAGTCACTTGATTTGTGTGTGGGATATGATACTGCCTGGGTGCTCAGGCCGAAGCCGGCTGTTTCCTTAGGAGAACACACCCTGAGCTTTTGACCTAAAGGTCTAATCCATAAGGCAGTGGAGCAACGTTAGGAGATGCAGTCTCATGATGCCGGTGACCAGCGATTGGTTCATATTTCATTTGTTTCTTCAGGATCCTGTAGTCCATGTACACCATTGGTTTTGGTTCAGGGTTTTTTCAAATTTCTTAGGTGGACCCTCCGTACCCACCACCAACCCGGTTAAAGCGTCGGACATTCGCTTTTCATCCTTTCAATTTCGTAAACACCTTGTCATGAGAAGGCAGTGAGTAGGACTTCCCTGTAAGTGGCTGTATACGCGTGGCCATGTGAGAGCGTTTCGAGAGTGAGATCTAACTGTCCCCACCCTCGGTCGTACCAGGGCATTTGAGGGCTAAAAATAATTGTTTCATTGTTTAATCATACGTAATAAAATGCCAGAGGACACGATTTGTTTTAGTAAATAATATAAATTTTATTTTTATCTCTAAAACGTTTGTTATTATGTATGTTTTTCTTTTTCAAAAAAAACCCAAGGCGATGATTGGAGAGTTTTACGGAAAATGAATAAATCATCAAATCATATATTAAAACCTTTAGCTTTGAGTTGTACACTGAAACGGTGTTTACTACGAAACGATGTGAATTTACCAAGGTAAATAATAATAATAATATCAATAATTGCTTAGAATTGTTTATCCGCTTTCTGTCACTAATCACTTTACAATTCAGTTGTGTATTTATTCGTTTAGATATCAGTTTTTTTCCAATTTATTGTTCAATTTAGTTGAACTGAAAAGCTTTTAGAGGTAAGGTAAACATGATGGTGGCTTCCTCCCTTTTGTTAAGTAAATGTTTTGATTCTGTGAGGCCAAGTTCAATTCTCACTGGTTCATCTAAAATTAATCCTTTTTTTCTGCCTTACAAAAAATATAATCATTGTATGATACAAATGTTTCTGAGCCACTTTCGAGGCAAGGTATGTGTTGTTTACTACAAATATGTTTAGATCGTAGTATCAAATCCCATTCACCATATATAGGTGTATTCGTCAGATAATGAGTAGTACTTATTCTGCCAAGATTGTTTCCACTTGCTAACTTTTTATACTTCAGTAGATGGAATCGAGTTTAAATGATTGATCTGATGTCTAAAGTCAAGTGTTTTGATTGATAACATTGTTAATTGTTTATTTAAATCTCCTATCTATAATAGTTCATTTCCGACTATCGGTTATTAAATAGTTACAATAATTTTAAATAACACATAATTAGTCCTTCAAGACTAAAAGAAAAACATCTGCTATGATGCTTCCTTTTACTTACCTACTTACATCTTTTACTCCTCGTAGAGTATAGGCCGTCAACCAGGATTCTCTGCCTGGGCTCCTTTCCACTTGTTCTCATGTGCTGTTTATTATTCTGATATCTTCCTCCAGTCTCCGGCGCTATGTGTTCTTTGGTCTGCTTCATTTCATTTTCTCTTTAGGATTCCTGGTCAGGGCCTGCCTTGCGATGCTGTTTGGTGATTTCCGCGATGTATGTCTTATCCACCTTCAGCATCTTTTGCTAATTTTTTCTTCAGCTGGAAGTTAGTTTGTTCTATGTCACAGTTGTTGCTGATGATATCCGGCCAACGGATATGAAGTGTCTTACGTCGGCAATTGTTTATAAATACCTGTACATTTTTGGTGGCGGCTGTAGATGTTCTCCAGGTTTCAGCTCTGTACAGTAGGACTGTGTTGACGTTCGTATTGAAGATTCTAACTTTCATATTAGTTGACAGTTAACTTTCATATGTTCTTCAGTTCACATGAGGGACCAAAGGTCCTGTGTTCGATTCCCGCGTGCAAAGTCGAGGATGCTCACTGCTGAGTAGTCTCGTACTAGAACGAAACAGTCGTCAATTACTTTCATGTGTCTAATGCTGGTCTAGCTGAAATCGGTTCACGGTTTCAATGAAATTAACATAAAACTTATGTCATTATTCCAAATTTCTGCGTATGAATTATTCCCATACTAATGTTTCTTATCTTCACATTTTGTTTGTAATTTTAAAAAATCTTCATTTTTAGAGTTATTGTTGATGGTTGTCTACCGGTATTCAGCGTCGATTTCACAGATGCAGTTTTAAAATCATTATACGAATTAATTGTGAATGTTCCATTTCCAGAAGCAGATAAAAGTCTTACTACACCTGCAAATCCTGATGAATTATTAAAAGTAAGCTTATTAGTTTTCATATGGTTTTAGTTAAAATATACTTAGTTGGCATATCATATTATATTTTTAACTGATAGCTTTGTATGTTTATCAATAACATCGAATGTAGATATAGGCATGTGGACTATGGACATAGTACGAAATTGTTATTACTCAAAGATGTTTTATAACTAAACTTTAAGGATTATCATTTAGTTTGGCGGTACACTTTCTTATTTTACTAAATGGTTTGCAGAAATGAAATTTATGTTTCTGATAAATGTGATTAATAATACTACTACAGTTTGTGAATGTTTATTTGGTTTGTGTTACCCATTTATGCATAGCCTTGTTTACGAACTAGGGTTTGTATTGGTAAAGGAATTTACTTTTGCTGAGATATAACGTCTCAGTAGTTAAGGAAGTCGACTTTTAACCGTTAACCCGCGGGTTTTAAACACCGCCACATCAACGGCGGTTTTAACAGACAGGTAGTATCACAAGGTTTTACATAAATAAGAGTGTGGTTCTATACCAACTACATCAAACCGCACTTGGTAAATGAGTTACATTTTTATTAATGTTATTACATATCAAGATCGACTAAGGTGGATGGGATTTGCGATGCTCATGATCAAATACCGCCTAATTTGACGTCTAAAACTGGAGTAGAATTAGAGTGTATGGGAGAGGCCATATCAAGACGTAGCGTTAGCCCATGATTGACTGATGATCTGAGGCATGTTGTTAGGTATAGTTTGCTTGCCTGAAGTACACGCAGTAACCGTGATCAATCATTAGAGACGTTGGGTGACATAACTCATATTCGGTTACGGCACTGCTAATTCATTCACTCTTTATTTTGCTGCAGTTTTTAAGTTTCAGTATCCTTTCAACATACCCAACTGTTCATTCTGTTTTGTCGAGCCATATTTGAATATTTAGCGTCACTCACTGTCTTTGTTACTGTGATCATTTAGACTTGTGTTTGTCCACCTTGTTGATTTCACTTTTGTTATATCCGAGTGGAGATTAAATTACAGGTAACTTCCGAGGACTATTCATGGACTAATATTCTATAAATATTCTTATTGTATAACTATTCAACAATTACATTATGTATATTTATATCCCTCTTATGACAAGCTTTATTTTGGCCTATAATTTATTATTGTACGAGTTACGGTTCTTAAGTTATGTTCAGTTTATTAACTACTGCCTCCCACATTCACAGCCACTTTTTGGGCTTATTTGTGTACAAATATTATTTCCTATTTTATGGTACGTTGCGGTCTGTATGATTGATATATAAACCAAGTATGCCTGAAATAAACGATCTGCTCTGATTCGGAAGCTGGTATTTTGTTCTGGACTCCAGTGGGAGGGCTCGTAGGACAAAGGACCAATAAGGACGCTAAACTGCCCACACCGCTTGAACGTCATTGGTTGGCCTAGTGTGAAGATTCGTATAAGTCGTATTCGGATTGGTAGATAAGTCGTGTGATCGAAAAGTCAGACATCACAAGGCCATAACAACTTTGTCCCGCTAATTTGGGATGTTAACGTAAGTTAACATATATTTGTGTCAGACTCTGCGTTGACTATGATTGATTGACTAACTGACTGACAGATCAAGAAAGTTATAATTATTTATTGACAAACTATATTATTTCTTTCTTACTCAGATGATACATACTTTGCGTGAAAATTCAATATTTACTGCTTATAATTCTGTTGAAAGTTGCCGCTAGTCATGTATCAAAAAATAGAGTATAGTCTACTGTTAGTTGTTTTAAAACAAATCTTGACTGTACTCAATAGAGTAATTCATCACAAATCTTATTCTAAAAGTATTCTGCTTGGACGTTGAAGACATTTTTATCCATCTGTACTAGTTGTTTTATGCTTTTCTCCCTCCATTAATTCTGTTGTCCATCATTTATAGAAATAAATGACAAGGTTAACAGTTATTCTCTAACTAATTAATCAACTTAACTGTAATCCATCATTTGATAGGTGTCGAATTAAAATATATTCATTCCAGATCTCTCGAATTGACCTCTATTGACTGAGTTATTGATGAGGTTTAAATATATCAGACTTAAAGTTCTCAGGTATTTTTTTGTTTTTCTGAATACCATATTGTCTTTTTGTTGTAGTAACTTTATTTTGTTACCAATTTGTACCAAGATATTTTACATGCGTAAGCTTAACCGATTTCAAATCATGATAATCTACAATGCTAATTTTGTATTCTGTTACTTTCTTCTCGCACCACCTCCGCACGAAATAAATAACAATGCAGGATGTTGTAGTTTTGCCTAATTCAATAATGCCTGGATCTGTACTAGCCACTAGAGATTTGCTTAGAGTTACACGTCAACTTAGTCGAAACGATAGTGATTCTACTTTGAGCAGTTGGGCGTCAGATACTGCGGATGATGATTTACGTGAAGAAAGTGAACACGATCGAATCAGTCAACAATCAAAACTAGAAAATTATACTTCTAATGTAAATGATGATCCTCACAGTAGTCAGCTTATGGATAAAAACAAGTCTAAGGTAAGTTGTAATATTTATTATAGTTGATTATTTCAATTCTCTTTAACAATTTCTCTTATATTCATTGCGTATTTAAATGTTAACTCGATCCAATCAAATTTAAAGGAATTTTAAGTAAATTTCACTTTTAAATAAGTACTTTATTTATTGTGAAATCGTGAAGTTTCTTAATTTACCAACCTTTAGCGACTTGAAAACTACGTAGTATAACAATTTACATCTACCAAAAACAAGTGGTTATTACTTGAGTACAAGATTGTCATTCAACTGTTATCTTATTTTCGCATGGTTTATCATCATTCACGATGACACCATGTGCATTCATTCTTCACAATGAATTGATCAATCACTGATTGTGGTGAACAGTGTCATATATAATTGAAGTCCTTCTTAGTGTTGGCCGAATTCTGCCGACCAAATTGCAGTATCTCCTTCTTTAAATGCTATGTTCCTAAACTCGTCATAAGATTTTCTAGATTGTTTCAGTAAAATCTATATTCTCTTTTCAAATTGTATCTTCAGTGTCGAATGTTCTCTACTGCCATTTATACTGTTTCTACCCTCCTTGACAACTTCATCTTGTTGTGCTAATGGAATATATCAATTTGAAATTAGTTATATATGTGTCAGGTTCTACTTAGAGTTCGATTGACTTTATTCCAAAGCTTATAGTAAGGTCTTATCATTAGGGATAAAACCATTAATAAATATTTTGATAGTTGTGATTCACTGTGTTGATTTCAAGGCAGCTAAAATATTACATAAGTCATATTCCTTTGCGCTATTGTAGTATCATTCCTTTTAGTTAGGATTCCTAATGAATAATTTTTTTCTTGATCAAGTGGTGCGAATTTCTTTTTTGATGAATATTTCCACAAAACCTCCCAAAAAGTCTCATGAGCAATATCTGGATGATGTTTTCTGGGATTTTTCGTCCCCCTTCGTTATCTCCTTCGTCTCAACTTTGGTGTTACAGACAATACACACTTTTTCTTTCATAAAGCATTGGGGCCATCTAAATAGCCAGTAAACTTATGATAATGCTACAGGACAGTTTTTTCTTTTGATCTGGGATTCATTAGTTGTGTTTTTATACCCTCAATCTTACAAATGATCGAATAAGGAAAACTTGTTGTTTTTACAGCGAACTTGATGCATTTCAATAGTGGGATCTGTAATTACTGGTCAGTTTCAGTTGTGTTATAACTCTCGGTTTTCCACGTCTACACGAATGGGACGTTAATTTGCCTTAGACGAATATCTATTACTAAACTTCCTCCCAGAGTCTGTTCTACAGGACTTCAACACAACTCAGATCAAGAACATATGATTAGCCTGACTAGGACGTATGTATATTTCTACACCAAAACCGGTAACAGTTCGTCAAAAATCATAGTAATAAGGATAGGAGGATGTATAACTCATCAAACGCCTGTCAGACTACTTACAATTCTGACTAAGCAAACAACCAATCATTATCATCATCGCTCACAAATCAAGTTGGTTTATACTATTACATAACTGTTATGTAATAGTTTGAATCAACTAGTTACGGGTGGTCAAACCAAAACATGGCATCGGTCCTTGAAGTCACTAACTTCTAGTCCTATATGCTTGAGTGCTATTACGAGTTCACCTTACTCGGTAGACGGAACGAACGTCAAAGATACAGTGACACGATAGGCTATTCTACTCCATTGTCCTCGGCCTTGCCAACTAGATCAAGAAGTGTTGATGAGGCGTAGTGAATGTATTCTACAAGCACCCAGAAAATACTAGGTCACTAAGCACACAAATGAAGCTTATTTATACAGTGATAGAAACGCCTTTAGGAGATCCACAAAATATCGTACTAAAATAATCGGTCGACCAATGACAGTCAGGGATTTCCGAGTAGGAAATGTAAGCTGTAGGCCAACTAAGCGTCTGTTGATGCGAAAACATAAAATTCAAATTTTCAGAATAAAATTACAAAATTAGGACCTTTTCCAAGTGAGTTCTGGGGATCTAACGTCCTCAAAATGGTCTGAATCATATTGACAGATGCAGACTACTTGACTGTGGTCCGCCCGACTCTCGGAACCAACAGTTGGAGACTCTGCGTGACACAGCCCAGAATCGATCACAATGGCGTAGGTGTATACACTTTAAACTGTGAGATTAAAATCGCTTCATATCTTTCTACGAACTAATTCTTTCTTCCTGTACTATATCCTTATTGCAATCTTTTATATATTATCACCACCGAATTAACTACTTCTATGAATCCGGTGTCCATCTTGTTGTGTTAATGAGGTATGGCAACTTTGATCGATGCATATATATATATATATATATATATATATGTACCTGGTCCTACATTGTAGCTGGTTGACTGACTGACATAACTGTTATCTATTATCATCAGTAGGTAGGTATTCACTTCAGATAGTTTCAAACACACTTAAATACACAATAGACATTTTCTATTATTCATAATTAATCATTCTAATATTACACATGTATTATTAATACATTTCCATTTTATTATAAATTTTTTTAAAACAACAACAACAACTATCTAGGCTATACGTCAACGTGATCAATCTAATTTACGTCGTAAACGAGCAAAATTAATTGATTTAAAATTAGATTTTGTTATACGTAAAGTAAGTGTTACATATATAGATATTAGTAACTGGTTTATTGTTGCCACCCCCTTTTTTTGTCATTTTGTGTGTTTGTTTTTTTTAATGTATGAAATGTATGTTGTTGATTTTTTGTCCATTGATATATGTGTGTGTTTTGTGTTTACATTTACTGCCTATTTAATAAAATTGTTTTCATTTCAACACTTATTTTCGTCTTAGTTATTATTATGTTATTGTTTTTTAATGGAAAAACAATCATGTGTTCCATTAAATATTAACTAAGAGATCATTATTAAATTAAATTAATTTATCAATATCAGTTATTTTAAATAGGATCTGTCAATTGACATAGATCAGTCTTGAATGAAACATTTTGCATTTGAAGTGAGAGAAAAAGAGAAAGAGAGAGAGAGGAAACACATTGTAAACATTTTTACATTGTTCTTGAAAACGTTCAGAAATCTGTGTGTTTCAAGCGTCTTCACTGAACAGAACTATGTACTCTTTGAATAAGAACTTTCGTCTAAATTTGAACGAATAATTTCACAATATTTGGGCACCGAGTTAATGTGAGACATTAAAAAGAAGAATATATTTGTAAAATCTCAGCGAATGAATTTTAGGTAAATCCAACGTTTCGCCTGGCAATCTGGTCCAAGCTTTTTCAAGGAAAATATAATCAAACAACAAAATTATCGAATATAAATAGGTACATGGTTCTTCGGTTTACTGTATACTGAATAAGTCATCCAATCAACGTGAAGGATTTCTTTATAAATAGGTATTTGTATTAATGTGTAAGAGACATGTTTATATGAAAATAATAAAGGTTCATTTGAAAATAACCAAGGGGAGAGAAAGAATAAGAAAAATTGTCGTTTTATCCTAGGCCATATAGAATGACTTAAGGATTACAAGGTAAATTCAAGATTATGACAAATTGTTTTTATACACATAAAGACAAGGTATGTGTTATGGAACCAAAACGTGTTAAGACAACAGAATGTGTTTATACGCAAGTGATGTGAGAAATTTCATTCAACTAAATATTGACTACGGTCTGTGTATATTAAGAAAACAGATCATTTTTATATATGAAATGAATCAAAAATGCCACAGCCTGAATTAAATGAAGATAAATAAGATAAGTAAACAAAATAAAAAAGGAATGTATATGTAATTGAAAGTGTGTGTTATTTTTAGTGTTCCAGTCAATTGTTTAACATATTCAGATAAGATAACGGATCTGAATCTTGAGAACAGATCAACGATAGCATAACACTCGATTGAATTGGGTCATACAGTTGATTTCAATGGCACGAGAATCATTCAAAAAGGATTTAATTCTTACAAAGAACGACTAACAGCCGAAGCCCTACATATATGGGCTAATTCAAGCAATATTTATAGGAGAGATGGAATACAACTAGCTGTCCCATGGCAACTAATAATTAATAAGTAAACCTGATCTCCTTTTTGCAATTTGATATATCTATGCCATATTAACTAACTGATAGATAATACGTTCAATGATTCAGATCCGTTATCTTATCTGAATATGTTAAACAGTTGACTGGATCATTAAAAATAACACACACTTTCAATTACATATACATTCCTCTTTTATTTTGAAGTCTCCACAAAACCCATTCTGATAATAATCAACTGCTCACTAGTGACTGACTTCAGGAAAACTCCCGAAGTTCTAGTGAGAAGTCGTTACCAGTGGAGTTCAACCAGGTCTGTTGTGAGATAGGAACTTGCTGAAGACTATGGTGTACGGTGGCGCAACTTCGTGGATTGGTTGAAGTTAGACATTAACACCGTTGGATGCCGGCTCAGTGGTCTAGTGGTTAAGTGCTCGCGCGCGAAGCCAGTAGGTCCTGGGTTCGAGCCCCGCGCGGTGCGGGATCGTGGATGCGCACTGCTGAGGAGTCCCATACTAGGACGAAACGGCCGTCCAGTGCTTCCAGGTTTTCAATGGTGGTCTAGCTTCAACTGACTCATGATTTCAATCTGTGAAATTTCTAAAATCTCCACAAAACCCATTCTGAACTTTTAATTGTTTGACCTTTATTATTTTCATATAAACATGTCTCTTACACATTAATACAAATACCTATTTATAAAGAAATCCTTCACGTTGATTGGATGACTTATTCAGTATCCAGTATACCGAAGAACGTTGTACCTATTTATATTCGATAATTTTGTTGTTTGATTATATTTTCCTTGAAAAAGCTTGGACCAGATTGCCAGGCGAAACGTTGGATTTATAAGAAAATAATTTAAGTAGAAGTAGAGTTAGGTAAGATTGTATGAGTTATACGTCTTAGAACTATAACTACAACAAAAGTTAATAATTGTGGAAAGTAGAAAACCTAGACAGATACACATTCATTCCAAACTGTATGTTTTCTTTATTTGGCTGACGGAATTTCTAATCGCTATGTTTTATCATGCTTCAGAAAGAAAAGTTTTTTGTGATAATTAATTTTGTCCTTTACCTTTGAGAGTATTCTATAAAAAACCTATGTGAAAGTACACTGCTAACAACGATACCATATCTGTGTCACCTATTGTTTGGTTATAACAAAAGAATGTATATCTGCAGTTTATTGTTCACTGAATGGTGACCTCCAATGTCATGTATGTAAATGTATCTCAATCCTACAAATGACCTGCCACGGATTGATTAACTGGGTGGTAGTTTTTCTAATCGTGAAGCTAGGTGATATGGAATCAAATCGATGAGTGTCAAATAACATAAAACCTTGATCCAGGGTTTCCTGTCAACTACTTCCAACCACCAACTTACACACATGAATGTTGTATATATCTGTCTGAATTTATAATCGACCGACTAAATTGATATTTAGTGTGAGCGAATGGTCAGTTTACTGACTTGATACACCTAAAATATAGTTTTATATCTCCAAGTTCTAGTCATAAGCTATGACTTGTGGTGTTCAACCGTATCAGGCGTCAGGTAAATATCACTTATTACAGTTTACGACGGTCGTTCAATGAATGAAGATATGACTGCAAACTAGGGGTTAACAGCTCAGTGGTTTGAATTTTTAACTATCGTTACGAGGCCTAAATTTCTTGGGTTCGTCTTTGGCGGTGTTATGACTGCTCACCAACGGGGATTCCTATATTAAGAGGAAACAATTGCCCGATGCTTCCTGGTTCTCAATGAATAACTAAAGTTAATCCGTAACGTAAAACTACGAAATCCAGCTATGACTTCCCTTACTACAAAAGATCGAAAGTGGATGTATGTCAGAAGACGGGACAACTGATTATCAAAGACTTATTATTTTCTAGTAAAATGACACACATACCAAATCGTTAACATTAAAATAAACACAATTAAAAAACATGTAAAACCAAGTCTTGGTCGGATTCAGGTTTTATTGGCCATTTATCATCAGCGAACAAGATTGAGATCTGACTGTATCAAGCTTACTTTTTATTCCTCTCGAAACATAATTAAAATGTATATTTCCAATCAAACATATCGTCATATATTACGATTCATATTTCTGTTTCATTATGGTCGCTAAAAAAGTAAATTTTTATTTGTTGTCTTCTCATATCTTTTATACAACAGATTGAAATTCAGGTACTGGAACGTCAATTAAACTCGCAAGATAAAAATATTGAAGATCGTTTAATTTTATCTTTCAATATTCATGAAGTTGGTACCAGTTTAATTAAACGACGTTGGACACAAGAAATTCAGGTATATTATTTTGGTTAGTAATTTTTTCTGTTTTGACTAGATATTTCATGATGTAGAGATGGGACGGAGCAAAGTCAACATTTGTACACTATTTTTCAGTTGACCCTGCATGCTGCTCTCCATATAAGTCAATCAGCCTTAGTGAACAGATTTTATTATATTGATTAGGTTTGGAACTTGTGAACCAATACATTCCGACCTAATGGTATAAAAGTATCATAATTAAATATTCTAGTCTTAATCCCACATAAAATCATAGACGTCCTCTGACTAAAAGTATGGAACTACAAAATGGGAACAGTTGTTTAATTTTTTTTTCAAGGTTCTGTTGCCGATATCATTTGATGCTAAAAACTATCTTATCAATGAATTGGGTTCAGAATATGATACTTATTACAGTACAATTAACTTATTTACCAGTTACCAATTTGCATACTTTGAGCCACATTGTAAGTAGTTTGAACTTGGCGGATCGGTGACTGAAAGTTAGTCAAATGCCCTAACCACTTAGCCACTACTAATAACAACAATGTAGCTCGTTTAGTGTAGATTTATCCACTGGACTTTGAATTACACATTATCTTTATGAAGTGGACTGGTGATGTCACTTATATAAGCAAACCGAAATAGCGGTACCATGGTTTTAACCTGTTACTCACTGGTTAAACTCTGAGTACGTGACCTAGAATGTGCTGCGCAGGTGGTCGAGTTTAATAAAAAAAATAGTTAATTTTTCTTTGAAAGAACAATTCAGTGTACTTATGCTTATAGATTCATGAATACCTTTTTAATCCAGTTATGTTTGGATGTGACATATAGTGTATGGATTTTAATGGTAAATTAATAGCAGCAAAACATTCAATAGAAAAGCAGATATGCATGTCATACATATGAAAAATTCGTATAGGCAAAAGGGGTGAGTAATTTATTGCTGATTAAATAGAATTGATCGGTAAAAATAAGTGTACTTCGCCCTGAATTACCACAGTACAGTAACATAATGAAGTGAAATTAATTAGGTACACAGAGCAAACGAGTTGGAATAATAGTAGGGTGTATGATTTTCAAGAATGAGATTGTTCTTAAACACTTAATCCCTTTAATGTGATATATTTATACTTTATTCTTATTGAAGATATCCTTCCAATTAACTGCTTGGATATCTATCAAGTAGTAGGTGAATTGATGAAATGTTTTTTCTTTCATAAATATCAATCCCAAGGTTGGACTTGATAGTTTCGAATAAATTGAGCATCCAATAGAAAGTCAATAATAAATATATTTTTCCGATATCCCAATAAGTAGAAAATTGTATTTCTGACGTTTCGTGTAAGTCACCTCATCAGAGTAAATAAATCACCGAAATAACTAAACACAAGTTTAAACAGCAAAAAGGAAACAAGACAGAATATTTTCAGTACAATCGAAATCATAAGAGGTCTGAACACATCAATGTCAAGTTATTCTTGCTCAATGTGTTTCGTACGACATATCACTATTAATTTGTGCGTCAGAAAGTGCATACACCTGTAATCTGAAGTTGAGAGGTTGAGATTGAATGTGTGCGTGTGAACTGAACTTATCGTCAGTACCACGTTTTTTAATCTAAACATCAACTTATCCTAACTTCAATCCATATCAAGTGTGAGACAGTTGTCTATTGCAGGCAATGGACTAGAGTTGCACAATATTGGCGATTGATTGAAGTTAGACATTAACACTGTTTGATACCAGCTCAGTGGTTCATAGGTTAAGCGTCCGTGCGTGAGGCCGGTCCTGGATTCGGTCTCCGCACCCTGAGTCGTGAATGAGAACATCTGTGGTATTCTATACTAGGATGAAACGGTTGTCCATTGCATCCGGGCTTCCGATGGTGGTTCTATAATCTCTACAAATCCTCTATGATAATAATTATATTGATATTTGCTTGTCAAAACATTTTCGTCATGTCATCAGTTGTCTTTTTCTTATAAATTTCACCTTTCAGGCTCATATTGGCACTTTATCAGTCGCTATTCCACAGTTTACTTATAGAGAAACAAATGAACCAGTCTATTTAGCACGTACACAACGTCATGAAGAAACAGGTCATCATTTATTAGCAGTTCAATTTATCATCGCAGAGAAGAATGCTCCTGATTTTGATACATACTATCAAAATACACGTCATCGTTTACAATGTGATTTCAAAGTGTTGGATGTAAGTAACCACAAGCATACTGCACGAATGTAGTGAAGTATAAAGCATATCATCTTATGCGATTATCAGATTCAAATATCATAATTCATCCATGTTATTATCCTTTGTATAACTTTTCTTGATATCCTGTAGTGTTGGTTTAGCATTTAGAGCGTCTAACTTGAGGGCGATTAATTCATAGGTTCGATCCACGCTTTACTTCGGTGGGGGTGCATGAATCTTAACGTGATATATAAGTTAATAAAAATGTGTATTTTGTCGTCTCCGAGCGACTGTCATCATTTTAATAATAAGAAAATATTATCAGAAATATTAAATGCAATTATTAATTCAATACAACTCGTTTATCAAATATAGGCTTATGTATTTGGCTTTGAGACATATTCTTGTGTGTAATATATGACCAGTGACACTACTTTCCAGCAATTCCAACAACAGTAGGCGATTAGTCATTCGAAAGTGAAATTTAATAGTTAAAAACCGAATACAATAATCCCTAAGCTACTCCTACCACGGAACTGTAAAATGTTTCAGGGAATTGTGGTGTGATAGTTAAAGCTCAGTATTTTTGTCACCACTTGATATCAAATTGGTCATTAAAATCAGCATTGTATATGATTAATAATCCTGGGTTCAAACCTTAGTTTTCATGACGGGATTTAATTATCTGATTAGTATAATTAGCTTTTATATTTTAGGTGTGTAGTTCATAGCTTAGTGCATGAACCTACAATCTGTTCACGTTGTCCTGAAGGACAATAAAATCTGTCACCAAACTATCTAGCTTAGATTATACAACACGAAAAGTATCCACTTTAGTTGTAAATCTTCGTCATTTCGCCTATGATCTGTTTCGAAATCCATTGTTTTATTTTTGATTAGGGATTACCTTTTAAGTTTCCCTACGTTATTGTAACTTTCTATTGTTGAAACCAGACTAATTTTGATTATTCTCATTCACATCACGTTAAGATGTGTTTGATAATTTCTTGAGTCATGTTACAGATATCATTTACTGAATATTTCGTGGTGATTGAAAAGTGGTTTTTATTCTGTTTTCTGATTTTATTGGCACTTATAAACATAATACAAGAACGTAGGCCTGTATCATCAAGTGTCGCATTCTAAATAGGCTTATGTTAGTAACTTTTCAGGGCAGATTAGTTGAAAGTCTTTTGATAGTAAGTGTACTTATTTTTGCTTGTCTATATTCACGTAATAATAATATACAGTGTACCATAGTGTAATGTTGTTTTAATTGTTAATTAGTAAACGTATTGTTTCCTAATCTCATATCGTGCTGTATAAGTTCCAACAAAAATTTACCAATATTTCTATCATTAATAATCGTACTTACAGCTCACTATATTTTATATCAACCTGGATATACTGTCAATATATTATATTTTGATATTGTTAATGAACGATAATTATGATTCTATTTGGGATATTTTGTACAAATTTTGTGTTTAGGTATATGTTCATCAAGAAGCCACTCTATTATTAATGAATTATTTCAACAATCTACGTATATCATTATCTAAGCAATTAAAAGAAATTGGAAATCCATCTGAAATTGAATGGGCTAGTAGTATTGGAGATACAGAAGGTTTAAAAAAAGCAAAACTACGCGAAAGATTAGAAAATGAAATGGAACAACAACTTCCTGGACGTTTAACTGCTGCAGATGCTGTAGGAAGTCATATTGCTCGTAAAACTGAACGTCGAAATATACGTTTGGAAGCCGCTTCTTTAGCACAGAAAACAGGTAGTCCTAATAAGAAAAAATCGAGTTTATTCATATAATAGAAGTATATAGAATAAAGTTATTCATCCATTATTCTTCTTCGTATTATTATTATTATTATTATTATATTATATTATTCGTATTATTATTATTATTATACAAGATAAAACCATTTGGTTCTTTATATCTGTTTCTTCTCATGCTCAATTGATTACTATATCAGTTTAGGTGATATAATTTGAGACCTTACGTTGTCTACTGAAGAGAATATCTTGGTAACTGACAAATCACTAAATATCTAGAGTATTATTTATTTTATTTATTTTAACACATAGACATTGGTACAAGGAGGCACCAAATACATACGCACCACACAAATCTCATTCGATATGTATGAGGGCTGTGATACTGCCTGGGTGCCCAAACCGAAGCAGTTGGTTTTCTTAGGGGGCCACACCCCAAGCCTTTGACCTCAACGTCTAATCAACAAGGCAGTGGAGCATCGTAAGGAAATGCTGTCCCATGGTAACCGGTGACCAACGATTGGTTCATACGCCATTCGTTCCCGCAGGATACTGAAGCCTCTGTGCACCATTGGTTTGGAATGAGGGTTTTCTAAGTGCCCTAGGTGGACTCTCCATTTCCACCAACCTGGTTAAAGCACCAGACATTCGCTTTTCGTCCTCTCATTGTCGTAAACAACACCACCACCACGAGAAGGCAGAGAGTAGGACTTCCCTGGCGGAGGCTATATACGCGTGGCCGTATATATATATATATATATATATATATATATATATATATATATATTGGTTATACATTCTTACTTAAGCCTTTTACCACTCATGGAGGCGCGTAGGTCACCCACCTGGATTCTCCATCAAACTCTGTACTGGGCAATCCTTTCCAGTTGCTATTATCATCATAAACGACACTGGGACCTTAAGTCAATAGTTATTTTTTTATAGTATGAAAGCAGTTATCACTTGTACTTTCAAAGTTAACATTTTTCATAGATCAACTCTTGTTTATTTATCTCTTAAGGCAAAATTGCAGTTATTCGCGAATTGAATATTACACAATGGATGGTGAATGCAACATTGGACAAAGTGAATGTTACATTGGGCTCTAAAGAAACCGATTTATTTTCAACTACCGTTAACGGTCTTCGGATTGATGTTCGTACAACATATAATACTATAGAAATTTCGGCAATACTTTCTGAATTCATTTTAATTGATCGTATCGTGAATACATTCTATCGTAAGGTTAGTAAAAATATGTTTAAATATTATTCTGTATATCGTGTATATTGTGTATCCTATGCTTATTATTATTACTGTGTATCATCATTTACTATTTTATAGTTGAAGTGTTATCAGAGATACTCAGTCGAGTATTTTAACTTCAATCCGAAGTTGACTAAGTTGAAACTACAGCAATAGTAGATATAAAAATGTTTTTATTACAAAATATTTGATGGAAAGAATATTTCAGAGTTAGAAGCTGCAATAACAGCTAATAAATGCATAGCGATAGTCTTTTTCACAAACAAGTTTTCAACTATATGTTATACTTCACAAGTTTATAGTCAAATTTGTTAATTACTCGGCGTCCAATTTTTGTCAAACTATTCGTTCTAATATTGACGAATATTCGTTTAAATTGATAATTTCCCCACAGTTTTATACTAGTAGTATCGTGGAAATGCTTTCGAATAAGGTTCTTAAATTCCTATCCTAGTCAATGAGTGTATTAACATAATTAAAAATGTTACTAATATATTCAGTGATAAGATAAAGGATGGTTGCCTGATCCAAAAAGTCAATCAATTTTTGGTAAATGGTCTCCAAACAATTATGTAGTTGTTAGTACTTTTGATTTTCGAAATAAGTTACTGGAAAATTATGTAGATATGAGCTGTGGTTTGATTTCACACTTTTTTCTCACTAAGATACTCAAACAATTAGAGACATAATAATGAAGAAACGTATCCTCAATTCCTCAACTAAGTTTTAGCCTATCCAATTAGTACAGAACACCAGTTTCACGCTCGAGTAGGCAAACTAATTTGCCATATTTCACAATTCAGAATTAAATTTGGAGAAGAAATTTGTGCTGGAATTTTTCTATCAACCAAAATGTATAGATGCACTGAAAAGTACTTCAGTCTCCTATACAAGTGAGAATCAACCTTGCTAGTCTGATCTTCATCTGATTTTTTAGTTTATAACCTATAATCGAGTTATCCTAAATTCATTTATATTATGGGGAAAAATTTTGATTGTACTGATTATGTTTCATATTCAGCTTGTTTATTTAAGCACATTTGTCTGTATTTATTTTCTCATGATATCAATTCTTCTATATATTAGATCATCAGTTTAGTGTTTAGTGAGTAATAATTACTGGATCATACTAGTTATTAGGGTTGAAGCTATCACGAGTTCACTTAATCTGCGAACGAGATACAAGACTCGGTGCCCAAAGACCAGTAAGCTAGCCATTGATGCGTCCCAGCCCCGCTAACTAGCGGGAGAAGTACAAGCTTGGAATGGGGAAGTATATTCTGCAAACAGCCAGAAACGTACGATAACAACAAACACAATTCAAAACGTATATATACAGTACAAAACCGTCCTTGGGGAGAGTCACCAAATAGCATACTGAAAGACGCAACGGACCAATAGCATTTAAGATACTTCCCAGTGGGAAATACGACATGAAGGTGACAAGAGCGCCTTTGGTGCTAAACCAAGGAAAAATTCAAATTTTCTAAATAAAAACACAAAATAGGTCCTTTCCCAAGTGAGTTCTGGGGATCTAACGTCCCCAACACTAGTCATATTAATTTATCATAAAAACCGAATATACAGTGAAAAACGTTCTAATCATCTGTTGTAACAACAGTATTACTACTTTTATAGGTTGTAGAACAGATGACTCAAAAGTAGTTTAGTACTTATAGTAAAATAGATTCAAAAAACACATCTCATGTGTATTTGGTGTGTATACACAGAAATCTTACATTCAGTATGTGTTATCAGTTATTTTTCAAGTATTTACTTGTACTATGTAGTTTAGCTGATCCTATTGCATAATAGAAATATCATTTCGAACTTTCATAAATTTGTTCAGGTATCTACGGTGTATTAGCTAGTTGTTTTATATGTGAGCTGATATAAGTTTCTGAGTGCTTTTAATTTTGGAGCTTCCAAATGTCTAACTAGAAAATCTTTTCAACTTCAAATTGTCTTAGAACTCTCAGTTATGTTCAAGTAGAAAACTATAAGATATAGATTAGTGTTTAGATATTAGCTGATGGTTGGAGACAATCGACAGCTAACCTTGGATCTAGGTCTCGTGCTACTTTGAGAGAACTGGTGCATTCAATCCTCCCATCTTCACAGTCAGAGATATTATCACTGAGCTATTCGGATCTCGACTAAACTCCTGTATTTAGTCATTAGTTTTGCTCTTAATTCTTTGACAGCATTTTTCTGTTTTTTATTTATTATTCTACTTTACTTTTTAGATTTTATGGGTTGATCCGACAGAAAATGTTGTTTCTTTGCAAATTACACATTTTCAAGATAATACCCAGTCTGTTGAGAATTCAATAGATCCAGACAAAGTAGACTTGGCTATCAGTCTTCAGATAGGGAAATTACATTCTATCTTCTTATATCATTTTATTACACGTGTATTGGTAAGCTCACTTTGTTTATTGACGTCATAATTAGATAAATATTTGACTCAATAATTTATTTATATATTTGTCATGTAAAACAGTCGATTTGTTCCCACTGTAAATTGTATGGGTCCATTTGATTAGGGATTAATAAATCCCAAGTATTGTCAGTTCTGTCTGTTCACATCTAAATAATGACCAGGTTAATAAAGATGACTTATATCTGACTTGTTTTTTGTTGGTCATCTCAATCAGTTAGGGAATTTTGTTTAATACACAATAAGACTCTTAATCTGCAATCTTGTTTTTCTTCACTAACTCTAGCAGTATCAGTCTTTTGTTCTTTTTTTATCGTACTAAGTAAACCGTTATATTCGCAATTATAACAAGTAGTAGTACTAGTGTTTTGACACTTTATTACAATTCAACCGGTAATTTTATTCATTTGGGAAATGTGTTAACGGATTATTTTTTGTAGATATTATCCTCTACACGATTCAGAGAGTTCCTGCGCTCGATCCTATATACTTTTATTACTGTACAATGTTAAAGTCTCCACAAACTATGATAAAACAACAGCTTTTCAAGTTTTCTTAATCTTCATTAATCCTTCGGCTAATGTCAACCAATCATTCATAAGGAATATACACCTAGCACATATCCATATTCACCATTGTCACCGACCTTAAGCCATATAATCCAAAGTCTCCAACCATTTATTATGATAATCGTACGAACGGTATTTACCAACACAGCTCAGTCCATCAGTTATTAACCTAATGGACCAATGTTACTTCTTGGTTTGGCCACCTCTAGTTTTCTCCCAACCTCCTGCACAGCCAATCGGAATAGCTCATCGACACAGGTTTGGGTTCAACATACTTAATATATATCCGAAATCAGTCGATTTCGATGTGCAATAATAATTGTAATGATAGTAATAATAATATAATTCATTTGTCCAGTACGATTTATTGTATTTATCTTTAAGTTACACTTATTTATATGGCAGCTATAGTGATAGTTCCCATTTGTTTAAACCCGATTTAGGTCTGTTAGATAGAGTTCACACGTGTAACCTAACTGGTATCATTACCAAGGTTTGATTTGATAATTTCGAATTCATTGAGGATTGGGTAGATTGTTATAAATAAATTATTATATTTGCAATATCTTAACGAGCAGAAATATTAGATTTTCTGACGTTTCGTGTCTTAGTGTAAGCCACATTTTCAGAGAATAAATAACCAAATTAAAATTACTTAACGTTTAAATAGTACAACGGAACAACACGAATATTATGTGACATTGATTTATTCAGACCTGTTTTTTGATTGATCACATAATACTCATGTTGTTCCGTTGTACTATTTAAACGTTAATTAATTTTAATTTGGTTATTTATTCTCTGAAGAAGTGGCCCCCAAATGCCGTGGTACGACCGAGAGTAGAGAGTGTCCACTCTCCCTGTCGAAATGCTCTCACACGGCCACGCGTATATAGTCTCTGCCAGGGAAGTCCTACTCACTGCCTTCTCGTGGTGGAGTGTTGTTTACGAAATTGAGAGGATGAAAGGCGAATGTCCGGTCTTTAACTGGGTTAGTGGACATGGAGAGTCCACCTAGAGGAGTTGGAAAACCCTGATTCCAAACCAATGGTGCACATAGGCTCCAGTATCCTGCGGGAACGAATGGCGTATGAACCAATCGTTGGTCACCGGCTACCATGGGACTACAGTCAGTCAGTCAGTAACAACGTAGAACTTCGTACGTCTGTACATCAGTTCGAGTTGCCCTACCACATTGGCACAGAGATGCAGTTGTCGAGTCAAATTCCGTAGTGGTAAAGGTAATAAGAGTATAGGCAGTAATCGGAAAGATTAAGGTTTGGAGATGTTATTTAAAGTGTAATCCAGTGAAATAAATTTGGGAAGAGAAAAAAAGAGACAAGGATGAATCAAGAGATTAGAATTTGAGAGAACACAAAGAGTGTATGCACCTGCGCCATTGCAAACGATTTTGAGCCATGTCATTCAAGGTCTCTAACCATCGGTCACTATCATCTCGCGGTCTCCAACCAGGTAGTCTACACCTACCGACATGGCTCAGACCACTTGTCAGTGACTTCATGGACTTGTGCCATGTTTTGGTCTGGCGGCCACTAGCTTTCTTCCAACCTACTCCTATACCACTGAACATCGCACGTCGAGGCAGTCGGTCGTTGGGCATATGTAACACGTGTCCCAACCATCTTAACTGATGAAGTTTCACTACGTCATCAATTGATTTGCCATCCTTACCCAGTACCCGTTTCCTAACAACTGCATTATTTAGTCGGTGGTCCCAGAATATACGAGCAGTGCTTCGAAGACACCTATGATCAAATACTAGTAACCTACGAATATCCTCTACTCTTACCGGCCATGTTTCACTGCCATAAAGTAGGACGGAACGAACTGCTGCGCAGTAAACACGTCCTTTGGTTGATAGACGGATATCTCGCCTACGCCATAAATGACGCAAGTTGGCAAAAGCTAGTCGAGCCTTCTGTATCCGTGCTGAGATTTCGTCACACACCAGACCACAAAGGCTGATGAGACTTCCAAGATAAGTGAAGCGATCGACACACTCAACTACTTCACTCCCTATCACTAGTTCGGGTGTCAATGCAACCCAATCCTGAAACAATATTTTGCATTTCGAGGAGGAGAATCGCATCCCGAACATTTTTGCATTGTTGCTTATAATGGTCAGAAGACTGCATTTTGTCAGCGTCTTCACCAAATAAAACTATGTCATCAGCATATTCTAAGTCAACAAGTGAACCTTCCGGTAGAAGTTCAAACCCTGGAAACCTAGATGAGGAGAGTGTTACCTCTAAAATTACGTCGAAGACAAAGTTGAACAAGAATGGAGAGAGTGGACAGCCCTGACGAACACCAATTGAGGTAATCAATTCTGATGACAGTTCGACATAAGTTCTCACTCGGCCAGTTGTGTTCGAGTAGAGAGCCTGTATAAGGTTAATGTACTTCTTTGGTACTCCTTTTAGTGACAAACACTGCCATAGAACCTTACGATCAACAGAGTCGAATGCTGCCTTAAGGTCGAGAAATACTACCATTGTGGGGCGTCTGAACGTGTGTCTGTGTTCTAGAACCTGACGTAGTGTGAATATCTGATCTATTCAACCACGTCCAGGTCGAAAACCAGCCTGATTTTTTCTAGTCTGCTCTTCACGAGCTTTAGTTAGGCGTCGCCATGGGACTACATCTCCTTACGATGCTCCAGTGCCTTGTTGATTAGACGTTGAGGTCAAAGGCTCGGGGTGTGGCCCCCTAAGGAGACCACCTGCTTCGGTTTCGGCACCCAGGCAGTATCACAGCCCTCACACATATCGAATGAGATTCGTGTGGTGCGTATGTATTTGGTGCCTCCTTGTACCAATGTCTATGCGTTAAAATAAATAAATAAATAAAATAGTCACGAAACGTCAGAAAATCTAACTTTTCTACTCATTGGGATATTAAAAATATATTATTTATTTATGTAGCCTAACAGTTAATAGTTGACTACTTTAACCACTAATATGTTGTGTCATATTTCGCTATTTTTCCTATAGTGAAAAATAATCATTTAACAAAATTAGTCTTTCCTGTGCCTTATTTTTGCTAAACAGTGAAATCTTTCTATTCTATATATTCTATTATAATACAGTGATAAAATTAATAGTTTTTGCTATATTTATAGTATTGTATTATATACACATAAATGTAATCACTCGAATCATCTATATACGAATTATCATGCTAGTGAATTATACTATCAGCTATTTGCTCTATAGAATTACTTACATCCGGTTGTTTGGAAAATATGTGAAGTTTTAGAAAGTGTCTTTTAATGCTCATCGTACATGATTATGTTATTTATTGAAAGAGATGTAATGATAACTCTCGAATTAATTGTCTTAACTTGTCAGCGGATTTTTCATTATTCTTTCGTATTACTCTTCACTTTGACTGGTTTCAGACAGCTTTATTTCATACTTCATACATATTATCCATCTCTCTCCCCCCTCTCTTTCTCTGTAGCTGTTTATATAGGATATTTGATTCAGGCTGAGCATACTTCCTTACCCTGTTATCTTATGATTTATAGCCAATATGATGAAATCGTTGAAAATATTATTTCCAATAAATATTGTGTTATTTAAAACGTTTTTCCCAAAATAACAATCTTAGTTGACTTTTATTCGAAGCAGTTGGTTACTAGTGAATATGTTTGATGGTTACTGATGTGTTTTATCACATCAATCTCTAGTTTTTTTTGTAAATACTCATTCAAGGATTGTTTATTTGTTTATCCATAGTTTAGATAATATAGTAAAACTATGAGTATTTGGTAGCTTGTAATTTGTAATTAATTTCAGTATATGTTGACTCCTATCAAAGAACGAAATATTCCTACTTCTCATGATTTGGCATGTAATGCTAACTAGCATATTGAATTGGTTAGTGAGAGTTTAGAAGTGTTTAACTCATGAGATCATTACCTGTTGATCTCAGTTATATTAGGTGTTAAAAATTATCTATATGAAACGGGTACGATAATTGCAATCTATAGATGCTTTCGTTCTATTTGAAACTCGTTAGCTGTATGTGACCTCATTCCAGTGTTGATATTTACATCGGAACTCGAACCTAGTATCAACCATGCAAGTGAGTGACTGTCTGGACACAGTCACTAAATAGATAATGCGTTGGGTTCGAGTCTTAATGTGAACACGAGCAGTGGGATGCAGTTGCATCGGGCTGATGAGTCTGAAATCACAAATCCATTTATTCTATATCATTATCATCATTTTCGTCTTAGTCTTTATACTTTCTATCTCAATTTATAACAACTTTGTCTGGTTCACATTCGTTCTCTAAACTCTACACTTTCTTTGATCATTTAATAAAGATTGAAAATGTATTATACCCCATTCATCCGTTGATTTGTTTGTCATACTTATTTATCGATGCTTTATCCTTTATTTGCTCTAGAATTTTATGGAAGCCTATCAAGAAGCAGCTGAAATGATGTTAAATAAATTTCAAGCTTTATCGGATGCAGCAGTTCAACAGGTTGGTTTTACTTTTTTATCCTTTTATTAAAATATTCCATGTTATAAGAATATAATTCTGATGTTATGTATTACATTAATTAAGTTCTTAGCTTTAAGGAATATTTTGGTTGTACCATCTAAGGTACTTGTGATTATATCCTCCAATTGTCTAAAACAAATTCGCTTGCAAGGGGTGGTGTTAAATCTGTAAATTCTAGTGCTTGAAAGCTGAATGTGGAATGGTGATTTAATAGTTAAAGCATTCTATTTTGAAACATCAAGTCATTTATTCAAGTCGCACACTACCTACTTCTAGTTTAGATAGCCATTTAGTTTAAAATAATGATTGAAATTAGAATAATAAGAAGAAGAAAAAATGAGGGAACGTTTTAAGCCTTAACGTAGTTTTACTCTTTGTATAAAATAATCCATCTTTTTATTGGAATCATATTTGTAGATATACAGATATATGAAATGTTATTTTAAGTATCTTTCGATAGAAATACACAAATTTGCTTTAACACCAAGTCGCATTTTATCCAGATGTTTAAATGAATGTTCATGTTTCTACGGTATTAGTTTACGCGTTACAGGTTCATAGATTGTAACTGACAGCTTGAATATACAAAAACGGAATCTTATTAGGGGATATTTTCTGTAAAAAAACTTATCAATAATAAGTTTCTTGTACTTTAGACATTTATCCCCATTTTTCATATGCGGCCTCATGATATTGCTACCCAATAATCGATTGTTTGAAGCTCTAAGTCACCGTTTAACAAAACATTCATACATACATAACGCACTGAATATTTACATGAAGAGGAAACCAACCAAAAGAGGAAATTTCGGAAATTAATAAAATAGTATGTAGTTATAAAGATTGTTGAATTTTATTGAAATCACAAAGCTGCTTAATTTAAGCAACCGTTAAAGATCCAAAATCAGTGGGTGGCTGTTTCGCCTATATATGGGATTCCTCAGTAGTATACATTTACAACACTTTAACCAGAGATTGAACCCCGCACCTTTGGCCTCGCTTACGAAATTTTAGCCTTAAGACCACTAAGATGATATCTAACGGTTTTAATGTCTAACTTCAATCAATTTAAGATATTAAAATTGTATCCCTTTCTGTATATTTTTAATAAATTTAACTTAAAATCCTGACGTAGAAATGATTAAATAACTTAATATTCAAATTGGTTCAATGATAGCATTAAATTGTCCAGTTTTATTCATGGCGGACTTGACATACTATAAATCATCATAGCATATTGAGGAATATAATTCTACGTCATATTATTCAATTGCCCATAAATGTTGATTTCTTCTTTAATTTTCAGGTTCATGAAGCAGTTGATAATTCTTTTCAAACTCGTCTCAGTTTAAATATTGTTGCTCAAGCACCAGTTATATATATGCCACAACACTCATTGTCAAATGAATCTTTGATGATTGATTTTGGGCGTATCACATTATCAAATTATTTTGAATTTGTCAATCCTTCAAAAGTATTGCCTGATACAACAATTCCAGTTCCTGATCCCGGAATCATGTTGGAACATATGGTGGTTAAGTTGGAAAATTTACGATTATCAAGGTGAGTGGTGTGTAACTTCAATAAATGAATGATTCAGTACACGCTTTGTTCAGTGCCATTTTAAAACTTTCATGGTAATATGCTAAAATGAATACATTTGACTTTTTAACTATCAAATTTGACTCAAACACCAATCGCGGTATTAAAGACATGTAATATGTATTTCCAAACCCTACCTACTACGACAGACGATGTCTGGTGTAGGAGCGGGTTGAAAGAAAGATATAAGAGACTAAACCAAGACATAACATCTATCTGTGATGTTGTTGACAAAAGAACTGAGGCATCTATGTAGGCGCACACTACCTGGTTGGAATCTGCACGATTATCATAACCACTGGTTGGAGACTTCGAATAATGTATCATATGTGAAAATTATATTTGAAATTTAATTAATTCCAGCGTTTCGTCCGCAAACGTGTTTGGACTTCATGGTAAAAATCGAATTCAAGATCATCAAAGAAATATTTATATAGCGTCTTAACAATCAAATCTATACTGTGTTAATCTAATCATATTTGGATGTTGATTTTAGTAAATAAGATAAAATGGGTCAGTTAAATGCGAATCATGTGAAAAGTTCACGATGTGGAGTTAAATGACTGAATGAATTGTGTGTGCATGTATGTGTAAGATTGAGTTATTAATAGTTGATTTTACATGGTAATGTATGAAGGAAAAATAAAAGTGCAAGTTGAAGGTTGAAAAACATGTTTCTGAATAACCGATGTGCATGTAAAATGAGAATCATCCAATGCATATCGTATTGCTAAAATAACCCATATTAATTTCTGTCAGAATAACGATGCATGTGAAATAAACCGGTTGGATAAAGAATGTGTCCAATTACTTGTTAATGAATATTTGCCATATCAACTATTAGTGACTCAATCTTACACATACACACACAATTCGTTGTCATTTATTTTCACATCGTGAACTTTGCACATGATTCTCATATAACTGACTCATGTTCTCCTATTTACTCAAGTCAACATCTAAATACGATTGGATTAACACAGTATAGATGTGATTTGATGATTGTTAAACGCTATATAAATTTCTTTGATGACCTTGAGTTTGATTTTTACCCTGAAGAAGTCCAGACAAGTTTACAGGATGAAACGTTGGAATTGTTTAAATTTCAATCGTTGAGATAATATCAAATATAGATTTCATATATGATAACTTCTCTATACTCGGCGCCCAATTTTTGTCACACTATTCGTTCTAATATTGACGAGTTTTCGTATAAATTCGAATAAAATAGTTTAGAATCTTTCAAAATAGTACTGGTGCATTCATTTTTTACTTTATAACTTGAGTCAGGCAACCTCCCTATACTTTTCTTCCCGTATATCTGATCTTTTATACCACTATTGATACTGCTACTACTTCTGTTTTAAAATTTGTCTTGAAATCATCTTATTTATTTGTGCCAACTTGAACCGACTCAAGTTTTGCGTTTCATATGACTGATTGACAACAATCAGATTTGTGATAACTACTCACCGAAAGCATTTAATCAGAACCTGTATATTCGCTTAAAGATTTTTTTACTCACAATTCTATGAAAAGTACATTGACCATATCTTCTTATTTCACTTCGGTCTTGAGTATCGGTTTTGAATGACATATAGAATATGACACTACTGTCCAAGCCACCATAGTAGGAGAAATCAACACAGGAAAAGGTGAAATTAACAGTTTAGAAAACAGATAGTAGGAGATAATTCTAATATTCATTTGTGATGATTAACAATTCCTGTTGGATAAGTAATCAATTGTTTGTTTCATACAAAGCATCGTCTATATTTGAACTAGTGGTGTTAACCAATCAATTATAATATTCAATGCTCTTTTCACCTACCCCTTTTAACTGACCAATCACACTGAACTCAGTTTATTGTGTAAAGTAACGGCTGTTCGACGAAATTGTTCTCGTTTCATCATAAACTTCTAATTTATATATGTAGTGGTATGTATTACATAATTTTTTTAGAGGTAGATTCACGGAAATGTTCGTAAAGCCTTTTCAAAGGTTAATCGTTAAACTTGTTTATATAAAGAAGTAATTTTTGAATAATTCCTTCCAAGTTTGCTTTAATAGCTCATTATAATAACAATGAACGAAGTTCTATTCTTATCTCCTTTGTATTGTATTGTATGTATGTGTGTATTGTTTTCTGTAAATTAAAAGTAACTATTTCTTTTGTCTTAATCATTGTTTTCCCATTGTGATAAAAGAGTAGTGCTAAAAGACAGTTCTGTTCAAGCCGAGAAACACGTTTTACTTCCAATTAATGTTGAACTGAAAACTCGTCGTAATCTCAATCCAAATATATATTCCGCTATACCTATCCTTCTTGTCAATGGTGGATTAAATGAAATTAATGTAAGTCGACTGATTGATTGATTAGTTGTATTTAGTGTTTTTTTTCTTAATGTGTAGAAAAAGGCATTGTTACTCTCTCTGTTGAATCTAACTTATCCAACCTGACCGTATCCGCTAAATTGACGTCAGATTTACGTATCGTGGTGGTCTAATTAGGTTAGAACACTCGTTTCTTTAGCTCCTGTCATCCAAGATAGGTTAGTTGGAGAGCAGTAACACTATAAGCAGGAGTCCAAAAGCGAAGTCGTTTTGTCGGCTACACAGGAATGTGACGGTAGTAAAATGTTTCTCCCAGACAGTACGCATCTGCAACGATGCTACATTCTCACAAAAGAAGAAGGATTTAGTAAATGTCATCCCTAAAATGGTACAAATTACTCTCTCCCAACGATATCGATATCCCATGATGTCGGTTAGGCATCAAAAGTAGCGAGCTAACACTTCGAGAATTACTCCTAAAACGAGGGTGTTGGATCTCGGTCTCAAACAGTTATCACTTAGACTGCGTGGTCAATCTCCTAGGTCATCAAGATCAGTACTAACTCAGTTTACTTTTCAGGTACTTCAAGAAAAAGGATCCTTCCACAATATGGACACCTGGGATGGATCGATATTAACCCTCATAGCTTTTACTGGATAGGAGATCATCTATTCAGACTTTTATGTTATCTCGATTTTTTAAAAATAATAATAGCCTCATAATGAATGAAGTCATTGGTAGATATTTATTTTTTATTTAGAAAATGTAAGACAAACTTAGCTAATTACAAATCCCTTCAGTCTTGGCCCCAGTAATTTCTAAATTGCCAAGGGATATTCATCCATTTGATCATCAGAACTGTAAGAACTATCCGATTTACTAAAAATACTTGCCAACTCAACCGACCCATTCTTTATTATCAAACCGTTTGTAGGTACAAATTTATTACTTAGATCAGTCTCCTTACATTCTGGCATTTGTGAAACACATACCGAAAACATACATCCAGATTTTCGCTTAGTCATTTCTAAAGGTTCGATTTTTTTCAGTGTCCGTATACTTTAGCTGAGCTAGGCAGTGGAAAAAAATTATAATTCCCCAAAATATCTTAGAGAAATAGTTATTGTCATCAATATATCCATCACGGTTAAACTACTGATAAAGATGTCCACATTCACTGTCACTTCTGCTTTTCATTGTCTCATCCAAGAAAAATCTCATGATCCTTCTTACATAGCTCAATGAATTCAAATAAATTTAACATAATATGAGTAACCTATCAAGTAAACGTTACTCGGCTTTGAGCCGCACCGTGTTTGTGAAGGTTAAGGATTCTCCAACTATCTTGCCGCCCAAACCGAAGTAGGTGAAGGTCAGGTCATTAATTGTGGTTTTTGTGGTTACGAACCAAGTGCGTTAACCGTTAACTCATAGCTTCACGGTTATTTATTTTGAAGCTATGGTAGCTACCACGTTACCTAGTAATCGTAATCTGCCATTCTGATAATTCTATCGCTAAGTTGACATCACATAGATCAATATCCCTTAATTATATATCATTAAGAAATTCATTCATGTTTAATGATCAAACCGATCCACATATATTCTTCATCTGATATAAAGCATTTCCGTTTCGAATTTTACTAATTCTTTACTCCTTATAGATTTCTCTTTCTCAAGGCGATTATCGTGTTCTTCAAGAAGTACTTTTTGATAATTTTAATGATATACCATCGTCTACTAAAGGATCTGTAAAAACAACACCTGTTACTACAGGTTCCTCTGCTAAGTCTACTAACAAAAAGAATAAAACACAACAAAAAGTTGAAGAGAAAAACACTACAGAAAATGATAATCCAGTCAAAATTGCAGTCAGTTTTGATTTAGGAATGAAAAGTGTCATTCTTAATTTGTACACATGTGATCAACCAATAGTGAGTTTTTTATGTACATGCACTTATATATCATTGTTAACGAACTAAGCAGCAACTTTCTTTCAAATACTTTCATATTAAGATGTACTAACTATCAGTGTGTATAATGAATGGTACTCATGTAATGTAGTTAATTTCCGGGTATAGAGTAAGTTAATTAAGTGAATTGACAAATAGACTAGTAATTTTATGGGTATTATAGTAGTGAATTACTATTCACTAAATTGTTAAGCCTTCAACCTTTAAACTTCCATAATTCCTGTTAAATTGACGAGCCTATTTATCATTTCATTTAATGTGATTTTTCAACTACATAAGTGAAGGCTATTGTAGTTAAGAAAAGAATTTAACGAAAAGCCATAATATTAGTAATATAATGGATGGTGTTTTCGAATTTCAAGGGATAAAATTTTAATGTAACGTGATGATGAAGACAACCACAAAATGAAGTCACAAATGAAAGGTGCAATACTACATAAGTAAACCAGGATTATACCAATCGAAGCGACCTTATAAACTGTTCCTGTATGCATAGTTGACGTTTCTGTAATACATAGGAGATGCACACTTAAAGCTCCCGGTTGATTTAGTTCGATCTTACATCGAACGATGAGTCTGATGCTATGTAGTTCTGATTAACAACTTGATAGTACAAAGTGGATTTTGTAATTTGACATTTTCCTCCCTGACGCTTCGATAAACAAATTATTATTCCTATATATCCATATGAACAGGTGAACAAACTTGTGCAAATTAAATTGTTTGGTTAGTTTGGTTTTTTTTACCCAAAGCTGAGCTAATGAATAGTTGATGTAGAGTATTCACAACAAAGTTGTACAAAATGTTTGTTGAAGTAATAGAACCAATCAGTTCTTCAGAAGGTCTTATTCAATATCATACGTCCTCTTCTGTGCAGATTTTTAAAATTCACTGGATGATGAAATCAGTCACATAGTTTTTTCTACTTATCAAAGAACAAAGCTATAAAAATCAGTCGTCTATTCAATTTATGCAAATTTTCTGTAAGCTATCATCGCTTTCCATTCGTTTAAGTAAAACATTTAGGGATAGAATTTGAGGTTTTTTCCGATACAAATGAATCGATGGATGACATGAATTTAACGTGTTAAATAAATTTCCACAGTCGTCATTCCAATAAAAATGATTTCATTTTCTTCTCGCTGATAGGCAGAATGGCATAATGATTTCCCGGAAGACAAACGATTGGCTACATTCAATCTTAAACAATTCAATGTATCTGGTCAAATGGCTTCAGATTCATCATCTCAATTCATCGCTAAACTTAATGATATTAAATTACAAGATAGTCGACCTGGTTCAGATAGACAAATTACTAAGTAAGCATCTCATCCTCAATACCATTATGTTGAGCTGACCTTTTTTAAAATCTTGTTTCGTAACTTGCATCTAATTAAATTTATCATAGAAGCTTTTGCTTTTGAGGTTAAGTTTTAGTAAAGGACACCAAAAAAAAAACTAAGCTCTATGCTTTTGGATTGGGTTATAATTCAGAATTTCATATTACAAGAACTGACATTATTCAGACACTCGTTTAAAGTCAAGAAGGAATGGACAACTGTTTGATCCTAGTAAGAGTACTCTTCAGCAAAGAGTACCCACGACCCCACCAGGTCCCAAAGCCAGAACTTTCAGGCCTCATAACTAGCAGTCTACCTTCTGGACACTAAGCTGTCATCCGTTAGTTCACATCTGTAACTCCTATCTATTCACAATATTGTGGGACTTTCATACTCGATTTGATCCAGGAGTAATTGTGCTGTGATTCTTTGTGGGTTTCGTAATCAGTGGTTGGGTATAGGTAGAGTCGGTGATTAGCCCGATCTCCACCAACTGGTTTACCGCTCATGTTAGTTCACTGGTCGTCAGTCTCACTATCCAGGAGGCACAACACGGGCGTGTGAGTCGGGTTCGCCTAAAAAAAAAACGCGAACCGAATAATCATACTCGAGTTATAAATGATTTTATTGTTCAGTAATTAAAGTTTGTGATTTTTGTATAGATCAAATGAGAAAAAGCTTTTTTTGCTAATATTGTCCCCTTCAGTGTTAAGAGAGTTTATATCTTCGAACGTTTACTTATTTTAAAGAAAAATCTTCCATTAACATCATATTATGTTTCTTGAGTATTTTACTGCTAACGCTAAATGGTCACAAGTTTCTATAAAACAGATGGAATGTGGCTAGTATTGGGATCGAACGCATGCGTTTTGTCCCATTTTTGACTCGTCAGATGGATATACTTACATTCCAGAGTTGATATCTCGAACCATAGAGTAAACACGCACTTTGAAATGGAGGTTCATCCAACTGGTGAATTCAAAATAAAACGAAACACGCGTCCTGGATTCCTCTGCTAACCACATTTTATCTATTCTAAATTAACTTGTCATAATGGCCGTATCGAGGCAATCCACATAGGATGTATATATCCCAAAGGTCAATCAAAATATCGATAACGTAACAGTAAAAACGAATAAAAATAAAATAAATAAATGTACGTTTGAACTTTCTCCCATCTACTGAATGGAGCTTTACTCATAATACTACTTAGTAAACTCCATACACTACGAAAAAACGATCATATTTTCATTGTCGCTTGTTGTTTTTCGGTGCACTCATATCAATGATCGTTTGTATATTTAATTTGAAATAACTAACTTTAACCGTAGTGTAAATGTCATTCATGAATATTACGAGTGTATATAAGTTTATTTAAAATGTTTGCGTTAAAGTGAAGATGATCATTTGTAATAAATGTTTTAAGAAAATCTTTAGCTTCAAGCATGTATTCTGAAATGAAGAGAAAACGTAAATTCGATAGCTTAGTGTAGGGAAGGACTTGAATTAACCGCTTCTAATTTTTAGCTAGCTATTACTCAATTAAAAGACAGCCCATGTAAATGCACCATTTTATGGAAAAGAAAGCAGCAATACGACAAATGATGACTTATTTTATTTATTTATTTGGACACATAAATACTGGTTCAAGGGGGCACCAGATACATATGAGCCACACAGATCTTATTTGATATGTATGAGGACTGTGATACTGTCCAGGTGCCCAGACCGAAGTAGGTGGTTCTCCTAGGGGGCCACACCCGGAGCCTTCGACCTGAAGGTCTGATCCACAAGGCATTGGAGCAACGTAAGAATATGCAGTCCCATGGTAGCCGGTGATCATCGATTGGTTCATGCTCCATTTGTTCCTTCAGGATACTGGAGCCTATGTACACTATTGGTTTGGAATGAGGGTTTTCCAACCGCCTTAAGTGGACTCTCCATATCCATCAATCCGGTTAAAGCTCCGGACATTCGCTTTTTGTCCTCTCAATTTCGTGATCAACACTCATGCCGTGAGGAGGCTTTAAGTAGGACTTCCCTGGCAGAGGCTATATACGCGTGGCCATATGAGAGCATTTCGAGAGGGAGAGCTGACTCTCCCCACTCTCGGCCATACCAGGGCATTTGGGGGCAAACACATATTTAATAAATCTGGTAAAGCCTTATATTGGTTAATTTGGCAGAAAGTTGCGAAACAAAAACATAACTCATCTTTATATATACAAGTTTTCCTTTCTCTCTAACTGTTAAAAGGATTTAAATAGTTATTTCAATCTCTTCACATTTTTCTTGGTTATGTTTAAGTATCGAATTAGTTTTTTTCACAAAATATTAAGATTTATTTCAACATTAAGGGCTTCGAGTCAGGATTTATGTATAGTGTCGATTTGCATATTATTATACAATCTACAGAGTATTTAGTAAGTTTAACTCTATGATGATGGCAAAAAGTAATTTTTCGCAATTATTTTAAACCTTTTGAGGTCGTATATGAAGATATTCCTACTGTTCATTTTACGTGATATTTGAATTTTACTTGGAATTCACGATTTCAATTGAACCATTCTTTTAAACTAAACTTTTATTAAATTTACGACTCAAATATTTCTACTGAAAATGTATTGTTACTCTTCAACACCTTTTTATTCTGTTTATTTATCATAATTGTAAATAATAATGTATGTTTGTTTTTGTACTTCTCTATTGTAGAGGTCAAATTTTAAGGTATGTCATTTTTGTGTGTAAGTAATATGATGTATACATTGTTATTGCTGGTTGTATAATGTTGCCTAAATATAGAAATGTTGTTATACGCCTGCATGATTGCTCATTGCTATTGTGATTACATATATATTTACTTTTTTGTCTTAGCTGGCTAACTTTATTATTATAAATATGCATTTATTTGAGGGCTTGGTGATTAAACAATGTGTTAATGCATTGTTGTATATACATTAGTTTTTGACGTATGTGTTTATCGATTATTGGTTGTATTCATTTTTGCCAGTGATTTTGAAATGAAAGGAATTTGTAGTTCCGCTGAATACTTTTTACTGGTATTGTTTTCTCTAAGTTAAATAGATTGTTTGTAGTTTCATATATCCATGTTTCCATTAAACTATAATTTCGTGTCACCAGTGTCGGTTTTAGTGGTCAGGTATTAGTAAGACCTCGTATTCAGTACACAAACTATATTCACACCATGAGACCGGATGCAGATATCCATCTGTTTAATTTCTCACGTTTTATGTTAACATAGAACGGAAAAATTGATAATATTTTAAACAAAGAACTTTTAAATGATTGTAAACTTTAAGAATTAATATTAGAGCTCATAATTCAATATGGAACGAATGAAACTTGGCAATACAGGATAATGCTGTACTTCAGATATAATGAAATTTATCAACAGATCAGTACCACTAATCAATGTCTGTTTATATAATTTAAGATCCTTCATTATATACTTCAATTATCTCACGGATATCAGTCAGAGAGCCTACATCTACTGACTCGGATAAAAGTACTAAAAGACAAATCATTGTCATTCTGATGGTCATGAGAATTTACTTACATTGTACTTGTGGAATAACTGAAGTGGACCTTGATAATTTTGTCTAGAGCGACAATAAGATGTTTATAATTAAACGCTGAAGCTCAGAAAAGACAGCGCTAGTAAAAAAAAGTCAGTTACGGTTGCAAATATATACTTCTCATCAGTGCTCTTGATGACAAATGATATTTCATAATGCCATCAATTAATGCGTTATCAGTCAGTAACAATGTAGAACTTCGTGCGGATGTACATTAGTTCGAGTTGCTATACCACATTGGCACAGAGATGCAGTTGTCGATTCAAATCCCGTAGTGGTAGAGGTAGTAAGATTATAAGCAGTAATCGGAAAGATTAGGGTTTGAAGATGTTATTTAAAGAGTATAATCCAATGAAATAAATTTGGGAAGAGAAAAAAAGAGACAAGGAGGAATCAGGAGATTAGAATTTGAGAGAACACAAAGAGTGGATGCACCTGCGCCATTGCAAACGATTTTGAGCTATGTCATTCAAGGTCTCTAACCATCGGTTGCTATCATCTCGCGGTCTCCAACCATGTAGTCTACACCTACCAATTAATGCGTTATCGATTATGAATGAATATAGGCAGTAGTCACTTTCCATAGTTATGTCATCAATTAAACTGTTAATAATCTTTGGCATATGTTTAGAGAAATAAAAATACTCATTTTATATTAAATAACTATAGACCTTGTTCAGTGTGAAATTGTGATTTTTTTAAGGGAATTTTTCTCGATTGTTTAATTTATATTCTTAAGTAAACATAAGTAATCCTCTTCAATTTTTCACTTTGTTAGTACATTTTTTAACATTTACTACTTTTCGGTAGAGTGGTTTTGTCTAGATATACACCCACAAAACCTGTTCATCTAAACTTTAATACTCAGATCACCACTTAACTACCCGGATATGCTCCTGAAGTTTTAGCGTGAAGTCGTGATTGATGTAGTTCAGGCATTTAGAAGTGAAACAGTTATCCCATTGAATGGTAATCGCCCTATATCGCAGTGATTGAAGTTAAGTGTGTACCATTGAAAATCAACACATTATTCCAAAAGTTTAAGCGTTCATCACGAAACCTGAAGGTCTTGTGTTCTATCTCTAGTAGGATTTAGATTGTGCACTGTTTAATTATCTCACTTTATGACAAAATAGATGTTCAGTGTTTCATTGTCTTCGTTGGTACAACAAAACGGAATCAATCTACGGTTAGTACGACTTAAAAATCAAACCAATCTCCTCAAATACACTTTAACTAATCTATAAAAAATCTCATTGCTCCTGACTATTGATCAAGATGAATAAACACGTTTTTATATTATCTCTTCATCACCAGGTAAATGGAAAATCACAAAAACCAAATATGAAGTGTAAAATCTCGTTTACTTGTTTCGTTTATCGGATCAAATTTGATTAAGCAAATATAACCTAAATTGTAAATATGTGGCGTGGTCGATATAATTATATCTAATAAATACATATTTTAAATAATATACGAGATTAAAGGATGAAATTAATAACATTTATCATTTATTAAAAGTCATTAGACTTTTACCAGTGAGATAAGTGCAGTTTTAGATGACAGACTGATTTTTGTATGCAAGTGGAGTTAAAAAAAGGGTTTATATGAATTTTAAATATTTATTTTTCAAAACAAAGTGAGGCGATCCGGCAAAATTTTAAACACTGAAGGGAACGAGACAACTGTTTGGTGTTATTTTAAGATTCCTTACAATTATGCACCTATCAATGCTCATGAGATTGAGCCTGGTGTAACTTTAGATGTTCCACTGAATAACTTACTCCTGTTACCCTTCATAGAGGAACATAGGCCACTCAGCTGCATTCTCCATTCAGCTCTGTCCTGGACAATCTTTTCCGGTTTCTATTCATCCTTTTCATGTCTGCTTCCGATTGTCGGCTCAGTGTTTTTTTGCTTACCTACTTACTTACGCCTGTTACTCCATCCAACCCTGTCCTGGGCAATCCTTTCTAGCTCCGTCCAGTTGTAATTCATCCTTTTCATATCTGCTTCTATTATCCGACGCAATGTGTTCTTTGGCCTTCCTCTTTTGCGCTTCCCTTCAGGATTCCAAGTTAGGGCTTGCCTCGTGATGCAGTTTGACGATTTGCGTAATGTATGTCCTATCCATTTCCATCGTCTTTTCCTAATTTCTTCTTCAGCTGGAAGTTGGTTTGTTCTCTCCCACAGGCTATTGCTGATGGTATCCGGCCAATGGATGTTGAGTATCTTGCGTAGACAGCTATTTATAAATACTTGTACTTTCCTGATTGTGGTTGTTGTAGTTCTCCAAGTTTCGGCTCCGTACAGTTGGACTGCATTGACGTTCGTATTGAAGATTCTGACTTTGATGTTAGTTGACAGTTGTTTTGGGTTCCATATACTCTTCAACTGTGGGAATGCTATCTTTGCTTTGCCAATCTTCGTTTTCACGTCTGCATCCAATCCTCCACGTTCATCGATGATGCTGCCGAGACACGTGAATATTTCCACCTCTTCCAGAGTTTCTTCACCAAGTATGATTGGTCTGTTGTTCTCTGTGTTGCCTTTTTTCGTGTGTATGTTAAGGCCTATTGATGCAGAGGTGTTTGCTACATTGGCTGTTTTCACCTGCATTTGTTGGTGTGTGGGATGGAAAGGCCGGGACATTCGCGAAGTCCAAATCATCTAGTTGGTTCCTAGCTATCCATCGTATTCCATGCTTCTCATCAAATGTGGAGGTCCCCATGATCCAATCAACCACCAGGAGAAAAAGTAAATGGGGAGAGTAGGCGGCCTTCCTTGACTACGGTCCTCACTTGGAATGCGTCTGTCATCTGTCCTCCATGTACCACTTTGTAGTGTAGCCCGTCATATGAATTCCGTATGCTGACGATTTTCTTAGGTACACTATAGTGTCGACGAAGATTTCATTTCTCTATCCACACTGTCAATAGCCTTTTCATAGTAAATGAAGCTGATTTATAGTGACGAGTTCTATTCATTTGATTGTTTAATGATTATCCATACTGTCATGATTTGGTCTGTGCACGACTGATCCTTACGGAATCCAGCCTGTTGATCTCGAAGTTGACCTTCTACTGAATTTTTATCCGCTTCAGCAACACTCTGTTGAAAGCTTTTCCTGGTACCGATAGTAGTGTGATGTCTCGGTAGTTCTCACATTTGTTCAAATCTCCTTTCTTTGGTATCTTGATGAGGTGTCCTTCTTTCCAGCCTGTCAGTGGCACTTGTTCTTCGATTATTGTTGAGGTCATTGCTGAGTATTTCTAAAGCGTTTCATATTGAAGCAAAACGTTTATTCAGTATTTCCTTGTTTTTATTGGTACTCCATATGATATCAGTGTATTATGAATATTATCTGTCTTTGTTGAACTCTACTGCCAGAAATCAAGGTGCAACAATATATCAATGTACAAATTTTATTTTTAGATTCTACCATTCTCGTAAATAAGTAACCCTCATTAGCTTTTCAATTGTTCATTATGTTATACTCTTCCCTATCAAATTTTGTCATATAAGGCTATCTATTTCAAATCACCTCTTAATATGTTCTTTATTTCTGTATAGATTTTTTCTTTCCTTTTTGTTTATCTATTGACATAGTTGGGTCACTGTTTTTCTTTCTTTTTTCTGTTTCCCTTTTCCTTATTCTTTACATTTAGAGTTTTAGATCATTCTACTACCAAAGATAACCGTCATAATGAATTAATCTATATTGAATTTAATCAAGATGCATTACTAAACAGAAAAAGTAAATGAATAAACTTGCTTTGTTTTTTTTTATTTATAAAAAGTCACTTTATCTGTCATTAAAGTTGATGGCTTAGTAGCAGTTTTAGCTTTCAATCAATGAGTTGCTCATGTTACACAATGTAGCTTCGTGTACTTTGGTTTTTAAATAGCCAGGTAGATTATCACATTAAATAGCACACATGTAAAATGTAACTCAAGGTCATCCTCCTGAATCTATACCTAGTGATAAATAGGTTGGTTACTTTTTCAAATTTCTCTTAGAATAATGATTCTTTCATAAGTGTTACTTAAGCTGCATTTGTTTGAATCTATATTGAAGTGACAAATAAATACCTGTTGGAAATCATGACCAAAAACATTGAATATGGTTGAGGTTATTGTGGGAATGAGTTCCATACAAATGCAATCCTAGACGATCGAACATAGACTCTTAGCTTGGCCAAAATCGGAACGAGCAAACCATTTTTTTCTATTAACTACATCTACTTCTAAAACATACATTAACACCTTTAGTATGCGTGAAAATTAATTTAGTCTATTAATCATGGAAAAAGAGCGACACGAATAACATATCGAACAGTAACTAGAAGATAGGAAAAATGAGCTAACAAAACTTGATATTGCTTATAACAAACAAGAAAGATTGTGATTAGTGAATAAGCAACACATAGTCATACAAAGTCAAAATGAGTCAAGGTGTTAGTCGTCGTTTAATGCTGTCGTTGGTATATTCGTTAGTCGATTACGCCTTACAGTTATTTTTAAAAGATACTTAATATTGTGAATGTCAGCTATATGAGATTTTCCCATATTCAGGTGAAGCGATAAGAACAAAGTTTGCAGAATAACATGAATACATTTTTTAGCATTAGGAAAACCAACCTTACTGTATGTCAAACTACTGATCCGTATTCACATTTGATTGATCACTAAATAGTGATCAATGTCATTTATATCAGATTCTTCTTAGTGTTCGTTGAATCCTATCGATCTAGTTGGTTACCAGTCTAAGTGATTCGACATCGCGTACACTATGTTGAGATGTAAGAGGATGGTTGAAACTAGTCTATTAGAAACTCCGGATCTAGTTTTTGTGCTGTTTGGTACTCGTCCTCAAGCTATACTTGTAAAATGCAGTGAACTGATGCTCCCTGGTGTTTTTGATCTTGTGTCATCCAGCTTCACATTCAGGGACGTCACCATTGAGTTTGTTTCAGTTGCGACTGAACTGTATGACCAATATGCATTCACAATCGATCGAATCTCGTCAAGATTACAGGTGTACCTTGCTGACGTGTACCAAATAACACGAAACATAGGTCCAGAGTTTCCTGTCGGCTATGATCAACGATCAACTTACTAATCCATATGCACAACCTACCATGCTACCACTAATATCGAAATTTACCTTAACTGATAATTTCTGATTGCACAAAATTGTTTTCGTAATGCTGTTTTTCTCTCTCACTCAGTTCAAATTACTCTACGAAGCATTCACTTGTGTGCTTCAATGGATTATCTTATGTCTTTACTGGATTTTCAAATGAAAAGTACACCAACACTGAAAAGTGAATCAAATAATTTAACATATGTTTCGGATAAATCCAAACAGAAACGGTTAAACAATTCTTCAATTACAAAAACTGGTAAGTACAATAATTTCTTAATATTTTGACGTTAATTTTCTTTTTTAACTGAGTCATTTTTACTAAAAAAAGGAAACGTCAACTTAAGTCGTACTCAAGTTCTGGTTTGTTATTTAGAGGTGAGGTTCTTTGTTCCCTTTTCTATTTACGAAGAAATTCCTGATGATGATTGATTATGCATTAAGCACTTATGAATGTCATGTTTATTTGTTCCTTAGTTGTGATCGATTTCTGTCGATTCAATGTAATATAGCCACTAGTCTACACTTAACACTAAATAGTTTAAATGTTGGATTGTCAAAGTTGATCAACGAGCAGCCTTCCTCCTGGAACACCTAGTCATATGAACTTTTATTATTTGTACCATTATAACTTTAATTGAATATTATGTCAATACTCGAAAAAATGTATTCTCACATGAACGAGTAGTGGCTTAGTGGTTAGTGCATTCGGCTTCCAGACACTAAATTTCAGGCTCGAGCCGCGCTTCGCCTGCTTTTGTATGGCCAACCGCGTAGTACCGTCACCTCACATGCTTAAAATATAACTCATATTCAAGCGCGCGAAGAATGAGCTGATTTAAACTTGAACATTTAATTTCTATAATAAATGATTACAATTTTGTTCTTTACATGTATACATTATTTTAGATGCTAAGAAAACGGAATTATTACCAACAGCATATCCTTTTAATCTGGAGTTAAAAATTCATATAGATAATCCTGAATTAGTTCTTGTTGAAGATATTTATAATGTTGATAGTAATGCAATTAAACTTACTGTAAGTAGATAATATGAATCTTTTATTGTTATTCATTTTAAATATATTACTTTAAATGATCTCTGTCTTTCATCTAGATACTAGTACACTGGAAATTTTAAGTTGACGATAAGCCTTTTTCCACTCAACTCTATAACTAGTTGTATTATGATGTTTAAAGTTTGATTTTGATACTGATACACAATCGTTTTATTCACATTCTCAACCGGTTACTCGAATGATGTGAAGACTAAGAGTAAGAATGAAGCTTATTATGACTAGACCGAATAGGAACTATATATATAGAAAGATTATTGAGCAATCAGTGATGTATACCCCAGTTGCTTCATATACTAATCATTTCTTTACACTTATCATTCGACTGATTTCTGAATGAATCAATCAGTGTTTCATCATTACCTCTTGAAAATCGATAGGTCTGTTATCTCAAATTCAACTTTAAGAATTGATATGCATGATATCAAGTTCAATTCATTCTTCATGGGCTTTTTTCTAACAAATGGAATTCTTTTACCTTCTGTTTCCCAAATTTTTATGTATGAGTTAAAGAGAAAATTTTTTGGCATTATTTTCTAATTACTGGTTTTATTCTTTTACAGCTAACTCGTTCATGTACATGTATGGTCTAAATAAAACTATTGAACTGTAATTTTAGTCTGCATAAAATAAATAAAAAAAGTTCGAATACATACACAGGCTGAAACTTGTCCTTTGATATTCCGATTATTCATTATAACACACTTTATATTATGCTCATAATTGTACCATTATAGTTGTGTTGTTCAGTTCAATCCCCGTTTTTTGTATAGCATATCAGTTCACTCAGTCATAATAATTGTTTTTTAAGCTAGGTTTTATTGTGGCTAGTAATGTTCAACGTTCAATCATTAGTTTATGTAATCAGATTTTCTTTCCATAAATATTCTACTTATTATTTTTAATTTACCAACTAATTGATACTAATCATCTTTCTAACGATATAATACACTGACTTTTTTTTTTTTACTGTAAACGTTTAGACTGAATTAAGTTTTGGTTACAACATGCAACAGGATATGGTTGTTATAAATGCTTTAATCAACGGTTTGTCTGTTGCTGCCTGCCCTTACAATGAAACAGTTGGTGGGCCATTTTCTAAGGAGGTATGTTTCTTCTTGTGAATTTCACATCTTCATGAGTTTCTCTCTGTTTGAAACTAGTTTTGCTTCTAAATAATAATAACTTAATAGTCTAATCATATTTTTTTAATGGTATAATAATATTTTTTCATCAAAGTGTACGTGTTAATCAGCTAGTCAGTCAAACGCAAAGTAGGAACTGGCACATGTGTACATCGGTTCAAATTGTCATACCCCATCAGCAGAGTGAGATGAAATCTTCAGGGAAAATTCCAAGGTAGTTGGGATGATAACAGCATTAATTGTAATAGAAAAGATTAGACATTGAAGATATGATTCGGGAAAATATAAATTAGTGAATCAATAAACAAACTATAAAGATGGTTGGGCCACGTGTTACGTATGCCCGAACACCGATTACCACCACGTGCAATGCTAACCGATGTTCGGGATGGTTGGAAGAAAGTTAGGGGCGGCCAAACCAAAACATGGCATCAGTGCTTGAAGTCACTAACTTCTATTCTGAGCCATGCTGGTAGATGCAGACTACTTGGTTGTGGTCCGCGTGACTATCGTAACCAGTGGTTGAAGACTCTTGGTGACGTGGTTCAGAATCGATCACAATGGCGTAGGTGTATACACTCTTTGTCTTCCCTTAAACTATGAGATTAAAGTCGCTTCATATGTTTCTTCCTACGAACTAATTCTTTCTTGATGTACTATATCCTTATTGCAATCTTTCTCTTATATATTACCACCTCTAAATTAACTACTTTTATGAATCCGGTGTCCATCTTGTTGTGTTAGTGAGGTATGGCAACTTGGACCGATGTATATATGTGCCTGGTCCTACGTTGTAGCTGACTGACTGACTGAAGAAACTCAGGATCTAAAGGAAGAAAAAAAGTAAATACACCTGGGCTATTGCTAAGAATCTGTGACCATTGATGACGATTATCATGCGGACCTGAACCTAGTGGTCTTAACCTGCCTACATGATTCAATCCAGCAGTCAGTATCTTCATGGACTGATGTCACGTACTGGTTTGACGGCCCTTAGTTTGCGTTTAACCTACTTGTACTCCAGCAATCATTGTCCGTCTAGGTAGTTGGTGAATGGACATAAGTAATACATATCCTAAGCATCTCAGCTGATTAAGACTCACTTTCTTATTAATCGATTTGTCATACTTACCTAGTACTTCTCATATAACCTCAGAATTATTAACTCGATGATCCCAAAGTATACGAGCGATGCTTCGAAGACACTCATGATCGAATAGTAGTAACCTAATAGTATCCACGTCTTTTTATATATTATGGATGCATTTGCTATTCAAATTATTGACTTTAGGGATTTGTAAATTAAAGAGATACGGTTTGTACTAATAATATGACAAGATTATACGTCCATAATTATACATAGACAAATATTTATCCAACTTCATGTAATCAACAATTTGTACGAATCATGGAAATTTTAAAATGTACTGTTTGGTTAAATTCAAGTACATTTCAAAACAGTGGAACGAGTTTAACATTCCGATTATAAGTCCTAAGTATTCAGTGTCGATATTCAACAGAAGTCCGTCTTACATTAATTCGTGAATCTGTAGGTCAGCGGTCAAGGTGTTCAAGTATTAAGTTCCAGGTTCGAACTGCACTCTACCTGCTTCGGTTCGGGTAACCGGGTCGCAATATCTCTACTCCCTACACTCTTGGAGTATGGTTCGAAGCCAAGTTTACTTAACCTTATCTGGTTACATGAGTTCACATGAAATTACCTATCCAAATTCTCATCACGAGAGGTATTTATCTATCTATGTATTAATCTAACATAATCAAACCTAATGTACTGAATTGTCCGATTCCAATGTTTACTTTGAGCTCAAATGTACTAAAACAAAACATTTTTTGTTGAAGATTACCAAAGAGTTTCTAATGACTGTTCTTTTCTTGTGGGGTGGGGTGCTGGCGATAATCCATTTATTTAGATTTTATCGCCTTGTGCTTTGAGTTTTTATGCATCTCAACCAATTAATGGTAGTTTACATGGAACATTACATATGGATACTTTAACGATCAATATTAATCCAAACACAATCAGATTATTATCAGCAATTTCTTCATCTGTTCAATCATCTCTAACCACTGATAAAAATCCAGATATTTGTGAAACCGTTTCAAAGGTTGAATCTATGAAAGGTGTCAGTTTAGATCATTCGGATGAAAAATCACTTACTGAGTTTTGGAAACCGATTCAACTGAACGAATTAAATATGCCCTATTTAGGATTGACATCAGGTAAATTATTATTCTACAGTTTTATTACTATTGTGATTGTAATCATTAACATAGAATATTTGAATCCTTAAGTTCTAATCCTTTGTATATATTAGATGAACAAAAATTGCTTACCATTTAGACTGGTAAATATTTTGCTGGTCTCAAGATAAACTAATCATTATCATGGTTTGGAAGTTTTGTTTCTCTTTGAAATCTCTTAATCTATTGTAATATATCATCTGTTCAACCAACTTCAAAAGTTGGTTATTGGACAGAGATATTGATTTACTTAATCTTAATATACAGTAATTTCATATATGTGCTGTTCTATTTTTGAATGTTGAAATCTTTTACATCCTCAGTTCACTAAAATATGTGAAGTTTTCACTTCAAATATTTATCGTTTTTATTAATTCCTGTGTATCGTTCTTTTTAAATTTCGTAATTCGAATTCCAGATGCAAACGACAAAATTGAATGTGTTGAACATGCTTGTGATGTTGCGAAAGTTGTCGGAGAAATGGAGAACCGCCGCATAGATATCGTTAGTTTTTATGATATCAGTAATTATTATTATTATTATTATTATTATTATTATTATTATTATTATTATTATTATTCATGGTACTACTTATGTATTATGTACTTCATTGTAGAATAATCAACACTTGTAATCTTAGTTTTGTATTGTTCATATACGTCAATGTTATTTGTAAACTATTGCTTCCCATTTCACTTGTCTAATGGTATCGTCCTTTGAAACCTGAATGATTTGATTTTGATTCCCAATAGTTTACTTGGTGTGGACTAATAAGGAATCACATATTAGTATGAAATGAGCTTTCAAATATTTCTTTAGTTTTTATTTATTGTCTATTTAAAATGACTTCAGGACGTAAATTTTATTCAAACTGAACAATTCCTACCTTAAACGGAAGTAAATTACACTTTTGCGTAAAAAATATGAGAACCTTCCGTCGCTTGGTTTTTACAATTTAAGATTTTTAAAAAACTGTTTGGTTCACTATGATCATAATGTTTCATAGGATTTTTCTTCTGAAATTATCTGCAAAGTTAGATCAGACGTTCTATGGAAGGCAGGATTTGTTGATCGATACGTTTACTGAAGTATTTTGTACCGAATTCCCACCATTCCCTAGAAAGCATTTCTACATGAATGAGTGTATCCAGCTCCTCAAATTACATGTGGTCACTCTCCTTATACCATTAATTTAGTTACTGGTTACTGGCATAAATATTTGCTATAATATCATACATAATTATGTTAACTTCGGGAACAATGTTAACGAAAAAACGCTTCAAATCAATGATGTCTTTTCAAGGAGTGTGGGTAATGTATTTTTAAATAACTGTTCAGATCATTCGGTACAGTAATCTATTACTTCTCATTCTATATATTTTCTCTAAATATGGGTCACATATAGTGACCATTGCCATTCAGCTGACATATCAACCAATATCTTGTGTTCTTTACCTAACCATGTCAAATAGGTTTAAATCGTACATTTCAAAAGTCTAGTCACGTTTTTCGTCATATCCTTGAGATATTTTTTGTCTCTTACTATGTGAAAGAAATTTTTTGAAACAAACAAAATAACTAACTTCCTGGTTTAGTTACATTTTGACTCAATTTCTAATGCTCTTGGAATTCTGTTGATGTTCTTGACTGAAAATTGATCTGTCTTTGTTAGAAGATATATGGATCTTGTATGGTTAACCTCAATATAGCCATAATGTAGCTGGTCTTTACAGAATAGATTGACTGCCTAATCCAAGATTCACGTTTCGTCTAGCTGACGAGTCTTTAATAGGACGAAACATGGGCTAGACGAGTTTTCAGAATCCGTGCAGGCCAACCCATTAGGGTCGATCAGACTTCCAAGTAAAGTGAAGTTGTCGACGCGTCCGACTACTTCACTTCCTATCATTAGTTCAGGTGTTGACACTGGCCATCCCTGAAACAACAACCTATTGTTTTACATCGATTACCATGAGACTTCATCGCTTAGCGTTGCTACACTGACTTGTGGATTAAACCTCTAGGTCAAAGGCTCGTGGTGTGATCCCCTAAGAAAACCATCAGTTTCGGTTCGGACGCCCTGGCACTGTCTCAGCTTTTATACTGATCGAATGACAAAGTGTGGCGCAAATATATATATATATATATATATATATATATATATATATATATATATATATAGTACCTCCTTGTACCAATATTTACGTTTAAACAAATAAATGATTAAGACAAATCTTTCCTACTTGTTTTAGCGTAATATTTGTGTTGTAAGTTTTCCACTGTGTTGAATTGTTTCCTTTCGTTATCTGTTTGTATATAATATTATTATGTATGTCGTTTAAATTAAGTTCATTCGTTTTAAAATTAAACTATCCATGTTTTTATTCAACTCAGTCCAATTTTTTCTATCTCTTTCATCTCATTTCTTTCATTTGAACTTTTAAATCTGTATTTTAGTGGTTTTTTATCGTCTTGAATTCAGATTTTTTTAAAGATCTATTGTTTGGAATGTTTGTTCTGGTTTCATTTTAAGGTTTTGTGACTTCAATTGGCATATAATTCCCGTTTATACATTAAAAACATGAAGTTCAGTCAAGGGATCTCATTTCAGTTGGGTTTTTTTTCCATGTCATTGAATAGTTGATTCCAAGTCAACTAAACTAGCTATTAATCAGTTGTGGTAAAATTCTTATAGCTTACTTCTTTGCAAAATATCTACTGATAAAGTTGTTTTAAAAGATAAACTAGGTTTTGTAATCAAATCATTCAGTTCAGAGAGCATAAAATGATTCGAAAACTATGTAATATTACTATGTTCTAGTAGACGTCCAAAACTATTTCATCTATTCTTCAGTTACGGTCACATTGATAAACAGATACACAATTATAGATGATCGAAAATCAGAAAGTTTCAATCTTGTCCCATAATTGATTTCTGCTTAATGATTTATATTAATCATATATGAAAGATGTATTAATCTATTACAATATCACTTATTTGTTTACTTACTATCATTCCTTTTTATATACAATCAGTAACATATGATACATTTTTATAATAATTTAGCTTTTATTATGTAAATTTTTTCTTATATAATTCTAACATACGATAATCTATTATTATTAGTTGAACACATAAATACTGGTACAAGAGGGCACCAAATATATATGCGCCACGCCATATTTGTGTGTGTGTGGGCTGTGATACTGCCCGCGTGCTCAGACCGAAGTAGGTAGTTTTCTTAGGGGGCCACACCCCGAGCCTTTGACCTAAAGGTCTGATCCACAAGACAGTGGAGCATCGTAAGGAGATGCAGTCCCATGGAAGCCGGTGGTCAACGATTGGCTCATACGCGATTTGTTCCCTGAAGATACTGGAGCCCATGTGCACCATTGGTTCGGAATCATGGCTTTCCAACTCCCCTAAGAGGACCCTCCGTACCTAGCACCAACCCAGTTAAAGTACCGGACATTCGCTTTACGTCCTCTCAATTTCGTAAACAACTTTAATGCAGCGAGAAGGCAGTGAGTAGGACTTCCCTGGCAGAGGCTATTTACGCGTGGCCATGTGAGAGCATTTCGAGAGAGTAGTATGTATATAAATGAATATTTATGCTTTTTTTTCGGTATCCCAATTTACTTCCTCGCTCAATTAGTCAGTTGGTGGAGGTGGGTAGCGTGTAACACACCGTGTATCATTATTGTTATTCATTCGTAATTTTCAATATAATTAGATCTTATCTAACTATATAGTCTTATATCGATCTGTTTATGATTCATATATACACATCAATAAGGAATAATCAACCTTTAGTGTTTAACATCAACATGAGAAAATTTCTCAAGTGATTCACTTTTTATCAATATGATTTTACTGATACAACCCTTGAAGGTTATTTCTATTTGATAATTAACATTTTAGTGTTCTTTTTTTAATTTCTTATTTTTATATGTTTTGTATATTGCTTATTTTTTTTCCAGATAAATATTCGATTAAAAACTATTCGAATTATACTGGAATCTCAATTAGATACAAAATCTATGCCTATGCTTGTTCTTGACTCCACTTTAGATGCAGTTCTAACTAAACCAATTACAAATGTATGTTTTATAATTTTTGTACGTATATATATATATATATATATATATATATATATATATATATATATATATATATATATATATATATATATATGGTGTTAACTTTTTTATTACTTTGTTGTAGTGTTTCAAAGAAAAAGGATTAATTAGTATAATGATCATGGAAGTAACAAATTTTATTATATGTTATCTGGTAGATATTCTGTTACTTCACTAGACGAAATAGAAGCATCTTTAAAAAGATACCAAGGCCTACAATAGAACACATTATATACACTACATAATTTCTAAGTATGCTTCAATAGCATACCTCTATCCATCTCAGCGATCTATGTCGATGATAATGTAGAAAATATCATTTCATTTGATGAAAAGAATGTCACTTTCCTTTTGAGCCTGACTAGTAGAAAAAAACGGTGCTTAACGCATAAAATAAAACATTAATCTACACTTTTTTTCATATTTGTTTGAATGCTCTTACTCAGATAGCGTAGTTAAATCTATGTGATTGCTGAAGAAAAGAACTTCAGCTCATCATAATTCAAGTGGCTTGTAATTTTAATGATATTAATAATATACGGTTTTTGTAAGTGCAAAAATATGCTGTTGTTTTGTTGTGGTTGGTATATTGAGGTTTCTTTCTCACTAATCATAGAATACCTTGAACTTCATTTAACTATTTGTCGGGGATGTTAAACCCTCTGAACTCGCTTGGCAAACGTCTTATTTTTGTAATTTTATTCTGGAAATTTGAATTTCTTGTTTTCGCGCCAAAAGCACTCATTTTTACCTTTAGATTGTATTTCCCACTTGGAATGACCCTTAATATCATTGCTTCGTTGTCTCTTTTAGTAGGCTACTTTATGATGTCTCCCAAGGACATTTTCATGCTGTATGTATACGCTTGAGTTGTGCCTGTTGTTGTTGTTCGTGCTTTGGTCTACTTTTGGAATACACTTCTACTCTTCGGAGCCTGGACTTCTCCATCTAGTTAGTGTGCTGGGACACATCGAATAGTTAGCTTGTTTTGTCATTGTGTCGCTGAGTCTTCTTTCCGTTCACCGGTTTAGGTGATCTCGTAATCTCTTCAAACATAGCACTAATGTAATGGTTAAATCTAAATATATCAAAGAAAAAGCTTTCGTGCTGTACCTATTATATCAAGTGACATTATTTGATTTTTATTTGTCAGTGAGATTACAGTTCATAATATTGGCGATTTCCTATATTACTGGTGAATAACAACATTTAAAAACTTCGAAAGTATTTTTTTAAACCAGTTTATGTATTTCGCTCATTTACTCTGCGCAATGTAACACATATTTCATCTGCGGACTTCAAAGGTCTTCAAATATTTCAAGTGACTGACTTACTGCATTTCGATAGTTAACTATACTAACAATTTGTCTGCACTGTAACAATATAATATTTATCAATAAGTTATTCACCAGATACTTGGGTATGAGCCACGTCCTGAGTTTGTAGGGTGATGACTTTACCAGGTTTTTGAAACGGAACTAGGTGGAGTGACTTTCGAATGTGGAACTTAGTGGTTTAAATTCGGATACCTTAATTGCTAAGCCATACAAATGTTGATGGAGTTTGAACGAAAAATAGCAATCGACTCCTGAAACAAAAGTTCGTCAATCTGACATTTAAAAATGTTTTTTGATGTTAAATAAGGTATATTCTAAAGAATCTTAATCACTATTGTTTCTGTATAGGTTGTGCTTTTATTTGATTAACAAAGTTGCAGGTATAAAAAAACTAAATATGGACAACGCAAAATATAGGCTTCGTACGTAAAAGTATTGACAGTTGCTATGAGCTGTATCAGAAGGTCCCGACTTCCCATACAATATTCCATAACCAGTGGTTACAGACCTCGAATTAGATGGTGGTATAGTTGCAATGATTACTTGAATACCTCTAAATCTTGAATCAAGTACTATTCTCACCTTTCTATTCTTTGATCCCATTCATTCCTTTCCACTTGTATTTTATGCGGTTAGATTTTGCACTCGTGTTGATATTCTATCCCGTTGGCAACTTCTCACTTTGTTGATCTGCATTCACTGTGTTAATATGTGGTGTGGTAAATTAGACCAGCAGACACTTGTATCAGGATATATGTTGATAATGAATAATATATTTTTGTTCTCACTTTTCATTTTCAGCTCGAACTAAAGTTTCTAATAGAATTATCCTTATCATATTACAATGATTCACTTAATCAATGGGAACCATTGATTGAAACTTTACCAGAAGAAGGTGATCGTATGTGGTCCCTTCAATTGGAAATAGTCAGTATTGATAATAGGGCCCAATGTTTAACCGATGATGACTGGGAGAATGTTGGTTGTCTGCAAGAATCAAGGAATACAATGTTAATTCTGTCCAGAGATAATTTAGAAATCACTATATCTAAAACTGCATTAAATATGTTAAGTAACTTGGGTCGTGTAAGTAATATTAATTATTATTTTTTTGTTTGGATTGTTAATAACATTATAATGAAACTAATTTTGATTGGTTTCAATGGTGTTCTTTGCATATTGTACTATTACGATGATAATTTCTTTAGCCATATTAAAAGGTATATATGTATGGGAGTTTCAAAAATTTAGTTCGGCACAGCATAATCGATCAGTGGTTCAAATAGGTCATTGGTTTAAATTCTGTCTGGTCAGCCCTAATGGGTTGGTGTTTGACGAAATCTCTGCACGAATTCGAAAAGTTCGTTTGGCTTTTGTCAACTTACGTTACCTTTGGAGAAGGTAAGATATCCGTCTATCAATTAAGGGGCGAGTATACTTCGCAGCAGTTCGTTCTGTTTTAATTTACGGCTGCGAAATGTGGCCATTATGAGTTGGAGATACTCGTAAGCTACTAGTATTTGACCACAGATGCCTTAGAAATGCTGTTGGCATCTGCTGGGATCACCGGGTAAGTAATAGTGAGGTTGGACGCAGGGTATTAGTGAATGATGGTAAATCGGTTGATGAGGTTGTGAATCTTCATCGACTGAGATGATTGGGCGACGTATCGCGTATGCCCGAACACCGATTACCACGACGTGCAATGCTAACCAGTGTTCGGGATGGTTGGAAGAAAGTTAGGGGCGGCCAAACCAAAACATGGCATCAGTGTTTAAAATCACTGACTTCTCGCCTTCTAGCCATGTTGGTAGATGCAAGTTAGTTGGTTGTGGTCCGCGTGACTATCGAAACCAATGGTTAGAGACTGTGGGTGACATGGTTCAGGATCGATCACAGTGGCGTCGGTGTATCTATTCTTTAATTTACCTTAAATCGTGAGATTAAAATTACTCTATACCTTTCTTTCTACGAACTAATTCTACCTTCCTGTTTTATATCCTTATACACAATCTTTCTTCTACGAACCTTCTGTGGAACGGAGTTATATTTAAAATTGGTTAATCACTAAGTAGTCATCAATATTCATTTATGTCAAGTCCTTGATTATGGTCGAACTCTAACTACTAACTTCAATCACTGTGCATCATATACACAATATTGAGTCACTTAGACTTTAGTCACCTTGGAACTTGATTGATAGAATTCGATTATTTCAGTTTTTCAGTATCTAACGCCAAAAGAATAATCAGTAAAATGGAATGTAAAATTTGTATATGAAACACTAATGTATAAAATTAAGATGAGAATTGTTTGTTTACTAATGATTAAGCCAAAACCGCTTCTATCGACATTGACAATAACACATAAGTCTCATTTTAAAGAGAGCGAGAACGAGGATTGATGCAGAATAATATGAATTGGTTTTAATTCGTTAGGTTCTCATCAGCTGCTTACAATCTGTAATATTTTAAAATCAATGTTATTACAGATATTGGCATACTTATACATACGAGGTTGATTTAATATGAATATGTGTATCATGATGTAACGAAGGCTCCATGAGAGTTAGTAAGGTCATAAAAATTTTGTTGCTGATAAATAAAGTTTCAAAGGGAAAGTTCCAGAACATTGAATTAGTGATTAGAACTCATGAAATTAACAAATATTATGTAATAAAGCAACAGAAAACAGACCAATAGTAATAAAGAATGAATTGAAATCAGTCAGTTATGAATTGACGAAAAATGACAATCATGTAATTACATTTCAGAAAGAGTTGAAATAATGAATGAGGTAATAAATAAAAAAGAGAATTAATGTTATCAGGTCAAAGAAAGATTTATTACTGTCGCTTTTTGGATACATAGATCTGGTTTTAGACGTTTGATCGCTATAGATTTGGCAAATTTCAAAAGATTGGAGTTTGATTATTTGTTAATCACTTTAAAACCACTCTATTCTTTTATGCAAAATCAAACAGGTCATTTGTAAACTGCGAAATCCATACCTTAAGTATTTTCACATTTCCTGAGTCGCCCTTTATATAATCCATCATCCTTCCAATCTTGTTGTTATTTCGATTGCTCTCTGTTTTCCTTCCCCTTCTCTTAATTTCAATCTTCTGCTGGTAAGCATTCCAATTATTACTACATACTACTTATTTCTGTCCACACCACATGCAACTGAGTTTGAACTTATGAACTACTGGTTTAAAAAAGCTGTATATTCAGACAAACAAACCACACTTTTAAGCTGACGTGTTTTTTCTAATAAGACTGCAATAAATGTAGCATTTAATTTCCTCACAACTTACTTTGAGATATTTATTTTTACTGATGGATTTTATTTAGCTATCTAAAGAACTAGACTAAACATGAAAATTCTCTATGATAATCTCAGCTATATAGTTGACTAGAATCCATTAAATCCTCCTTGTTCATCGGAGGATCAGATGCAGACGTAAAGGCTAGGATAACAAAGTAAGGGCCGCATTTCTTCAATTGAAGAACATGTGGAACTCAAAACAACTATCAACCAATATCAAAGTCAGAATCTTCAATGAGGACGTCAAGATAGTCTTACTGTATGGAGATGAAACTTGGAGGACTACTACAACCATCATCAAGAAGGTGCAAGTATTTATAAATAGTTGCCCACACAAGATACTCAACATCGATTGACCGGATACCACCAGCAAAAGCCTTATGTGGGAGAGAACAAACCAGCTTCGAACTGAAGAGGAAATTAGGAAAAGACGATTGAAATGGATAAGACATACATAGCATGGAATTATTCTGATTTATACTAGTCACATTTTACTCCATAGTTAAACAATCACTTATTACTTTTTATACTGGCATTAATTTTATTTCCTATATTTTTGCTTTTAGTCATTTGAAGCAGCCTATAAGTTGAAAAATATCAAATCGAAATACGATGATTCTACCAATCAAGTTATAGCACCCTATCGAATTGTGAATAATACCGGTTGTCAGCTGGTGTTACGATATAATTCTCAAGCTCTATCGTTGACTCACTTCAACAATGACAATACAATGACTACAGGGGAATCTCTTCATCAAACACCATCGGGATCTAACAAAGCGGTTGTTTCAAATACTGAACATGACATAGTAACATATCAAAATTCGATTTTACTTAATTCACAACAAGAAATTGGATTTACTGAGTTGTCTAAAACTGACAAAGTAATTTTACTTTTATTGTGAAAATTTATTGTGTTTTGGCTCATGTGATCTGGTCGTAAATTTAGAAAGCAGTTGTATTCTCTCTTTAGTCAGATTGTCGATTTATCCGTCTAAATTTCCTTTACAGAATTAATGACATCAAGACCTTTTTTGATCAACAATATGGATTTGTTTATAGTTTCTAGGCCCTAGAATGTTTTTTTTAAAACATTATATAGCATTCACAGTCCACATATTCAATGCTTGTGGGCGACGGAAAAACAAATGAATCGTCGACAGCCAATCTTTCACCATAAAATTGAGTATTTCCCCTAATGCTTTTGGGTCTTTTTTTGATGTTTTTTTGTAAGAAAATCTGTTGCTTATTTAGTGTAATGTAAATATTAGTGATGATCAATTATAAACCTTGTCTTCTGGATACTAAACGTTTACAAACATTTTTCTTAATATACTACTATATATGTGATACAAATTAATTTTTTTTATTGTTCGGATAACGGACTGATCCCAACGTTGAAAATAAGGAAACATTGGACTGCTGTTTCCCCTATTGTGGTATAGGGGACTATTGGTATAGGACTCATCAGCAGTGCGCGTTTGCGACCCTGTCATACAGAATCGAACTCAAGACCATCGGTCTCCTGTGCGAACACTTACTTAACTCTTAGACCAAGGACCTGGAATTCAATGATATACATGTTTTACGTTTCTTTTTGCCTTTTTTTAGAATCAGTCCATTGTTTCTTCATATAAGGATTCGCGTCACCATATTTGGATTTCTCTATCAGATACAAGTCATAAACCTGGCAGTTTCATATCAAATTCGGAAGTTGTTTTTCAATTATATCGAGGTGATAGCGAATTGCTTTGTTTATCAAAAGATCCCAGCAATGAAAAACCTACGAGTTCAGATCGTAGAAGTACCATTTATCCTATCATTGCTGATGTTGAAGCATGTCTGGGAGTGAAATCGATAACCTTTCGTTCAACTGTTCAGGTAAGTATATAGTAAACCACCTTTTGTATTCGATAGTCAACCAGAATATTTATTTATTTTAATAACAACGCTAGGTCCACTTTCCAAACCCAAACTTGTGTATCAGTCAATCTAACTGCTAAAGCTGAGCTACTATCTTTAAGAACCTCCATTTGATTACACCAGGTACCTCTGCTCTCCCCTGTTTAGATTATCTGTAGTTCTTCAACCTCATTAGGAGTAAGACGGCTTAGGTTAATATTCTATTCACGTTGTTCATTAACAGTAAGAACCTGCTAGTTAGGTGAAAGCCTGTCAAACTGTTACTCATACAAATTGTTTGTGCTGAGAATGAATCATAGTCTCACCAAAACCTGAGTTTTTAATAATACTATGCTGTTATTGTGCTGATGATGTCGTTCAGAATAACGATAAAAGCTTCACAACCAAACCACCCAGAGAGGGGTATATTGAGGCCTACTGATCCAGAGACTGCTGCTACACTGTTTGTTCTGACCTGCATTTTTGATGTACATGGGATAGTGTGGCCAGATCATCTGCGAAGTCCAAGTTATCTAATTAATTCCGAGCTGTCCGTTGTATTCCGTGCTGCCTCTCAGATGTAGAGGTCTTCATAATCCAGTCAACCACTAGAAGAAGGAGAAACGGTGAGAGTAAGCAACCTTTTCTTACACCAGTCTTCACTTGGAACGCGTATATCAGCTGTCTTCCATGTACCACTTTGTAGTGTAGTCCGTCATATGAATTCCGTATGATGTTGATGATTTTCTCAGGTACTCTGTAGTGTCGTAGAAGTTTCCATAATGTCCTATCCACGCTGTCAAACGCCTTCCCATAGTGAAGTACTTTGATGTATAGTGCCGAGTTCTATTCATTTGATTGTTTAACGATTATCCGTGGTGTCGCGATTTGATCTATGCACGACCGATCCTTACGAAATCCGGTCCCATAATTTCTTCATAGCCCGTGTTGTCCATTCTGACTTTGGCGTTTTATTCTCCCATCAAATTGTTCAGGTCGTGTCCTGGGCACTTCTCTACGATCAACCGCAATCTCTCATAAAATTGGTCTCTGTCCTTTCCATCACTATCATTGGTGGGTGCATAACATTGGATAACATTTATTACGATTCCCTCCTTCTTTGTTTTGAAGGATGCTTTGTTGATCCTGGGTCCATAAGATTCCCATCCTATAAATACTTTTCGTGCTTCTTTGGAAAGCATCAGAGCAACTCCCTGAGTATGTGATGCATTTTCTCCATGGCCAGAGTACAACAGCCTCTGTATCGAATTTTATATTCTCTGTCCAGATTTGGTTCATTGTGTTTCACTTATTTCAGCACCACCAAGTTTATCTCCTCATTGCCGTTGCCATTTGACTAGTCCTCCCGGTCTCTCACATTGTTCGAGCATTTCATCGACCAATTTTAATTGTTGCTCTGGTTGTTAGAAGGGACATTGGTCTTGTGACTTCCGAAGAATTCCAGGTTTCACCATGAGGCATTTTAATTTTTTAAAATAAAGATCCTTCAACTTGCAGGGCAGAGTTTAAATGGTTTCATTTGTTTATTCTGGTTAAAGCCTTTTTAGCAAGGTTGCTTTCTACGGGATGGGGTTGCTGACCCCATACTCAACTCTCCTCCTTTACCCAGTCTTGGAATCGACAGTAACTCTAGAAGACCTACAGACGTAGTTAGCAGTTCGCCTCCATTATACTCGATTCAAAACTCGTACAATAATTTAGGGCGAATTCTTGACCTTATTACAACATAGTTAAGAAAATTACAGTCCTAATTTCACCATAGATGGAGAGCCGAATAATAGGTCCGTAATAAATTAAAAGTTACGTGACAATTGCGATAAATGTGCATAAACAAAATTAGTCGATTATCATAATCCTTAGAGTGTAGTCGATGGATGCTTTATCCATTAGTTTCTTTCCCACACTATAACCTATTGACCTACAGTGAATCAATACAAACCATTTAAATTATCATTTCTGTCCTTTTTAACTAAATCTACAGAGAAACTTTATTGTTCTCTTATATTATTTCATATTTACACATTCCTCGATGAAACACTTTTCATCTTCGTTAGTAATAGAAAATAAAAAGAATAAAATGTGGTGATTCTTTCAAAAATATAGGATTGATAAATATTTCAGGTTACATAGAACGTTTCTTTCTGTTTTGGACGTTTACTCTTGTGTGTCAATTGTTTGCTTTTCAACACCAAGTCTGCATCAACTAAGGGACATCGACTATAATTCTTACTTACTTACGCCTGTTACTCACAATGGAGCATAGGCCGCCGACCAGCATTCTCCAACCCACTCTGTCCTGGGTCTTCCTTTCCAGTTCCGTCCAATTTTTGCTCATTTTTCTCATGTCTGCCTCCATTTCCCAGCGGAATGTTGTCTTTGGTCTTCCTCTCCTCCTTTGGCCTTGAGGATCCCACCTGACGGCTTGGCTTGAGACGCAGTTGGCTGCTCTCCTCAGTGTGTGTCCTATCCTCCTTCAGAGCTTCTCCGATGGAATCTGGTTTGTTCTTTCCCACAGTAGATTGTTGCTGATAGTGTCGTCTGGTCAACAAGTCCGAACTATTTTGTGTAGACAGCTGTTAACAAACATTTTTATCTTCTTGATGATGGCTTTCGTAGTTCTCCAGGTTTCCGCCCCATACAGTAGAACTGTCTTGACATTTGTATTGAAAATCCTGACCTTAGTTTTGGTTGACAGTTTTTTTGAGTTCCAAATGTTCTTCAGTTGTAAATATACTGCTCTTGCTTTACTGATCCGCGGTTTCACATCTGCATGAGATCCACCATGTTCATCAATGATGCTGCCCAAATATGTAAAGGTTTTTACATCTTCCATATCTTCTCCGTCAATTGTGATTGGATTGGTGCATGTTGTGTTGTATCGGAGAATCTTGCTATTCCTTTTGTGTATATCGAGACCTACTGCTTCTGAGGCCGGTCTTACACTGGCATTCTTCTCCTGCACTTGTTGTTGCGATTGCGATAGGAGGGCCAGATCATCTGCGAAGTCTAGATCGTCCAACTGCATCCTAGATGTCCACTGTATCCCGTGCTTCCCTTCAGATGTTGATGTCTTCATGATCCAGTCGATCACCAAGAGAAAGAGAAAGAGTGAGAGTAAGCAACCTTGCCCGGCAACGGCTTTTTTCTCGAACGAGTGCTTCTTCGTAGTCAACGAAGTTGATGTAGAGTGATGAATTCCATTCAATTGATTGTTCCACAATGATCCGTAGAGTTGCGATTTGGTCTGTACAGGATCGATCCTTACGAGATCCAGCGTGTTGGTCTTGAAGTCGGGCGTCTACGGAGTTCTTCATTCTGTTTAACAGTACCCTGTTGAAGACTTTTCCTGTTATTGAGAGAAGGGTGATGCCTTTTTAGTTCTCACACTTGCTGAGATCGCTTTTCCTTTGTATCTTGATCAGGTTTCCTTCCTCCCTGTCTGTTGGTACTTGCTCTTCATCACAAATCTTGCCGAAGAGAATGTGAAGTAACTTTGCAGTTACTGCTGTATCTGCTTTCAGTGCCTCTGCTGGAGTGTCTTCTAGTCCTACTGCTTTGTCACTCTTGATTTGTCTGATGGACATGCTGATTTCTTCAATTGTTGGTGGGCCAACATCGATTGGGAGGTCCGTGGGTGCTACTTCGATGTTGGGTGGGTTCAGTGGGGCTGGCCGATCCTAGAGTTCTTTGAAGTGTTCTACCCACCTGTTTCTTTGTTCTTCAATGTTGGTGATTACCTTGCCTTCCTTGCTTTTCACTGGTCGCTCCGGTTTACGGTGATTTCCAGAGAGTTCCTTTGTCGTGTCATACAGTTGTTTCATGTTTCCTTCTCTCGCAGCCTTTTCCACCGTCGTTTCTAAATCTTCCACATATTTACGTATGTCAGTTCTGATGCTCCTCTTCAATTGCTTGTTTACTTCTGTGTATTCAGCTTGTGCCTTGGCTTTTTCTGCTCTTGTTCGGCTGGTATTGATTGCTGCCTTCTTGTTCCTCCTTTCTTGAATCTTATCCAGTGTATCAACAGTGATCCATTCTTTGTGGCCCAGGACCTCATGACATGTTGAAGTGATTGCCTCTTTGATCCCCTTCCAGTTGCTCTCCACAGTAGTTCCTTCTCCATTGAGTAGATCATAAAAGGCCTGGAACTTGTTACTGAGGTCTATCTTGAATTTGTTGAGTTTGTTAGTATCCTGAAGAAAGGCCGTATTAAACTTTTGTGATGTTGTCCGCCCTGTTGTCAAGTGCTTCTTGAGTTTCAATTTCATCTTGGCGACTAGCAGGTGATGATCTGATGCTATATCAGCCCCTCTTTCGGTTCTCACATCCTCCATCGTCCTCCTGAACATTTTGTTGATGCAAATATGGTCGATTTGATTCTGCGTAGTGTTACCCGGTTCATTTAATATTTATTTCATGGTTCACCAATGAAATTAAGTGTTAAAATCAGTTGACTGTGAATCTTTGCCTTTGACGTGTTGGTTGTGGCGTATACTATGTATACCCAACCATTGACTACTTCGATAAATAATATCGATTATTGTTTGAGTGAGATTGGGTTAAGAAAGGCTAGAGGCAGCCAAGGCAATATCTAACTTCAGTCTATAAAGTCATCAACTGTTGCACTAAACGATTTCGGTAGGTGCATATTACATTGTTAGTGTTCGCACAATCATCGTGAACAGTGGTTGCACATTGCTGTATGACAGCTTATAATCGTTTACAATCAGGCATATTTGTTCACTTATTGTCTCACCTTAGATACCGAATCTCTAAACTATCTTATACTGCTCATTTTTACTATACAAATCCATTCTTGTCGGATCGTACCGTTTATATGTAATGTCTTCCACTACTCAGGTATTTACCTTGATATTTGTGTTGATGTCTTGTAGCAACTTGGGATAATGCACATATATGTCAGGTCATATGTTGCTTATATGTGGCTAATTTTTTTTTCGTAATTCATAAATCACGGATGTATTGTCATTTCTTTTTAATTATTGGTACTATTACTCATGTATTTATTCAACAGGTCTTGAATAATACTTCTGAACGTGTTTGTATCTACTCACCTTTAATAAAATCATCTGTAGCAAATCAACTACCTGGTTTATTAACAGTTATTGACGCCGGTCAGTCATATTCACTTCCTGTAGAAATCGTTAATTCTCGTCAACAAACAGGGATATTTATTGGACCGGAATATGAAAAGTTAGTTATTGTTTATCTTTGGAATGCTGTTGTTTGACTTGACATGACTAATTTTCATTATTTTACATTATTTATTTAGTGAAACTAAGTTTAGTTCTAGTTCAAACTCACCAGTAACTTATATCAAAAATATTGAGATAACGGATGCACTTTGTTCAATTTGAACTCGAGTCATTCAGTTTCACAGTCTATCTAAAACATCACTGAAATGTTCAACCTGCAACTAAACTCCTGTGGGACTCAGATATTAACATGGAGAAATATGAGAATGGTTTACACTATTAAATAAGTGGTGGATAAAAGGGTGAAAGCAAAGTATTTCACAAAAATTGTTCAGTCAGTTGGGATTTTTTGCAAATGACAGACAGACGTAATTTTCCTTCGATTTTTATCTAACAGTCTTATCGAGAAATATCTATGTATCATTCTGGGTCTTCTCCTATTACAAACATTGGAATCTGATTATTTTAGGCTAAATAATATCAGTCAGATTGAACACTTCTCTCTGCAAACCTAGTTTCTTCATTCTAAGTTGTGCAATACGTAGCAAGATCAAGCCAAAAGTGTCTGTGAGTGTGAGAGATTTTAACTAATAGATTGGGAATAAATTAAGAATAGTAAATCGTATAACAGTAGCTAATAGGTCGAATGAAAGCTTATGATAAAAAATATACATATACGTATAATCTAGTTACTTAATAGTTATCCAACAGGAATATATGTAATAATAGTCCATAAATATTTCCTAGCAGTTACCAATAACTTATTCTTCGTTCGGATGTAATATTTGCATATATTCTTTTTTCTATACCATTTTTGTTGTAGACCAGTCATTTCAGTGACTCCTGCTTATTGGCCAGAATTTGCTTGTGGAGTTGAAAAATACACTCCAAGTAATACAGATACTCACTTACCTTTTCTTGCACCATACGCTCAAACAGTATCGTCTACAAATATAGAATATAAAATATCCACTTCCTCTCAATTTAAATGGCCCAATCAATTAATTGAATGTCATACAAACAGTAGTAGTATGAATAATAATGGTATAGTATACTTTTATAACGTTGCTGTTGTAAATCATAGTGATCAGGATAATCGTTTTGACAATAATAATAATGATAATGATAATACTGGCAACAATGATCAACAGCGTAAAACATCATTAACTGAAGTGGCCGATGAATTACGTGCAACTCAAAAGAAAATGATCCAAGGAGATAAATTAAGCGTAACACATTGTGATTTTCAAATGATTATCCAAACTGCTGTAGTTTTGTACAATCAACTGCCGTTCCCAATTAGTTTTATATTAACAGTAAGTGTGCTTTTTTTCTTACCATTATATTGATGACTTTTTTTTTTTTTAGCAGGAATACCTGTTTTTTTAAGATTTTAGTTTCGTGCTAGCCTAAAGTCATCGAGATATCATATCTATAATAGTGAGAGAAGAGTTGCCTCTTGAGGGAACAAATTCGTGATCATTCTACCAGCTTCATAATCTGAGACGTCATTACTGAGCCTTGTGGGCTGCGAAGGACCTCTTGTAGGGCTGATAGATGTACAATTAATTAATCACTGAGGGTAGTGATCAATGTCATGTTTGTCAAGTCCTTTCTATGGATTAGATTTTATCATTCAGATTGTAAGGTGACTTACTAGTTTAGATGAATCGACATCGCGTCAGTCAGTCAGTTACAACGTAGGACCAGGCACATATATGCATCGACACAAGTTGCCGCACCTCATTAACACAACAAGATGAACATCAAATTTATAAAAGTAGTTAATCCGATGGTAGTCATATATGAAAGATTGTGTATAAGGATATAATACAGGAAGGAAGAATTGGTTCGTAGAAAGAAAGGTATAGAATAATTTTAATCTCACGGTTTAAAGTAAGTTGAAGAATAGATACACCGACGCCACTGTGACCGATTCTGATCCATATCACCCAGAGTCAAATCATCGGTTTCGATAGTCACACAGACCCCAACCGAGTAGTCTACACCTACCAACATGGCTCAGACTAGAAGTTAGTGACATCTCGTGCACCTTGGTGAGATGTACGATGGAGGTGGTTGTGTAGTGAGTGAATGAGAACTCGGGTGGGGAAAACCAATTAACGGTTGGATGCAAACTTACGGAATGACTTTGTGAAATATGAAAACCACATAATAAATACGTTATTTACAAATCCCCCTTCGGTTGTCCTTTGCATATGTCATGGTTCTTTCATTTCTGTTGTTATCCCATCTGCTCTCTGTTTCCTTCACTTTACTCTACAATTTAATCTTTTACCTGCAGGTATTCCTATTCCGATTGCTGCTACCGACTACTTATGTCTGTCAGCATAATTAGCATGCACCACAGTTGGAGGTAGTTTGCAACCAACCAAGTAGTACTACTGATTGTACAAAGGTGTAGCGGCAGTAATGTGTTTCCTTCAGACAACCAACATGACAGCGATGCTGCCTTCCTACAAGGATTTTCGTCTCCGGTGATAAGGTTCCAATAAGTACGGAGCTGACACGAAAAATACTCATAAAAGGGTCGTGTGTGACCGACCTCAAGCAGTTGTCCCTTGGGCATTGCGGTCATGCTCTTAGGTCACTCAGATCAACTCTAACTCAACTTCTTTTTCAGGTACCTTCAGATGAACCCTTCCACTATGTGGATATCCGGGAAGCGATAACCACCCTCATACTTCTAACAGCACTCAAGACCATTGCATTCGTAAGACTGTGTTTGCAACTTGAATACACTCACTGGCGTAGACCTACATCTTATTTATCATAGGTTTTCGTCATACATATTTCCTGATTCTATAAAATTTCTTGTGGGGAACTAATATGTTTTAAAGAACACTTTTGTCATACTTTAATTAAAGAAGTTGGCATAAACGTTTTGACTTCAACGTTAAAGCGACTGAACAAAAGCATTGTTGAGTAAATTTGTATATATCTCGGTAAGTAATGTAAAAAATATTAAGTAACTATTACTAAGAACAGTCTTCATCTACGGAAATTCATCAGGTAATGCGATACTGTATCTCACATCTCCACTTATGAGACGTTTGTTATTCTTTTAGAGTGAAGTATTTCTCATCTTCGTATTTAAATTAATGATTGCATTGCCAAACACTGATGTCTTTCATTGTTTTTTCTGTATGCTTTTTATTAGTTTTCAGAGATGGAGTTTTATTATTCGAAATGTTTGTTATATTTGTACAAACCGCAGTCTTTGAAATTTTAGTAATTAATTGTATTCTCTTATTGTTTTAGGATATTACCGACACAATTTCTGCCGGTAGTCATTATGCACTGAAGACTGCACCACCAAATAGGGCACAAATTGAAATTTCAGTAAGTATAAAAACACATTATTATAATACTCTTTATTTCTGAACGATTATTTCGTTCTTGAAGAAACATACTTTAAGGTCTTGTGGTTAATCCCATATGCGGTCGTGAGTAGATATTTTTAAGTAGTCTGAAAAAAATGAAGGATTTCCAATGATCATCCAGTTAAGTTTGGTATTAAAATCACCTTCAATCAATAAAAAAATCTTCACACAAACCACCTTAGTTAATTACACAGTTATGTTTATTCCCACACAGTATTCATTAAATTTAGTCTTCTAGCTACAAATTTTGAGGCACTTTTTTTTATCTCACTAGGTAACTTAGTTTTATTGTATAATAAGTACTCTGCGATCATTGGACTCTGCTACTGATATATATCCTTCCTATAAACCAGCTACTTGAGTGAGAAAATTAAGTAGCAAATGCCATCCATAAATGTATATCTTTCTGTTGCAGAAACTAAAGCTGGATTTTCACTTAATAACGTATCTTTATCTCCATAGAAAGTTGATTCAAATCTTGACCAATAGCATGTGTCCGTCAAAAGTAGATTATAATAGTAATATATTCGTATTATCACAATGAGTAAGAAATTGACTTCTGCAGTCTACTTAAAGTGATCAAATCAAATCTTGACAATAGTGCTTAAAAAAATAAACATTTTCAAGTCGATCACCGATAAGTTGAGTGTTCGTACTGGAACTATCTCTTTTGTCGGCAACGTAAAACATGGTACATACATGAACCACTTCAAGTTGTCATATCATATTGACACAGAGAGTTTAAATATGACAAATGCTAGATTATTGGGAGTGTTGACAGTATCATTAATTGTGGAAAACATCAGATATAGAAAAAGAAAAAAAGTATAGAGATTTCTAGACTCAGAACCCATTAAGATAGGTTCTGATCCTGCTCACCGGTCGTCTTCAACCTTTGATCACAATGATCGTATTGATCGCAACCAAGTTGTACCAACCTGACAACATAGTTCATTTAAATAGTTAGCGAATTCATAAACTTATACCATATGTTAATTAGGCTTCCTGTAAAATTGCTTACTTACACTACATCTTCATAGAGAATTATCACTTTTCATAGGAACAATACTTTAGTATTTTGATGTGTTGAATGATAATTTGTAGTTGTAATTGTAATAAATGTTTTGTTTATCATCTCAAGTTCGAATACACTGGTAGCATGTATCGAGGCAAACTGGAATTACATCCACAAATGGAAGAGTATTGTGTCATTGAATTCGAATCGCGTAAAGAATACGAAGTGTTTAACTTGGTAAGTGTGTGTATGTATTTTAAATGTTGAATTATGTTTCTTTTAAGTTATTTCAAAAAGAAGTACTCTACACTGGAAACGTCTTAACATGATAGTTCAATTCAGTATCTGGTTATGGAGATTGTGGACTTTCATTGAAATCATGAACCGATCTAAGTGGTCTAGAGGTGGTTAAGGGTTCACGCATGACTGAAGGTCCTGGGTTCGATTACGGAGTGCGGTATCGTGGACGCACACTGTTGGGGTGTCCCATACTAGAACGAAACGGTCGCCCAGTGCTTCCAGGTTTTTAATAGAGGTCTAACTTATATTGGTTCATGATTTCGATAAATTATAGGCTGTTTGTTTGATCATAGCTGCGGAAGATTGGTACTAGATATATCACATGACTCAAGCCAAAAGACAAAGACTTATATCAAGTAGAAGGCTTGATCCAACCTCCAACATGACCACGAGGTATTCGCCAAAATACACCCAATTTTTGGAGATTCTACTGGTATTTAGTTATTAGTCAATGATAAAGAAGCATAAGTAACTGAAAATAGTGAAAATATTAATGAGGTGTACTTTCTTATCGGGATAATACTAAATAAATATATGGTATACTGAATGTATGTCAAGCTAAATTCTTACTAAAAAATGTTTTAATGAAAAAAATATCATAGAAATATCACATGATATATGAAATTTGACGGATGGTGTATCCCATCCTAACTGTTTATTTATACACCATTTTAGCTATAATAGAGTATTGATATAAATTCTACTCATTTGTATCTGATACTCGTCAATTGAATATACCTGCGTTCCGGAATTTATTTCTAATTCGGGATTCTTACCCAGCAATTGGCTACTGAGTCCAGATAGCTATTCACTTGTACAATTAGTATAAAGGTACTAGGTCCGAAGCTTAGAGTTAAAATCAAATCTAGTATGCAATTACATCCATCTGATGAGTTCCAAAAGGGATGAAATATGGATCCGGTTCCCCACTACTAACCACATCCTATTTTTTCTGTATAAACTTGTGATATCATAGCTATATCCAGCCAACCTTCACAGGACGTACATATGCCAACTAAGACTGATCAAGAATCCAGTCAAAATATCAACAACAAAGTAATTCACATCCATAACAACTCAAATCTCATCCGGTCCATTATATTGTCTCCATTGAATATGTACTACTTAACAGTTTGAAAGCATCAATGTTTAAGGTTATTATCAATCCATTGTGTTGAGTAATAAAAGCTAAACAGTAAATACCTCTCACATTTCTATGCATAATGAACTTGATAATTATTGTCACCTTTATATCGCAATATTCGTCATAACCGAAAAGGCTTTTTTAGTGCCTATATTTATTTATTGAATTTGATAGGTTGATGTGAACTGTTTAAAGTTTTATTATTATTATTACTGTTATTATTGCATTTTCCACTCTTTTCTTTCTAATATAAAAATAGCCTTTAGGATTACATCGTACTTCAAATCTGGGACAAATATGTTTAACATTGTATGCACCATACTGGATGATAAATAAAACTGGAAAAGATTTAACATATAAAGTAATTTCAGTTTTTTGGTATCCAATGGTATTTGTATATCTATCAATCTGTCTATCTATTTGTTCTGTAGACTTTGCTTATTACAGAGATTCATGTTTTTATGTGATATTTACAACAATCTCATTCCTAATCCATATAGAAGTAGTCGCTGATGATGAAGTATTGTTCAGAACGCCAGTGAAAGCTCTACAGTTAAACTATAAAACATCCATATTAGCTAAAAATTATTCCCAATGTTTCATAACTACTTAATTTTTCTTCTTTTATTTACTGAAACTCCATTTTTCTATTCATTTAAATAATAATATTCAACGTTTTTTCTTATGACAAATATCCTCACTTCTTCCTTCTTCAATAATCATTCAAACCTAGATCAAATATACATCGGATCAGGCTTTTACGACACATTATCAGCTCGATAGAATTATCGATACTTCAGAACAAATTGAGATGGAATAATAATTCTATTAATAATACTGGTAATAAAAAAAGATATGAAACATATAGAATATATATGGTAAAAAAATTAACTTTGATAGTTGAGTCGATCTAAACCCGTTCAAGTCGTCTGGAGGTTAAGCGTTTACGCGCGAGACCGAACGTCCTGATTTCGTATCCAACATTCGGGATAGTGGATGCGCACTGCTGAGGAGTCCCATAATAGGATGAACCAGCCGTCCAGTGCTTCCTGGTTTTCAGTGATGGTCTAGCTTAAATCGACTCATGAATTCAACTATTAGAAAAAATTGGTCCACTATATAAAAAGAAAATAATATTAGTTGATTGAGCTTATCCACACTACAGTTCCTAATTTTATACATTTTCATCCGTATAAATAAATAAATTCTATTCTTGAAATAATTACGAAATGTATGTCAGTTTACAAACATGATCAAATTTATACAGAAACAATGTTGCATGTAAAGAACAGATACATGATTTGAAATTGTTTTAAGTGGTGTTATTCAAAAATTGTTCCGTGGATTAAATATATAGAAGGCATTAGTTAGGAACTATTAATTGGTTGTGGAGGAGGACTAGGAAATCCTGTATGAAGAGAATATTTAAGGTCATTTCCATCATCATTACAATTATAATTTTTGAAAAAAGAAAACGAAACAGATAGCACAGAATATAAGCAGCAAAAATTATTATGATAAGTTTACCATTACACAGGTACTAAGTTGTTTTGTAATTTACTGAACGGGATAGATTATTATTTGAATCGGTAACATTTTTGCAGGGACAGTGTAAGTGTAAAATATCTGCCGAAAGAGAAGTTTAATGTTTCACACACATAGTCCCCTTAATCATTTTGAAAAGAGCAAGAACAAACATTCTAGCAGAATAGCATGAATTCATTTTATTTGGTTGGTTCTCGTCAGTTGCTTACAACCTGTGATATTTAGTATCATAATTGCAAAATGGGTTTAAATTAAACAGTTTAGTTGGAAGTTATATTGAAGACATATTAGTATAGTATAGCAAGGTTGTAAATAAATTTCATAGACTGAATACTGTAAATACATACCTTATGTAAAAGAAAATGCTACAACATTGATTGCGACAACAATTCAAACGGCCAACAACAGGTGATTATATAGTGAGTAAACATTGATAGGAATAAAATGAGTAGAGTTCAGTTGATAAATTAAGTTTTTAATTGAAATCACAAGTCAATTGAAGCTAGACCACCATGGAAAACATGGAAGCACTGGACGGCCGTTTCGTCCTGGTACGGGACTTCTCAGCAGTGCGCATCCACGATCCCGCACCCCGCGAGATCCGAACCCAGGACCTATCAGTCTCACGCCAGGCGCTTAACCAACTAGATCACTGAGCCGACCGGCATCCAACTGTGTTAATGTCTAACCTTAACCAATCCACGAAATTGCGCCACCATCTTCCATGGTACTGAGGTAGACACCTGTTTCTACCCGACACGGATTAGCTCCACTGGTCACGGCTTCCCACCAGTTGATAAAACAATATTATAAATTTGGAAGATAGTTGAAATAAAACTCAATGACGTAATAAATACCAGAAAGAGTTTAAAGAGAAAGAAAAAAGATTATACACACACACACACCCGAAACTTAATCTACTTCTTCATTATTTAGCGTGTTAATTTTGTTAAATAATAATTTATAGATGTACAATAATTTTTACACATCTCGATAGTTATGTTCTATGTTGTATATGTATTGTTGACATCTCATTATTGTACTATTGATTTTTCTTTGGTTTACAGTCTGTAGATGATGTAGAAACTGTTCATCCAGGTACTTTTACTGGTGCATTACTCTATTCATCTTTGTCTAAATCATTTTTTGGCAAACGAAAAGTAAGTCGTTATCTATCATATAAAGTATTCTTTTGATTGTTTGGTATCTTTTTTTCGTTGTTACATATGTATATGTTACATGAAGGAATTTATAATCAACTAATTTGAGATCAATAAATTTTGTAATTCTCTTATACCACAAGATAAGTTATTATTATTATTAATCCTTATTAAGAATAACAAGATTTGAAGCAAAAGAGTGGCAACTTAGAAGTGAATAGCATATATAAGTTCGTATGCGAATGATTACTTATCAGCGGCGTACGGGAAGGTCCACTTGTTAACCCACTAATTTTGCTCTATTAACTTCGGTTTAGGCCATTGTACAGTAGTAATATTAGTATTATGGTGTATGCTACTTATATCGACAGACATAGGTAGTGTGTAACACTAATCAGAAGTGGAATGCAGTATCACCAACTCTCATACATAGAAGAACCAAAGCTGATTGATTTCTAAAATATACAAACAACGTATATTTTTTTTTGCTGATCCCCTTTCCTCACCATAACTGATATACAAAATAAAAGGAATAGATTTACATCTGTATGTTAAAAATATATTTACTTGCTCCTGTTACCCATCGTGGAGGAGCATAGGGCACCCACCACAGCCTTTTCGTATCTAGATGATTTGATTGAGATGCCTGGGTGGATTGTGCTCGAGTCGTGGCTTAATAATATATATTCCGATATCTATTATTCCTCAATTTAGTTTGATGTAATTCATTACCAAATACAAATTTATGTACTCTACTTGGATCCACATTTATTATGTCTGTGGCGAGTTAGTGAAACCAATTGTATGCATAATTCAGAACATGTATTGTCAAGTTCAAACCTTACTATCTTTTGAATCATGATCGCACAACTTTTGTTTGTTACTTTTTTTAAAGGAATTTTGCATTATGAACTGACTAAATGGAGGATAAATGTTGAGAATCGGCTAGCATTTTGAGTTGTTTAATTTGTTAATTGCATCAGCTTAGTAAGACATATTTGATTATTCTTCAATACTAAAGAATTCTATTTAATATCTGAATGTAAGGTTTATTGAAAGCTGATATTCTTCATCATAGGGAAGCTGTTGTTGAGTTTTATGAGTTAGATAGTTTAGTTGTAGAGCTCTCATTGTCGTTCTCGACAGCATCATCAGCGCTTACTTGTCCAGAACGGTAATGAAAACTGATACACTTAAACTAACTAGCGTAGAGTACTTATCAACAAAATCATACATGTAAGCTATTTTGTTTACATTTTTTAAAGATATGTATATTCATCATTTCTTTGCTGAAATCTAACACACTTGTATTAACTTTCACTTAAACATGGAATAGTTAATTATAATCTTAGCTGTTTTACATTCACTATTATTATTATTATTATTATTATTATTATTATTATTATTATTATTATTATTATTATTTATTCACTCATTAATGTAACCTTAACCTTTCCATCATTATGTCACAGTTTTATCAATCATATCTGAACTTTCGTTCAATAAATACAAAAATGTACTTTAACAACATTTCATCATAAGTGCTTATACGAAGCTCAAATTCTTTTTTTTTTTTTTAAATTCACAACTTATTATGATTACTATCTCTATTATTAATAATAATGATAGTGATACTAATCACAGTATTAGCTTAATAGTTCATCTATAGTTTTCCCAGATACTTATATTCCTTCCGTTATTATGTTTCCATATATTTGTTTGTATAGTTGATAGTATCGTTTTTATAGATTCATTGTTTTCGAATCTTATTTACAACCAGGTTAGAGATTAGTAACAGGGTAGTTTTCCCCAAGTTTATTTCCATTGAATGCACGAAGCATATTTCATAAAACACATTCTATAATGATTGTGCATATCGTGTAAATGAGTAGTTTTGAGCTAATTAGTTTGGTCGTGAAACATTTTTTAGCGTCATTATCATCACCCATCAATCACACATGTCTTGAAAAGAAGTAAACTACTAGAATTTTATTGAAATTATCAAGTTAGACTCATTAAAAACCTTCCATCACTAAATGGCCACCTCGTCTTAGTATGAAACTCCTTAGCTGTGCTCACCCATGACCTCTCATCCTGGATTTTCGGTCTCGCGCACGAACACTTAATCTTTAGGCCACCGAGTCTTCATCTATCGGTGTTGATGTCTAATTTCATTCAATCTGCGACATTACTCGACTATCTCTCATTGTCTTCAGTGGGTAACTGCCTCACATCCGACGCTGATTAGCACCATTGGTCATGGCTTCTCACTAGAACGCCGGAAATTGCTCATCTGAACTGATCACTAGTAAGCATATGATAATTTTCACCATGGGGTTACAGAGATTGTCGAATTTCATTGAAGTCATGAACCGATCTATAAATTTCTACAAGATTCATGTTGACCTAGAATTTGATTGGTTGCACTCAGCTATTTCCTAAGTTACAAATCTTCTCTATCACCATATCAATTGTGTAAATGAAGCATGTTCATTAAATAACCAAATTTTTAACAATTTCTTTGTTTATTTAATACTTTTTTTCTTCACTTCATCCTTTACCATGTATCCTATTTATTATTACATTATTGTATTAATCTACACACAAATCAAATAAAAAAATAGATACAACGAAATCATAGTTTTAGTTCATTCTGTTCTGATGAAGACGATGAAAATGAACAATTACTCGCTTCATCGCATCAAGTATTACAACCAAATATGTCTATATCTAATAATAACAACTATGATGTAGTGAATCATGGTACAGAAGAAATAACAACATTGGATCATTCAGTTCCAACGGCAACAACATCATTCAATCGTAAAACTAAATCAAAACATTCTAAAAATAACTCATCATCATCTAGAAAATGGTGGCATCTTTCTAGATGTTGTCGAAATTCTTGTAATTCAAGTTGCTGCTGTCGAAGTATGTCAAGAAAACGTAAAACTCATACATCGACAACTCGTGGAGCTGGTGATGGTCGCGCATTGAAATTCGACAGTAAAATACAGGTCTCTGTGAATATTTTAATGACTACCGATTATATTGTAATTAATATCATTATGACTTTTGTTTTAAACAATCATATCTGCTTTATTACTGTTTCTAATATTCACTAGTTTGTTAGTTAGTGATTTTTATTAGAATTTGAGAAAAAAAAATTCTTTGTTGATAATTGCTTTTTATAATCAATTTGCTTTCTAAATGATTATTCTGTTTTGTTGCTAGTCTATGCTAAGGTGTAAGAGGGAAGATCATTTATTTCCCCGGTTTCTTTTTCATGGTATCTAACGAATAAATGTATTTTATTATTGTTTCACACCATTTATAGGCTGTCACATCTTACTTTTAATTTTTTCAATGTTCGTTTATTATAATTTTCAATGGTTTGGTCAAACCATCCAGCTCAGAGAACAAAACACCACCAAAATCATCCACCTGAGCTACAAATCTTCTCCACCATCTCATTATAAGGTGAAACTCTATTTTATGGACGACCTTTGAACGAATTTTTAAGTGACCTTGAGGACATTAGCCAATCAGAAGAGAGTTAGTATAGAGTAAAAATATATTATAAAAAAGTGATGAATTACAATGGATATTCTTCTTTTACATGATTTAAGAACTTGTAGAGGTTTGATAAAGGTTCAGAAGTTTTGAAATCATAGTGCATGCGGTATAAGAACTCATCCATATGACTCCATAATAACCGTCCTCTGGAGCCGTGGTAGGGTCTTAAAAAATACTTCAGCCTAGACCACATGCCCTCAATGTTGTTTGTATGGACTCCCGTCGTTGGATCAACAAAATGACGTTTGTGCACCACAACATGATGCACAAAACCAAGTCTTGAGAGGCATCTATACGCTTTCCAATCATCAGTATAGATCGTCGTGCCAGGCTGAACGTACTCCTTGATGATTGGTATGATTGTCGTTACCTGACGGTTTCTTACTCTTTGAAAATGTCCTTTTTGAGTTGAACGATCGTAAAACCCAAGTACCTGTCAAGTATATTCACGGAAGTGCTACTTACCCAATCTTCTTTGATAAAACGTCCTTTATTATATTTTCGCTTTCTAACTAGCGCCTCATCTATTTCCACTATCTTTCCAACTCTTCCAAATGATTCATGTACTCGTGTCATTTTCATTGCGCATATATCACGACAATATTCTAACACTGAACGGCAGAAGTTTCCGTAACATCTGCAAAAGCCGCAGCTAATGTTACTGGAGACTTTATGATCCAATTCGCAACGATTATCATGATTTGTCTAAGCCTTAGCCGTGACCGGGCAAAAAAAGTGCCAGTTCGAGCAGATTTTTTTCTCCAACATATAGTACAACGTAATACAATGTCATCGCTGTAGTCTGCACATCGTGCTGCGGTCATTTGATTGCCGCAGTCACAGACACAGGAACTTCTTAATAGTCCCATCTGCTGTAGTCTCTCAACGATCACCTCTTCTCTAAAATCTGCTGTAAAACGATCGAATGTGAGCATCTCACATTGAACTTAGCGCCGTGACCTTGAAACTCCTTAAACGCTTCTGATTGGCTCGTCCATAAATTAGAGTCCTACCCATTATAATTTTCAGTTTCAAATTATAAGCAATGCTAATAATAATAATAATAATAATAATAATAATAATAATAATAATAATAATAATAATAATAATAATGATAATAATATAATAAACGCTATGTTCATTCCCTAAAACGAAGCTTTGTCGATGCTATTTTGTTTGAGAAATAATTATCTTTTTTCGCACCAACTATTCACCTTACTATCTAATATTAATGACGTTTGTGTTTTATTCACTTCATTTCGTTTTTATGTAAAACTAACTATTGTTCGATGCTATAATGGAGATAATCACAAAAGACGTTTATATAATTTTATACAAGTCTGAGAAAAGAAATAAGTTATGATGAGACATTGAGTTCAATCACATGCTTGATAGATTGACTATTCTAGAGCTCACTCAACCAAATTTACCCAGTTATGTGAATTAATTAATCCAATGTATAGGTTTTTATATTCGGTTATTAGATGCATTATTTGTGTGATGAAGATTACTAATTCATCATAATCAAAAACAAAATTATTATGCTGAAAAGCAAAGAGAGAGGAATTAATTTCATCTCCAATTTAGATCTAAATTTCATTTTTTTAAAAGTATAATTCGAAGCAGAGGAACGAGATTGAATTACGAAAAGTTCGGAATGATATTCAGTTACTGATTTAAATAAAGCAAGAGATAGTGCAATTGTTCCTCTGCAACCAATTTTAGCATCATATCACACAATACCTCTAGTCATTGATTACAACTTTTGCGCCAACTGTTGTCGGACATTCCAAACCTACTGATATGATTCATGTTAACAATCAACGACTTTATAGATCAAGATTGATTTCCGTCCACGATTAAGATTTGTTAGTCAGCACTGGCATTATATGATAATCACATTAGACGGTTGACAATAGACTGAAGTGGCATCTGTCAGTTTATAGAATTTGATAGTCTTATACACATATTGGATAGTGTTTAACTGCAATCTTTTTGATCTCTTAATAAAAAAGCGTATTAATAGGAAAAACAAGTTTGAAGAGTCTGTTTGATCGTTGCCAACCGCTTATTGTACTTTTGTTTTGATTACTTAATACACTTTTTTTCAATTCCTATTTTACGGCTTAATATATTTGCCATTTTTTCTATTGCTTTCATCATATACAATAACATGATCATCTTTCTTTTTAAAGCTCTTTGTTTTCTTTGTCATCCTAATAGGCTAATCTTCGTGTATGTGAATCGAATTGGTCAGATAAATTCTCATTGGATACAGTTGGTAGTTCAGGACGTGTACATTGTACAACAAAGTCAAAAATGTCGTATGAAGTTAGTAGTATTATATTTTTATTTGCTTTTAGAAAAAATTGGGTTTTCACCTATATTATTAATTCATTGTTAAATATTGAACAGAATATAGAATTTTGTTTCAGGAAATAAATCAATGATATTCAAATTATGACAATTAATTTCATTAAGTAATTGTCTTTTATTGTAATTGCTTTCTTTGTGACAAGATGTCCCATGGAAGTAACCTATGATTATTGATCAGGGAGTGACGAAAGGCATCTCGTTCTACATGAAATGTAGACGATTGTACTATACAGCGAAATTCATTCCACTTATTGATTTCTAAGTATTGTGTTGATAAATTCTCGTTCTTATGTCCATTGGGTTCTTGATAGAATAGTTAGATTATCGGTTCGCGTATATCATGTGACTGGAAGAATGCGGTTAACACTAAGGACTAAACAACATGACATTGATAATCTTTGCGAACGATTAATTAGTGTGTAAACATCTCAGCCATACAGGTGGTGGTCAGTCACGACTTGAATAGCTCAGTGGTAACTTTTCTGATTGAGTAACATGGGCTCAGGCGTCTCAAGGACCAACAGACCCCTCACGCTTATGGATGTTCTTAACTGGTGTCCCCTATCGAATAAAATACCTTCCTCCTTATTTCCAGTTGTTTAACAAATGTTACGTTGGTATCATTACCAAGGTTTTACTTGATAATTTCAAATAAATTGAGCATTGGGTAAATTGTTATAAATAAAAATAAAAACAATGTATTTGTAATATCCTAATGAGTAGAAAAATTAAATTTTCTGACGTTTCGTGACTGATTGTAAGCTTCTTTCTTCAGGGAATAAAGAACTAAATTAAATTAACCCAAGTTCAAATAGTACAAAGGAACAAAGCAAGATCTTTTAATCTTACGTTGCATATCAATTAGTTGATTAATAGTTAAATTCACATTCTATTATTTTCTACTAAAATAATGAGCTATTTAACCATTTGACTAAACTGGAAAGATAGGTTGGATACAAGGTTTACTATTGTTATTATTATTATTCATTACCGAGAAGTGAATCGTTTTTAGTTAGAAGCTACCAACGCTAATAGTCATTTACGTTATATGCACAAATAATTTTGTCAAAGATCATAGCTTTAGACGATAGTTTCATTAATGTTAAGGTGGTTTGCGTCATGAATAAAAAATCTTGGAAATTCTATTTACCTTAGTTCAGTCGAGTGATTCAGTTCAGTTCAGTAGTTCAGTACTTCTCAACCTTATGGGGATTTCTTTTGAGCTTTGGTCCTCTCACATCAGTTATCCGATTGTTGGAAAAGGAGTTGTTGGCTCTTTGAAATCCTTGATACAACTGTAGATATAATGAAATGTTTTGTTTACTATTTCATTCTATTTGTTTCGCATAAACTTTTCACCTGTATATAGTAAAATCTTACAAATCACCAATTTTGATCCCAAACTCCTACACATTGATTTTCAAATTACGGGATTATTCGCATTAACTGTTATCGGAATAAGGAGAAAATATTCTCACTCATTGTGTACTGACAATATTCAGTGTTAATTACTTAGTTTCATTGCCTTTGTTTATCAAAATCCACCACTTATTTCCTTTGTACTAATGAATAAATAGAAATTTAGAACTTTATTACTAACACGTAAAGCTCACTTTATAGCAACATTTGTAAATATTTATATTCAGTATATTGGTAACTAATATTTTCTTGTCTAGTCCTTAATATTGGTAGAATTCTATCGATGTCTTTGCAAAATTGCTACCAGGCAAACTGACTTGGCATAATAATTCATTGGTGTATTTAACAATGCAACATCAAAAATAAGGGACAAGTTTTTCACTACTCAAAAATTTAGGATTTATGGATGGACTAGTGTTCGAATTCTGCATCCAAACCTCTTTCAACGAGTATTGTCTGTATATATATATATATACACACACACACAGGGAGAGAGAGAGAGGTTACCACTGAGTTATCCATGTGTATATTTTTCTTCTTAACTACCTACTCTCGTAGTAATGTTTAGAAATTCCTTGTGGATTTTTTCCTACTCAAATAAACAGAATGTTTTTAAATTGAGTTTTAATTGTCGTTTTCTACTGACTTCTATCATGAATTACACTATGAAGTAATATTGGTCATGAAATGGGTTTCTTTGTCCTTTTATTTTACAGATTGGAGTGAAAATCGATCTATCTAGTTCTGGTTTAACAAAAATTGTTACATTTATGCCTTATTTCATAATTATCAATAAAGCTAATGTAAGTGATAATTGTTGTTGTTTGTTTAACAATTTTATCATGATTATTTCTGTTATTGAATTATCCAATATTATTTGTGTAACACATTAAATTAAAGATATTCCACCTTTGTTGGCTCAAACTCTCAACTCCTTACTCATATCCCTGGTTAGTAGTATTTCCAGAGCTAATCAATACTATAATATTCTCACACTCGTTATTTATCAGAATGGGGGTTTGTGGAGATTGTATTAATTTTAATAGTTAAATTCATGAATCAATTCTAAACTAGACCATCATTGAAAATTTGGACAAATGGCTGTTCAGTGCTTCTAAATGTTCAGTGATGATCTAGCTTAGATTGACTCTTGAGTTCAACTATTAAAACTGGAGTTGGTTAGAAGAAAGTTAGGGGCGGCCAAACCAAAACGTGGCATCAGTGCTTGAAGACACTAACCTCTAGTCTGAGCCATGTTGGTAGATGCAGACTACTTGATTGGGGTTCGCGTGACTGTCGTAACCAATGGTTAGAGACTCTTGGTGACATGGCTCAGAATCGGTCACAATGGCGTAGGTGTATACACTCTCTGTCTTCCCTTAAACTAAGAGATTAAAATCGCTTCATATGTTTCTTCCTACGAACTAATTCTTTCTTGATGTACTATATCCTTATTGTAATCTTTCTTTTATATATTGCCACAAATGAATTAACTACTTTTATGAATCCGGTGTCCATCTTGTTGTGTTGATGAGGTATGGCAACTTGAACCGATGTATATATGTGCCTGGTCCTACGTTGTAGCTGACTGACTCACTGACTGACTATTAAAATCGTCATTTACTCATCTATACATTGTCAATTAATTATCACCAATTCTTTACTTATATAGATAAATATCGAGTGTTGTGAAGTGGATGAAACTGAGACAAAATCTACACAGTCCACAAATACAGAATGGATAAAAGTTCCAGCTGGTGAAGCTGTACCATTTTGGCCACATGCAGCAAATTCAAAGAATATGTTATTAAAATGTCGTGTAGCAGAGAATATTGTGACTGCAGCATTTCCATTTTATGAATCACATTCAATATTAATGAAATTAGACGAAAAAGTGAGTTTATCTTTTAATGTATAAAACATACTTATACAACCTAGGGTTATTATCAAGCTTATATGTGATTGACAATTGGTTGACCGACATCATAGTTATCTAGTGCTGTACTGATCGAATTCTATCAACCAAATTGTAGTATGACCACTAGTCTAAATGGCTGAGCATCGCGTGAACTATGTTGAAGTGTAAAATGGTGGTCTTCATGATACTCTTCTTGACCTAAGTTTCGCGCTAGTTTGGATTCATCAGCAAGAGATCCCTTTAGGGAACTGATCCCCCCTGTGGCGTTCTAGTCCGCATCACTCGGTTACACAGTTTAAGACGTTATTGTTCAGCTGTTCGGGTGTATCGAATACGAGATGATAGTTTATTGGGTAACTAAGTGTTATAATCTCAATAACTTCATAATCTCAAATGCATTGAATTTTTTCGTAGTAAAAATTGAATATAATGTGCGTACTACATAATTTTAAATATCACGCATTTATTATTTGTCTTTCAAACCGAAAATTTATTTCAGTACCCTGGTATATTTGTTGAAGTGGAGACAACTGAAGAAACAACTGTAATCACTTTGCAAATGTATCAAGAAGGTATGGCTTTAGTGCGTCTCGTCAATAATCTAAATGATTCACAACCAGTGTTCTATCACCAAAGGTTAGTGGTTATAAAAAAGAGATAAACGAAAAGTGATTACATGTTTTTTCTGTTTATTTGTGTTATTCATCCTTAAAATTGTTTTAGAAATCATATGAAGATGTTATTCAGTAAAATAATGATTTCCTTAGTTGTCTTCGTCCTTTTATAAATCAGTCGTTTGCAAGGAAAATCTATAGGAATGTAGCAGATTTTACGTGTATTATTTACTATATTGTTTTATGTAATAAATCAGTCTTTTCATCTTTTGGTTTGTGCCATATATCTACAACGTGCTTAACGAGCGTACGTCACACCATCTTGACCGTAGCTGCTACCCTGATGTGGCAGTCGGACTTAGCTAACACGTTGATTCGATCGAGCTATATTGGCTGGAACAAATGTTGTTTTAGGCCCTTTTATGCCAGGCAGGTTGGTTGTAGAACGGTAAGATTAAAAGTAACAAACTCATGGTCAGAGAGCAAAGTTCTGTTGCTGACTGTAGAGGAGTGTGACAGAAGTAAGGCGTTTCCCTCGGACAACCGACATGTACAACAGTGTTGCCTTCTCACAACGAAAGGGAAGGATTATCAAAGTCCGACCCTAAAAATACCACACCTTACCTTACCTCACAGATTTCTTTATCTAGCTGTAAGGCCTTTTGAAGTGCGAAACTAAAACATCGACAACTTCCCATAAAAAAGTCGTAAGCGACCAGCCTCAAGCAGTTGTCCCTTGGGCTTTGCAGTCACTTTCCCAGGTCACTAAGACCATCACTGAATCAGCTTCCTCTTCAGTACCCTCAAGAAGAAAATTCCAGCCACGGTGTGGACAGTCGGGAAATGACAACCGCCTTCATACCTCTATCAGCACCTGAGATCATCTTGTTCACATCGCATCATTACCAATCATATCTTCGATCGTTATTTGAGTTTATGGTATTGAATGAGGATTATCACACTGCTCTAATAGCCAACCTACAAATTAGATGGTTAAGTTTTTACTATTGAAAATGTATATATTTTTACACCATATTCATATACTAATTGCGCAATATTAGAAACTGATTAAAGCTCCGTGACGTATTTGAATTGCTAATTTATAAATTCCCTCAGTCCTTAGTAGATAATACCCCAAAATAAGTTCATATTAGTAGTTCTAAAGTCAGTCACACATTAAATTCTCCTTTTTGAAACTGTGTTTACATTCTGCGCTTATGACCTTTTGCTGTACAAGTTACAAAAATGTACAATCTAAGACATCGTGGTGGCTGGCAATATGCATTGAAAAGAATGAACTACTTGTTCGCTCAAACATTCTTTGTTTCCGAATATTCTATTTTTCTTTATATCAATTATAGTCACATAATAATTAGTGGGAACAATTGTAATTAATAAGTACATTTTGTACATGTAAACATTTGAATATTTTCAGAATGAGTTTTGTGGAGATTTTAGTAAATTTCAACCTGTGAAATTTACTAAAATCTCCACAAAACTCATTCTGAAAATAATCAACTGCTCACTAGTGACTGACTTCAGGAGAACCTCTTGGAGTTCTAGTGAGAAGCCGTCACCAGTGGAGTTCAACCAAGTCTGTTGTGAGATATCAGCTCACTGAAGACAATGGTGTTCGATGGCGCAACTTCGTGGATCGGTTGAAGTTAGACATTAACACCGTTGGATGCCTGCTCAGCGTTCTAATGGTTAGGTGCTCGCGCGCGAAGCCAGTAGGTCCTGGGTTCGAATCCCGCAGGGGGCGGGATCGTGGATGCGCACTGCTGAGGAGTCCCATACTAGGACGAAACGGCCGTCCAGTGCTTCCAGGCTTTCAATGGTGGTCTAGCTTCAACTGACTCATGATTTGAATATTTATTAATGAAATACTAATTCATAACATAAATTTCTTTCATCTCTTCAAGTGGACTTCAACATACAGTTCATCGGTTAGATGCTGGTATGTCTATCATGTATGCATGGGATTGTCCTCAAGCAAAACGTGAATTAATTTTCTATTGTAATGAAACCGATAATCGTCATTCAAATAAGTTAACTTATGTAAGTTTAGTCGTTATATCATAATCCATACGAACGATATTTATGAGAATGATACTTGGAATACAATGATCTAATTTTGTTTTTTTAGAGTTGGTAATTTATTTATTTTATTTATTTAAAGACATAAATATTGGTACAAAGAGGCACCATATATATATGCATCATACTTCGTCATTCGATTTGTATGAGGGCTGGGATACTGCCTGGGCCCCCCAATCGAAGCAGGTGATTTTCTTAGTGGGCCACTCTTCGAGTCTTTGACCTAGAGATCTAGTCCATAAGACAGTGGAGAAACATGAGGAGATGCAGTCCCATGGTAGCCGGTGACCAACAGTTGGTTCATAAGCCATTTGTTCCCTTAGGATCCTGGAGCCTATGTGCACCATTGGTTTGGAATCAGGGTTTTCCAGCTCCCTTAGGTGAATCCTTTGTATCCACCAACCCGGTCAAAGCACCGGACATTCGCTTTTCGTCCTGTCAATTTCATAAACAACACCGCCTCAAGGAGGTAATGAATAAGACTTCCTTGGCAGTGGCGTTATACGCATAGTTATATGAAAGCGTTTCAAGAGGGAGAGCTGACTTTCCCCACTGTCTGTCGTATCAGGGCATTGATAATACTAATTATCTATTAGCAAATTAATATCAGTGTTCGTAATGAATAGGAATGTTAAATTGCGATAGTCTTTAGGTATCGATTAACTGAACAAGGTAATCATTTGCTCACTAATGGCATTACGTTTTCAGTAATCCTCAAGTTTATATGTATAAATCCATGTTTCACTAATCCTTTTAAGCTACTCGTCAACTAATGAAACAGAACATTTCTTATTCTGTTTACGAAGGTTCTTGTTACTCAGTGTAATGTACATTTTTGTTGACCAATCATCTAGTCATAGTCCAAGATTTTATATATAGATGCTTAGACTATTCAATTGGTGTGTAGTTTAAGAAGTCGTGATTATATAAACCCGGACATCAAATCTTTCAGCTATTCTCCAACTCAACTTTTTCTAAACTCCATGTTATGTAACGATGCTCGAAATCCTGTTAAATAGTATTTTGTCGCAGAACAAGTATGAATACGTGGATATGTTAGACGATGATAACTATGGTATTTTACAAAGGTCAAAATAAGGCATGTATTCATTAATTTGATAATGTTATACGCCGAAAATGATGAACGTTTGCATCTGTTATCACATATTACTTCAAAATTGTGTTATTTGTAAATTAGAAAGGTCATTTAATTGAGGTCAGAATGATTTGAAGTAAAGTGACAAGTCGCAATCAGTGTAATAGTAATATAGCAAAAATGAAAAACGTGTGAATAATTGTGTATATATTTCGTCAGGAAATTCCTGGTTGAAGGTAATCAAAAAAAAGAAGAAATTGTGACTCAGTCAGTAAAATACCCTACATCTGAAACTGGGTTTTAAAGGGGATATAATGGGTGACATCTTCATATGTCGAATCAAAAGAACTGTTGAAAGGACGTTTCACGCGGTTAAGTTACATGTAATTTTCTCAACTAAACCTGCATTTAAACAACAAATCAAGGATAGGTTATGGATGGTAAGCTTCATCATGTGTGCATACTAATTCAACTGTTCCTGTGGAGCTAGTTGCACAGGCCATACTCAGAGGGCTTTATTCTTGCGTGTTCGTGATCATGTACTATCATGGTTGGCAAAAAGTTACTAAATCGATCAACAGTACTATTCTTTCTCACTCGGTAGATAATGAACATCAGATTGAAAGAGGTGAAGCTTTCTGTTTTATACCAAGTTCCAAAGAATTTACCTAAAGGAGCTAGATTATGGCTGCTCCGCAAAGCTGAAGTCAACTGGATCAACGCCAGGAAACAGAACTTATGTATCCAGAAAAGGTATATCCAGCCATATGTTTACCTTGACCTACGACTGGATCACCGGATACCTAAACTGAATGTTATAATTCTCTTATTTTCCCTCCCATTTTTGTCTGATTATATCTATCTTAATCTTCACATTCATCATTCCCAATTCACATGAATTCTTTTTTATCGTAATTACCTTGATAACACCTCTCTTATTACATATTATATTATTATTATTATTACCTCAATTAACAAGATGACATTTTCCTACTATTCATTTTATTCACACGATGTTTTGCATTTTCATTTTTGCTATAATATAATATACTGATTGTGACTGGACATTTTACTTCAAATCATTCTGACCTCAATTAAATGACCTTTCTAATTTACAAATAACACAATTTTGAAGTATTATGTGATAATAGATGTAAAGGTTCATCATTTTTAACGTATAACATTGTTAAATTTATGAATACATACCTTATTTGGGCCTTTGTAAAAAGATCACAATAATTATGGACTTACGACTGTAGGGCCTGGTGATAAAGTTATTGCAAAAAATTGTTCTCCCAAGTATTCTTCAGAAGAACGATGAAAGCTCCACGACCAAACCATCCAGCTCAGAGAATAACACTCCATCAAATTCTTCATTTTTAATTATATCATCAGTAGTATGGCTATGTCTGTTATTTCTTTCATCTTTATTCATATCCTTAATTCTACTGCTAAACAATTAACATTACTATTATTATTATTACTAATATTATTGTTTATTTTCTCGATTTCGTAGGACTCTATTGAAGAATTTAAAGTGAATAATACCAAAGCATATTTGGTTTCATTTATGTGGAATATGCAACGTGTTTTATTATTTACACAAAATGCAAGTGTTGCTAAAAATGCTCGATTAGTAAGTCATTCTCTCTTATTTTGATTAAGTTTTCCTAAAATATATCATTAATACTTTATAGATTTACTAAATTTGCACTATTTATAATCTCTAAATGATAATAACTTTTATTTTAATAGTTTTCACTTTGTATTATTTCATCAAAAATATCAATAAATATGAAGTTAAATAATGTGTATGATACGTCTGTTGTATGCTCGACTAACACGTGATTCACAGTATGAGGTCGTGGAGGTTGTTGAATTTCATTGAAATCATAAACCGGTTTAAATTAGACCGTCATTGAAAACACAGGAATATTGAGTCACTGTTTCGTCCTAGCATGGGATTTCTTAACAGCGTGTGTCCACTATCCCGCACGCAAGCCTCAAACACAGGGCCTTCGGTTTTGCGCCAACTCTTCACCTATAGATCACTGCTTTACGCCCGACACGATTAAACTCGACTAGTCACGGAAGGAGTCAGTTACACAATGTCGTGAATTGGTTTCAGTTGGACATTAACGCAACTGGATGCTGGCTCAGTGGTCTGGGGGTTAGGCATTTCGGTGCTAAACAGAATATCCTGGCTCCGATTCCCTGTGGTGGGGTCGTGGATGTCCATCATTGATGAGTCCTATACTAGAACGAAACTGCCATCTTCTGTTTCCGGGTTTTCAATGGCGGTCTAACTTAATTCGGTACATGATGTTAATGACTTGTGTTTCGTACTGAAACCTTAAACCCGACGCCGCATAACGAGAACATGCAGACGGGTGATATGGATTTATTTGACATTAGTAATAAACAATAAATGAATCCAGTCATTTACATATTGTTTCTACTCACGCTTGATAATTGGTTAACACTTATCACACATAGGGTGAATACGCAGAATTACTGCAAAAATACAAGCTACTAATTGAATACTGACTTAATTCAAAAAACATTATTTCGTTAAAAAATTATCATATTAAATTAAAAATAGAAATAATGTTGAAAACATTACGCTAATCTAAGAACGTGTTGTTTGGTCCGGTTCCACCTGACTTACATCTCATTGATTGTTGAAGATTTTAGCACTTGTTCAAATAGCACAATTTCAATGATTTTGAAACCAGTCAGTAATGTAATTACAAAAAACATGAGTGAAAGTTAAGTTAGCAGTCATTAGAAAGATTTCCCATTTTTTTTATATATGTGTGACTGATGTCTTCAGACCGCCGATTTCATAGAATTAATTTCACACTAAATGTTTTACCGTTTTTTTAAATACTTTATCGGTTTGATCTACAGGAAAGTTGATAATATGCTATAACTTGGAAGGATATACATGAAAATGAAATGTCTTGTTCAAGCCCGTCATTCATATCTCTTTTTGTGAGGTTAATGTGTATACAATACATTATGAAATGACCTTTTATCTAGTTATAGAGAAGAACAGATTATGCAATTTAGGAGGAACCTCAGTGAATAAACTTTTCACACAGTTTACTTTATCAATGTATTAAGATTGCAAACCAATATCATCACTAAGTTGATGTTATAGCTATTTTATCAGAGAAGCATGTTACCGCTGTAAATTCCAATAAATTCCCATAGTTTCTAATATCACTATTTTTCGGGTTTTGATATATAATTTGAGCACTTGTAAAAATGATAACTAGACATTCAGAATGAGTTGTCGTCAACTGATGAATTTCCGAAATGTTGTTGCGTTTTATGACTTACGCATATTTTCATGTACCATATATATCTGTATTTTTGTTTACACATTTATTGTTCGCTTTTATTACCAACTTCTAGAGTTCTGATCTTGAACCGATTGACCAAGAAATTGTTATTTCTCTTCAATCAATTGGTATTTCATTAGTTGATAATCATTCACGAGCAGAATTAGCTTATGTATCTATTACAAGGTTAGTTTTATCATTGATCTTTATAGATTTCTTTTGTTTTTATCAGTTGTTAGTCAGTAGTCACAAATTAATTCCGAGATGTAATTTGTCGAACACTTGCACACACACACACTTCCATTATGTTGAGATAAGTGGAAAACTAAGCATACAAAATCTAGTCGAATATTTTTTTAAAAAAGAAAGTGAATAACATGTACATTTGCACAGTTTCATTCATAAACACGAATCATCTCAGTATAGGGCCATGGAGATTGTTGACCTGTAATTGAGATCATGAACCGATCAATGTTAGATTACTATTGAAAACCTGGATGCTCACTGCTGCAGAGTCCCATACTAGAACGAAACGACCGTCCATTGCTTCCAGGTTTTCAGTGGTGGTCTAACATTGGTCGGTTCATGATCTCGATTACAAGTCATATCATTTTAGGATCATTTTTAACATTCTTCTATATTACAAGAAATAGAAAATAAATCAACTTTTGCTTAGAAAATACTCATATAAAAAGAATAAAGATGTTTCAGTGAAGAAAATTTCCTATTTGACAATGTCATTTACTGAAGCTATAGAATCTTATGTATGTAGGTAATCTTTACATGTAATAATCTAAAGTAACAGAACAGTTTTACAAAATTACCAATAGTATTTAAATCTACAAATACTATACCATATCCCTGATGTATTCCTTCATTAGAGATCCACACATCTACACTGTGGCGATCAGAATATCAGAGGTTTAGGCCCTTGACCTACCACATTAATGTTGTTTATTTTATACTTATAACTTACCTGATTATATCATGTAGTACAGTAAACCAGTTTCTGGAAAACATACTAAAATTGGTAGCACAATTGGTAGTTTTCTAGAGTTATTTTGAAAGTTTCTTGAGAATTCGTTCTCTCATCTTTCTGACGACTGATTCGATGGATTATCGAGGTCTGCCAAAATATTTTAACACCAATTAATGAGTCGAATTGAAGCTTACAATTGGGGTTATATCCAAATCAAAAGTGATGGGAAAGGCGGCACCGATAGGTTATGGCAGACAACTATTCTGACTCGTCAAAGAAACAGGCATTAAAAGATTTGGCTGTGTAGGATGGGCAGAACATTTTAACCAACAGTTTATTTGTCCTCAGTTACTTACTATTTGCGTACAACTTAAAAGGCGAATCAATACAAGTCTCGCGACTTTTTGTGAAGTTGAAAAGTGACAGATGGTAGAATTTTAGATAGAATAGCTTCGGAAATCTTTGAGGTAAGTGATCCAGTCACAACACAGCTAAAATCTCGGAACTAGACGTAGTCATATTTGACTAGTCTTGATCATTAGTCGTCCCAGTTTATAAGAAAGGATAAAAATCCTCTTGGAACAACCAAAGAAGAATCAGTTTGACTAATATTAGTTCCAAAAATAATAACGTCTATAATCATCGTACGTTTGGATGAGCCTTGTGGAGCGCTAACTGAAGGAGGCTCAGTACCGTTTTGCCTTATAGATGTGGTAGCTTATCGGCTATGGCTTCCGATTTTCGATCACTAATTCTCAGATCCGATCCTCACTTCACCTATTTCAGCTTTGGGAACCGGGTAATATCATTAGACCTCAAATATGGAGTATGACTTGCACCCAAGTACCTAGAGAACGATTCAGACTTATTTAAAAATCAAGGATAAAGTATATTTCCAGTTTTCGATCTCACGTTTTTTTGGGCTACCTAGTGATCTATGCTGAGTTTAGTCATTGAGTAGTAAGTAAAGATGACAAGTCGTTTGACGAAGTGGTGAATCTTCATCAACTGCGATGTTGTCTAATGCAGAAGTAGGTTAGGAGAAAGTTAGGGGCGCTAAAACCAACACGTGAGACCAGTCCCTGAAGTCATTGACTGTTGTACTACACCATTCAAGTAATTACATTTCACCTGGTTAAGGTCCGGGGAACTATCGTAATTAGTGGTTCGAAACGTTTTGTTAAATTGCTCAAAATCGATTTCTATTGTACAGATGTATTGATTCTTCGTCTACACTAGGATTCTCTATTTCAAAACTATTTCATACCTTTTATTCTGTGTGTTCATTCTTTATTCTCAAATCATATTGTTTATACCCAATGTTTTTCTACCACCACTACTGATATTACTGGTACTTCCTACTTCGACTACTCTGAGACTTATCTTGATAATTTCATTTCGATGTGTTGATTTAGTGTTGTAATTTGAGTTGATGTACAGCTCTGCCAAGTTCTTATGTAGCATATGACTGACTGACTGATTAACTCTTAGAAAAGCAATCTAACTCACAAATGAACAATTAGCTTTCTAAGTTTCATTTTATCCTTCTATCGCTCCTGTAAATATCCATAATCATTAAAGTAAGAGAAATTAAACTATACTTTATATTTATTCTAATTTTTTTCTCCTCAAATTGTCATTATTAGTTCTGGTGTTCGGTGGAGTCAGATAAAACGTGGCAATCGTTTAAAACCATTACAACTGGCTTTAAGCGAAAATTTAGAACGCGCTTATACCAATTTTGTGAACGCATCGAATGATGCAGATAAAGTTGGACTCAGCATTGTCAAATTAACTGATACACATCAACCAATAGAAGTAGATTTCAATCGGATGATTATATTGAAACCGGATCAATATGGGATAACACGTGCATTTGATCCGGGTGTATTCTTGCAGTATAAATCATCTATTAGTCAAATGCAATTACATGCTAAATTGTTTAGATTACAGGTTAGTAAATGTATTTCGTATTTCATAAGTTTGGGGACTCAAATTGGTGATTGGCACCAACCATTGAACTTATTGAATTACTACATTGTGTACTATTAGTCTATATTTTTAATCATAAATATTAACACAACATTGATTTCGTCCCACTGATTTTCATTGTGTGGCGCTTTTGGTTTGACGATTGAGAAATAGTTGAATTTTTCGTTTGATAATTATAATTTATTCAATCTTATTTTTAATAATTGTTTATTTCTCCATCCCTTTCGTTATGTTTATCTGTCTACCCTTTTATATTTCTCAGATTGACAGTCAACGACTTGATTCTAATTTTCCTGTGGTATTGTCAGCTTTTCCTCAGCCGAAATCTGTGGCACTTGATTCAGGTAATCAACAATATCTCAATAGTTATTTTTTTCTGTGTGAACAACATAACAGAGAAGCATTCTAACATTTAGTTTAATAAGCTGAATGTTATACTGAGTTTAGAAAATAACAATCTACGTATTATAGTATCTTATAAGAGCATTCTATATCATTCATAATTTGTTTACTCCTTTTTTTCAAGTCACAGTTTTTTCCATTTCACTACAGCCCAACATCTTAACTGATTATGTAACTTGGATCAGTTTTATATTATATTTTTAACCGGTTTAAATTATAAGTGGAAATAGAAATTAACATTGTTAGTCTACAACTGATCCAGTTATTAAGCAGAAAGACATTAAGTGTTTGGATCGATAATTCATGATATAGATGGCTTTGACTAACTCTGGTTTAGAAGGTACGTGGCTGGCCAAACCAAAGCGTGGCATCAGTACATATAACTATTGACTATCAAATTGAATCATGTTGATAAATAACGGGCTACCTAGTCAAAATCCGCACAATTATCGTGACTTGTGATTAGAGACATTAGGTAACATCACTCTGAATCTATCATAATGACACAGGTTCGTTCAACTCTTTATTGTTTTCCTAGATCTTGAATTCCAATGTTCTTTCACCCGTTTCATTTTCATTCCTTCATCTCTCTTATTCGTCTTATCTTGCTGATGTGGTATATCGACTTTAACTAACGCATATTTTTGTCAGACTCTACGTCACTTATGTTTGTTTGTCTGCTTAATTCTAATTTAAATAACTGATAGACAATAGGCATGTTTCCTCAAATTGTCAAGTCTTTTGTGTCAGTCTATTTAAATAATATTCAATCCCAAACATTTCAGTACAGACCTATCTTCAACCATTTAAAATCAGATTAGATCATGCTAGAAAAAAACTCACTTCTAGTTAAGTAATGTCAAAGACAACCTGGAAAATATTTGACCCTTAATTTCAACCAATAAATCATTTTCACTAACTGACTTTTGAAGATACCCATAAGTGAACCACACAAAATACACTACCGTACTAATTACTTTTTCTAACAAAATCTATCGGTATATTACAGGTGTTAAACCGTTATTTGAATGGTCAGCAATTATTGGACGTACAGCGAATCCGGGTTCATTTCGATTTAAGTAAGTTATTATTATTGCTTTGAATTTCTGCATTTCGACATACTTGAGCTATGAATGTTGCTTAATAATCTGAATTAACCTAACTGTATTTCATTGAAATCATAGGCCAATATAAGTTAGACAATCATCAAACATCTGGAAGCACTGGATGGTCATTTCATCCTAGTAGGCGAGCCCTCAGCAGTGCGTGTCCAGAACCTCGTATCCTTCAATCGAGTCCAGGACCTTTGGTCTCATGCACAAACACTTAAACTCTAGACCACTGGGTCGGGATACAATATTGTACGAGTCTAACTTCAGTCAATTATGTTTGTTGTCCCTATGTTAATCAAATGATTTAATGAAAATTACTCAAAGTTAACTACTTCGAACGCATTACACAATGTAGTCAAAGTTCTGTACTTACCATAAAGGTTTTTTGTTCATTAAAATGAAATGATAATAGGTCATCAACTATATTTCTCCTGTCGTTCAAATAATGTGAAGGGGTGACATGAAAATCGCCTTCTCGTTATTAAGTTCATTGAGTTGGTTCCAGAAGAATACAGTTTATCGGCCTCCTGAAATTACGGTTGCGATTGTTTGGGACAGGAGTTAACACAATAGGAGGAGGGATTGAAATGTTTCATATCATCAAAAATTACTCCCGTAGGGTGTGTGATACTCATAGTAGGTTTTTGGTACTCAAATTCATTAGTCATTTTTGAACATCGGTGAACGTTCACCGTGAACATATCCATATAACCAGTATAAAATACATAGTATATAGTACTTGAGAATATTAAGTAGTGACTTTACATGAATAAATAATCCTGAATTGCAAGTATTAGCAATTTGTGGGGATTGTTGAATTTTATAGTTTACACTGTGAACTGGCCTTAATCACACAACGGTTGAAAACTAGGAAGCACTGGACAACTCTTTCATACTAATATGGGAATAGCCGTGATTAGTGTAGTTTAACTGTACCGAATATGAGACGGTTACTTATCGACGGCAATGGATAATGGCTTTGTATTATTGGGAACCAATTGAAATCACCCGTATTCGGTGCTGTCTTAGCAACCTAAAGTTTAAGTACTCACCGCCATATTTGAAGTCTCTAGTTTCGACGTGCTTATGAGTCTCATGCAAGATTGAGACAGCTCTACATTCCTTCATGACCTTGAAAGGCTATCTAACTGAACTTAATTCATGGTGTCAATGACATAATCCTGAATTTTAGGCAGTAATTGTCATTTTCTGTCTAAAACTGTCCCCGTTTCTCTTATTCATAGATACTTCCATGTTCTTATACAAGAGATGCAACTTAAACTTGATCAAGGCTTTCTTTATGATATAACCAATTTCTTTGCTTCTTCTGTAACCCATACATCTAAGGTAAGTAATATTATTGTATGCATATCATTTCTTTATCTAAGATTCCTGTTATTTTTAAAAAAAACTAGGTTTATCATATAAGTGATCATTAGACAGTCTAACACTAACATGTATCGATGATGACCAACAGAGTCTATTTTAATCAAAATGAAGATGTTTCAACAAAGATAATTTTCTTTTCAAAGATATTATCTACTGGAACTGTACAATCGTAATTATATGCAGAAATGGATGGTGGCTAGCAGTGCAATCCAAGACTCGCGTTTTGTCCTATCGAGACTCAGTAGCGGTACTAGGTTCGTGTCCCTGAGTGTACATCAACTCTGGGATGTAGGTACACCCAGCTGATGAGTTCAAAACGAGAGGGAACGTGCGTCCTGGATTCCACTGCTAGCCACCATCCATTTTCTTATTATAAAGGATTTGTTTTATGTAATTAAGCTAGAATGGAATTTTTTCACCTTGTATGTACATTTATATACAATATATATGTATCTATATAAATTAAATTATGAAACATTATAGGTGGAATCTTTAAAGGTGAGAATCTGAACCGTATATCATTCAGACTTATGCTGATCGACTGTTTGTTTATTGATTTTTCTTAAAACTCGTTCAATTCTCATTCCATTACCAAGTGAATTTGTTTACACCGCGTGCACGTTCGCATGTTTCGGTTGACTTGACTGCTGTGTTGAAATAGTATGTGTGTGTGGGGGGGTATTTTCTAATTGGATCAATAATTGTTAACTTATCACTTTGTATATTTCTTTTCGGTTTGTTTGATGACGTTACCCAAATGAATATGTGATGTTGACATTTCAATAAATAATTGCCTTTAATTGTGTATATCTGTAATGGTGACTGATTTTCGTCTGTTTATCAACTATACAAGTATCATTCATTACGTAATGTGTCAATTCTCCTGTCTGTCCGAAGATAAATATAAGTAATGTCCTAGCATCAATATATGATAGATAATGATAAACTATCTAGTTTGATTTAATCAATCATAGGTCGACACAAAGAATAATATTGTTCCATTTATTTAAATCAGTTCACCTAGTTGTATTTAGGTTAAATTCATTGCGTACAAAAGTGTATCGTTTCAGTCAGTCATATGCTACATAAGAACTTGGCAGAGCTGTACATCGACTCAAATTACCACACTAAATCAACACATCGAAATGAAATTATCAAGATAAGTCTCAGAGTAGTCGAAGTGGGAAGTACCAGTAATATTCAGTAGTGGTGGTAGAACACATTCGGTATAAACAATGTGATTTGAGAATAAAGAATGAACACACAGAATAAAAGGTATGAAATAGTTTTGAAATAGAGAATCCTAGTGTAGACGAAGAATCAATACATCTGTACAATAGAAATCGATTTTGAGCCATTTCATCCAACGTCTCTAACTATCGGTCACAATAATCGAGTAATCAGTCAATAACTTCACGTCTTGTTCTAGCCGTAGTTATTTATCACACACCCATACGTCCATTGTTAAATGGAAGATTTTTTTGTCTGTGCCTTCTGTTATTCTTTTTCTGTCTGTCTATCAAATTAGCAACTGATCATTCCCTATCCATAATTGTCTTGATTACCTTATTGTGAATGAATCAGAATGTTATGTTTTTTGATAAAATGAATTAACTATTTCATTCTTTTTATTTCGTCATCATCATCATCATCATGATTGTCTCTGTTCGTTATATGGCCATATTATTCAGAATTGAAACATCATGTTAATTCTCAAGAGCCTAAATCTCTTCTTCATGATGATATTTTCAATTTTCATGATCTTGTAATATTGATCACTTAGAAAAATAATGGTGATTCTTTCCTTTTTTCAAACAGTATGAAACTTATTCTAATTCATTGCTTTCCGTTGATTTTTTTCTCACCTTTCACTTTGTTTAATCTTATAACACTTTAGGAGGAAGCGTTCAAACATGATTATCTTTTGATCACTAGTAAATTGATTGATTCACCAGTTGTACAAGCTCACTTGCAAGATGGGAATCGATCCATTTTTGATAGTTTTCATATTTCACCGATCAAAGTAAGTTTTGATAGGTTTTTCTTACATTTATGAGTGTAGTTCAACACTCAAACCTTGTGAATGAATTTACTGTGGCACTTTTTATTTTAGATTGTAATGGTGAATTAAATAAGGATAAGATTCAAGAAGGCATGCAAGCATTGAAACTGAGAATAGACACATGTCAATGAAGCAAATGTATTTGATCACATAATAATAGCGATAAGTCAGTAGTGAGGTAATATGAATTGAAAAAAAGAAAGAGTTACCAAGGTGTTTTTTTCCAGATATTAAAAATTCCCATATTGTAAATCAGAGCAACGTATATAAGCGAACAACATTGTCTCCAATTAGTTCCTCATCCGGCTTTATTCCAACACACTAATATTTATATTGATAATATGAAAATATTAAACCAATTAAAGCAGTTTATGAGTCAGTGATAACAATGAAACGCAGCTCCGCACTATCACACTTGATCATTAGTGAGTCATGTAGTAAATAGAGTAATAAAGTAATTTATCTTCGATCTCATCTCTCGCTCATAACAGAAGCTGCAAGGATTCGAGTTAACAACTAAACTATTTATATATATGGAAAATTTGTTACACTCTTATCTTTTCATTGGCTGAATTAGACCTAGCAAACGATTCTACGTATTATTATTCCCCATACCCTTTGTTCACTGTTTTCACCTGCTCGTATGTACTATTCACTGTCTTATTACGTAACTTCAGTAGTTTTTAACGAGTTTTACTTCAATGTTATATTTTAGCGAAGGAAGACTTGGTGGCGAAAACCGATCTATTCTTTAGTCTATAGTCATTTTCTTTCTTTAACAACTTTCTATTTCAAAAGGTACACGTCAGTTTTTCTCTTACTGGTAGTACAGAAGGAAAATCGTCGGCTTTCCCGAGTGAAGTACTTAATCTTTTCTTGCAATCTCTTGGTGTAGCATTAACTGAAGTACAAGATGTAGTTTTCAAGTAAGCAAGCTCAGTTATACCAATATCTCTTTAAAAAATTTTTCTCTTAACTTTTTCAAACTTATATTACATGGCTTAATTGAAGGGATTTTGTAAGGATTAGTTGAATTTACAGATTGTATTTGCCACATATTAAACTTATTCAAGATAGTATTCAAAACCAGAGAACATTGAACAGAAGTGTGCACTCACGAACTAGACTCAGCACAGTCAGGTCTCGCGGTGACCCCTTAACCATTAACATCACTAGGTTGAGATCACTATAAGCTGTCGATTTATTCGTGGTTTGTAACTGTTAATGAATTATTTCTTGAAATACAAGCTTATCATGGGTTGATATTACTTCATGATTCAATCAGACAATATTCGAAGATTATGTGTTGTATATCCATATTTAATCGTAAACAATATAATCTTTTACTCCTTTTTACCATCAGATATATATGATATAAGTTAACATTAAAGTACACAAACGTATTCACAATTATATATATGGAGTTTTATTTATATTTCGACCAATATGAAATTGTTATACATCATTGTCTTATTGTGAAATTCTGCTCAATTATATAAATAGGGCAGTTTTATGGTATTCTCTTAAGGGCTAATCATAGCTATATATAAATGGATTATTTGTACCTATTATATAACTTTTATGTTCTGTGTCTAGTCTGTCAGTAATTGTAAATATCGAACCTGGTACATATATGTACATCAGTTCAAGTTACCACATCATAAGATGAATTTTTCAGGAAAAATCTCAGAGTAGTATGAGTAGCAACAGTACTAGTGATAATAGAAACGGTCAGGTATCGAGAATACTATTCATAAAATCAATAAGAAAAAGTAATCTATTTGATAATTTAGAAACTTAGGATTTAAAAGAAAGACAACAAATGAATTTCAGTCTTGTTACAAGCATATAAAGTTTACAATAATTATCGCATACACTTTAAAATGATACCTTCCAGTCATTAAGTCAACAACAACGTAGAACTTCGTACGTACGTACGTACATCAGTTGAAGTTGCCATACCACATTAGCACAGAGATACAATTGTTGATTCAAATCCCATAGTGCTAAAGGTAGTAAAAGTATAAACAGTAATAGGAAACATTAGGGTTTGAAGGTGTTAATCAAGGATTATAATCCAGTGAAATAAATTTGGAAAGCGAAAAAAGAAAGGGATATGAAGAATTCAGAAGATTAGAATTTGTGAGAACTCAAAGAGTGGATGCACCTGCGCCATTGCAAACGATTTTGAGTCATATCATTCAAGGTCTCGAACCATCGGTTGCTATCGTTTCGCGGATCCCAACCAGGTAGTCTACACTTACCAACATGGCTCAGTCTATTTGTCAGTGACTTCATGGATACTATTAGCTTTATTAAAATTTGTATAGTCAATATTTTGCTTAATATAAACTTCCAATGTTCATTAATGTTAAAATAAAATGAAAATTTTTCTTAAATAATTTATCATAATAATGAGAATAACTATAGAATAGATTGGATCACTTTGAAATTTTATTTCTTCTCTGTTTATTTCGTTAAAAAAATGTGTTTTACATCAATTTCATTCCCCTTCCTTCTAGATTGGATTATTTCGAACGTCAAGCATGCATCATGACAATTAATCAAATGAGTACAGAAATTACACATCATTATGTTGGCCAAGGTGTTAGACAAATGTATGTACTAGTTTTAGGATTGGATGTATTAGGTAATCCATTCGGTGTATTACGAGGCTTAGCTCAAGGTGTTGAAGATCTCTTTTATGAACCAGTAAAAGTATGTTAACTTTGTCGAAACCATTTCTGATTAATAAATCAATAAATTGACTAGTGAGAAGCAAGAACAAAGATTCTAGCAGAATAGCATGAATTCATTTTATTTGGTTGGTTTTTGTCAGCTGCTTACAACCTGTGATATTTAAAAATCATAATTGCAAAATGGGTTTAAATTACTTACACTAAACAGTTTAGTCGGAAGTTATGTTGAAGACCATATTAGCACAGCAAGGTTGTAAATAAATTCCATAGGCTGAATATTGTAAATATATGCCTTATGTAAAAGAACATTCTACAACAAACGGCCAGAAACAAGTAATTACATAATGAGTAAACGCTGATAAGAATATATGAGTAGAGTTCAGTTGATAAAATAAGATTAATAATCTAGAAGACAGTCTAAATAAAACACTCAGTGATGTAATAAATGCTAGAAAGAATTTAAAAAAGTGTTTTAAGATCCAACAAAGGAATATTTGTCACCAGGGCAAAGAAAGATTAATATCCATCTCCTTTTGAATACATAAATCAGGTTTTAGACGCCTGATAGCAACGGCTTCAGAAGACTGGAGTTTGACTGTTTATTAATCACCTTAAAAGATTGCAGGGTATCGACTTGATGTCCAAGGCATTCAAGGCATATTTGGTAATTGCACTGTTTAGAGTCGTTCTTTCTCTTGTTCTAAGGCTTTTTGGAATATGCTCAAAAAAAATTAAGATATGTCCTCCTTTCTGGTCGGCCAATGTAGCTACTTTGGCAGGTACACGTAAATTTATAAATACAGTTAGCGGTAACATGAAAGAGGTGTTTACAAACATAATCACCAGGAGGCTTAACAATTCACTAACCAGAGCTTATCCGTCAGACAAACTATTAATTCTTTATAAAAACGACATGTTCAATAACCCAATCAAACGTTGACAAGCAGGTTGTAAGCAGTTGACGTGAACCAACGAAATAAAATAAATTCATGCTATTCTGCTAAAATCTTTGTTCTCGATCTTTTCAAAGTTATATATATGATTGACTTGTTATTTGTTATTTCCTGCCTAAATGCACCGCAATTTTTCTTATTTTATTATAGGGTGCAATTCTTGGTCCGGAAGAATTTGCTGAAGGTGTCACCCTAGGTGTACGAAGTTTGCTTGGTCATGCTGTAGGTATGTCAAATTCGAATCATTGTCTTATAGTTGTTCGTTTATTTCACCATCAGTTGTCTAACACTCATTTTATATGCCAGTAAGGGGTTGTGGAGATTGTCGACTTTCACTGACAGCATGAACCTATCTAGGTTAGACTGGCAACTTTGTTCAATGGTGTAGAGACTAAAGGCCCTGGGTTTGATTCCCGATTGCTGGGTCACAGATGTGCACTGGTTAGGAGTCCTATACTAGAACGAAGCGGCTATCCAGGTTTTCAATGGTTGCCTAAATTAGATTGGTTCATGATTCCAATGAAACTCATTTTATGGTTCACTTCATGGACTGATGTGGGTTAGGCAACCTTTGAAAACTAGGATATCCACGTTGTCCTATTATGTGACTCTTCAATAGTGTACATTCACGATCCTACGGGAGGTCAAATTCAGGACCTACATGGATCGTGGCGAGCACTTAACCCATGAACAGATGAACTGAGATCCAACGATTTACATGTTTAGCTTCAATTAATTCGTGACATTAAGTAACAATCATTTAATTTTATCTGTGTGTAACTGTCTCACACTCAACGTAGTTGAACTCCACTTGCCACAGATTCTCTTTAGAACTCCAAGAATAATATCTCATACTGCTTACTTGATTCATTACATGATCTTTCATTCAAGAATTAATCTTCTATCAATGTATCGATTCAAACAGAAGTTGTATAATGTTGTCTTTTCATTACTATAATTATGCATACAAAATAGTCATCAATGTTGTGAAATCTCTTAAGTATTAGTAACAGACAAATTTTCACACTCAAATAAGTCTTTAGCATTTATGTATAATGATATGGTTTGCTTAGTGTTAATAGTTAAATCGTTCTTCGTTTAGGTTTTATGGTTATAGGTGATTTTTAATAAGATTTATAACAATCATTTTACTACACCACTTCTTCCTTTTGAAGGTGGGGCAGCTGGTGCAGTTTCACGTATAACTGGTACACTCGGTAAAGGTATCGCTGCTCTAACTCTAGATGAAGATTATAAACGTAAACGTCGTGAACAGTTAGCACGGCGTCCAGAAACATTTGGTGCTGGTCTAGCTCAAGGTGGTCGAGGTTTATTTATGGTAAGCCAGTATGAGTCTACCACTTTTAGTATTTGTGTACCTCTTTAAAAAAATTATCTACAATAATGGTTTCTTTTTACTTCTTAGGGTGTATTTCATGGTGTTACTGGAGTGGTTACAAAACCTTTCGAAGGGGCTAAAAAGGAAGGAGTTGAAGGTTTTTTCAAAGGTATGGATTTTTTTGGTAGATATTTTGGTAATCTGGGATTATTAAACGTAATACTGTAGCGATAGTCGTATTCTTGAACTACCCCTATGAAATAACTAATGAAGTTGAGTGCTGGTGTTGATTACTGCTGTTTTCCATATATATGCAATGCCAAAGCCCAACCCACACCTTAAGGTGTCCCTGGCATAATGGAACTTAATCCCATGAACTAATGTGATTGACTAGGTAAAAACCGGGCTTACCTCCACTCTACCGAAACCGATGAAGATAGAACTAGTTTCCCCTTCTGTCGTCAATATAGACTGCCTGAAAAACTTGAAGCAAAGATTTTTGAGTTATGCAGTAAAGAATTGAAGAAACAAATTATTCCTTAATGCCTGACTGGATTATCTTTAAGAACCCCCATTAGGTATGGTATAAACAAAAGCGATGGTCATAAACTGTGCCGTAACCATTGCACAAGGATCGACGCTAAACTTATTAATGGTGTGAGTGTGAATGAACAGTTCATCAATAGAAGGCATTAATTCGATAATTTGGGGGCAAGTATTTCATTCATTCCCCATTGTTATCGGGCTTCTATCTGATTCACCAAAAAATCAAATTACATCCATACCTATGTCTGTTTTTGATTTTTTCACATACGTAAATTTCTTAATGTTTAATTTTCTAGGCTTTGGCAAAGGTCTTGTTGGTGCAGTAACTCGTCCAGTTTCTGGAGTTGTTGATTTTGCTAGCAGTTCATTTGAAGGAATTCGCAGGTAATTTATTCCAATTGAATCATTTGTATACAACATAGAATGTGATACAGATGTATGTTAGTACAAGTTGCTATTACTATAATAACACAATAAGATTAGTTTAACATGATGAATAGAAAGTGACTCGTTGTCGTCAACTTATCGTGTATATTTTTTTGAGAATGGCCACTTAATTAACAACTAATCCACTTACAAGATTCATACTAACATTTACTACTATAAAGAAGAAAATGAAACTTGTGACGAGCTTTGTTCGGAATTCGATACTGATACACAGTGTGCTATGCACTACCCCCTCCCCCAACTAACTGTTTGAGCGAGAAAGTATTTTGGGTTAAGGAATAAAATGCATACTCATTCATATATATACTACTCTATCCTCAGGAAATTAACCCATTTCTTAGCCAGTGTTAGGCACTCGTCCTTTAGGTCACTTCTGATTGCCATCGATTAACCTCACTAATCTACTTCTGATTGCCTCTCCATATCAGAAACAGGTGAACATGAAACAAAAATATCACTGTGTAATTGATCTTTCTTCATGCATACTCTTGATTGTTTCTCAATCTCATGGTTTGTATTGGCGATTCATCTTCGAAAAAGTTATCACTGTTACAAATATCTAATAAATTCTATTCATCTGTTTTTTCTTCTGGTATTCTACTTTTATTTCAATACTCTAAAGGGATGTAACAATTTTACTTCATGGGAATATTATACTTTGGAGTTTTTTTTCTCTAGATTATTAACTAATTGATCTGCGAAATTAATTTTTAGCATGGAGTTGTGAAGATTGTTGAATTTCATTGAAATCATGTACTGATCGAAGTTAGACAACCAACCTGTCTCAAAGGTCTAGAGGTTAAGCACCTAAGAGCGAAATTAAAGGTCCTGGGTTCGATTTCCGAATGCGAGATCGTGGATGCGCATTTTCGAGGACACTCATACTATAACGAAACGGACGTCTAATGTTTCCAGGTTTCCAGTAGTTGCCTAACTTAGATCGGTCCATGATTCCTATGAAATAAATGTTGATCTATTTCACATAAAAAATACTCTAATTGTTGATGATATTTTGTTTATATTACGAAACTTTGTACAATCGATTTTATTTCCTTAATATCCTGTCTTCATCATCGCTACAGTTTTGTTTATTTTCATTCGTTTTGTTATATAACAGATTAGCTGATACAACACAAGAAGTTTCACGTGTTCGTCCTCCTCGGTTTATTCGTTCTGATGGGATTATAAGACCGTATGATAAACGTGAAGCTGATGGTCATCTTATTCTTAAAGTAAGCGTTAATCTCATTTCGTTGATGTCTTGCTTTCTGAACCAGACAGTTAGGTCGCGAAGCTTTCATTATATTTTTAGTTAATGACGTCATCAGCATACGCTTCAAACGGAAGTGAACTATAAGAATATCTGTCAATTAACTAACAATCTATTCTATTGATCTGAAATTCGTTTAGTTTTTGTCCACAATTATATGAGCGTTGTCTGCCTATTTGTGATTAAATTATCTTCTATTCTATTGTTTATTCTTTCCCTTAATGGCTAATAAAGTGGATCGATTTCGATTTTTCTCTTGGTTAATCCGTGACCAGAGTGCCAAGTTTCTAAAAATTCTCTTTCATTACATTCCCTCTGTACAATGTTTCGACGTTTTCCCAATCATGCATACCCATAGTTGCGCACATATGTATTGATATAAACACGGCTATCTCGTGGATTTTAACATCCAAGTGGTGTTCACATACATGTGGACACAATGAGCGACCACTTTGTCCTATGTAGAGCTTTTCTCTGATGATGTTGTTTAAAAAGGCAACGAAAACTTCACAACTAAACTATCAACCTCGGAGAATAAAACGCCTTCAAGATGCTCATCTCAAGCTACAATTATTCACCATCATGTTGATGCCATTTCGTCTGATAATTTCTGAACTCTTTTTTTACTATCAATAACCAGTAGTTAGCACTCGTCAGTATGGGGTACCTGTAAACGTAACGAAACCTTTACTCTTCCTATGGGGTTCAAACCCGTATCATCTAACTGCACAGTTTGAAACGTCCGAATCCCACAGAGAGCATCAGTTTCCTTCATTATTGTAGGTATACCTTGCTGATGGGTGCTAACTAGCACGAAACATAGATTCAGAGTTTCCTGTTGACTACCTTCAACCACGTAGTGTCTCATCATAGTACACTTGATTCCAAGCTACTTATACTAGTGACCACATCCCAACTTAATTGATAGAGTTCTATTAACACTAAAGGACTAGACAAACATGACACTACCCAGTGATTAATCAGTTGTCTAATATAAACTATTCTTCATACATATTATTGAGTCTATTTTTATGCAATAATAACGAAGTTCTTTTAACATTTCTGTCTCTCTCTCTCTCTTTGTTACATTTTTCATCCTCAAAAATTACTTCCTAGTCTACCTATTAAGAAAATACTGGTTCCAAACTGACCTTTCATATTACTATAATATTTGCTGCAAATATTGCATTAAAACAGTTTATCATTTATATCTCTTTAAACTATTTAGTATTGTACTTATTTTTCACTACATGTGACATTCTTTATTGTATCAACCTGATCATTCCTGTAAACTGGCATGCAGTTCTGTAGTTATATATATATATATATATATATATATATATATATATATATATATATATATATATATATATATATAGGGGGAGAGAGAGAGATGTTGATTGGTAGATTTCAAGTACATTGTACAATAATCTCTGAAGTACAACGTTTATTATTATTATTTAATAGAACAAAGTCTATTTTCCAAAACATAAAACAAATGCCATCATATGATTATTTTCTCCTACTTTTATATCATTTTACACCTGATCAACGACAGATGAATAGCTTCTTTTCACTTTAATGATGATGATTAATGTCAATTTCAGATTTTTTCACTTCTTTGTTTGTTTCTCTCTTTCTTCCCATCTTAGCAAGTAGATAAAGATGGTATTTTTGGTCAATATCTATTCCATATTCATTCTGTTCGTGGAAATAGTGCATTAGTTTTAACAACAAAGTAAGTACTTTATATATCTTTAGGTGTTACTTATTGTAATAGTCTATGAATTAGTGAAGTGATAAATTTTGTATTTGTAAGTTTGAACTTCAATCCAACTACATTTATACTTAAACAGATAATCAATATTTCTTGCCCACTCACAAAAGTTTCGGTTGTACACTTGACTACTAATTCGTTTATTTCTTCGTTATATTCAACAATGAGCTACTGCTCAATGTGTTGAACTTTCAATCCTGCCTTATCAGTTTCGTTCTAGCTCTTATCCCAAAGGCGGCCTGCTTGAGCATCTGGGCTACCTGTTCCTGCCGTCTAGGTATTTCAACAAGTTATCTATTTTTGTTTGTTTTAATATATCATTATGTTTATTAATCGCATAACCTATTCTGCTGCGTTTCTGAAAAGTGTACAACCTTTCGTTGTCAAAGTTACAAACAACTCAATAAGAGACAATGTGGTTGCTGGCAATATACAACGAAAAGAATGCACATTATTCAGATGTTCATTTAGTGAACTGCCAACATCTAACTGGCGATCACTCGATATTTATCGCCAGGACCGACCAAGAAGAAAGAAACGGAAACTTGTTGAAATACTTTACGCTGAGAATTCTATATTGTGCCAAAAATATAATATTGAATAAAGCTAATAATAATAATAATAATAATAATAATAATAATAATAATAATAATAATAATAGTTCGAAACCATATACACTAATCTTTTCTTGATAAATGAGTTAATAAAAATGATAAATGCTCTTTGAACGCATTGTGTTTAGTTTTTATCAATCCATTCAATGTATGCAATTAATTGTACCTTTGAAAAAGGTAACTTCTTTAAAGAAATTTCTAAACATTTATATAAGCCTCATATATCAGTTTTTTATTATTTCATAGAGAGTTTTGTATATTTTAAAGATAAGTTGATATTACATTGTGTCGAATTATGTCACAAATCAGTTATGATTTTATTTGTTAACGTTTTAAATGTTTAATAAGTTTTCATCGACTACAATTTCATATGTGATTGAATCAAGAATCTTGTGATATTCACTTCGACCGTAATTACTTCCAACTTACTTACTTATGCTTGTTACTCCCAGTGGAGCATAGGTCGCCGACCAGCATTCTCCTACCCACTCCGTCCTGGGCCTTCCTTTCTAGTTCTATCCAATAGTTGTTCATTCTTTTATCTGTTTCCATTTCTCGGCGTAATGTATTCTTTGGTATTCCTTTTCTTCTTTGGCCTTGAGGGTTCCTTGTTTCCCAAATGCTAACCAGGAAACTTCAAACTACCAGACTAAATAATTTGTGCATGTGTACTACCGCTCACTACTATTAACTAAGTTATCTAATACATTCTACCTTTCATTAATTCACCATTTGTTATCAGTTTACAATGAAAATCATTTTAATGGATGTCTGATTACACAATATCGCAAATTGACTGAAATTGGAAATATGAACTAGCTAATACCATTTGAATAGTTCAAATTGTACTGCACTTTCACCATTCTACTCATAGGTCTTCTAGTTTCAATCCTTGGTGTAGTCGTGAATATTCACTGTTCAGAAGTTCTGTATTAATACAAAGCCCTTAAATGCCCTGGTACGGCCGAGAGTGGGGGGAGTCCGCTCTCCCTCTCGAAATGCTCTCACATGGCCACGTGTATATAGCCTCTGCCAGGGAAGTCCTACTCACTGCCTTCTCGTGGTGAGGGTGTTGTTTACAAAAATGGGAGGATGAAAAGCGAATGTCCGGCGCTTTAACCGGATTCCAAATCAATGGTGCACATGGGCTCCAGTATCCTGCGGGAACAGATGGTGTATGAACCAATCGTTGGTAATCGGCTTCTATGTGACTGCATCTCCTTACGATGCTCCACTGCCTTGTGGATCAGACCTTTAGGTCGAGTGCTCCGGGTGTGGCCCCCTAAGAAAACCATCTACTTCGGTTTGGGCACCTGGGCAGTATCACAGCCCCCACACATATCGAATGATATTCGTGTGGCGCATATGTATTTGGTGCCCCCTTGTACCAATATCTATGTGTTAAAATAAATAAATAAAAATATTAATACGAAACGTCTCTCTAGTCCCCTCTTGATGATGTGTCCTTCTTTCCGGTCCATCGGCACTTGTTCCTCCTCCCAAATCTTTTTGAATAGAAGGTGAAGCATGTTTGTAGTTACTTCGATATCTGACTTCAGTGCTTCAGCTGGTATTTTGTTGGATCCTGCTGCTTTCGCTCTCTTGATTTGTCTGACGGCCATTCTGATTTCTTCCGTCGTTGGTGGATTGACATCTGTAGGAAGATCTGTGTGTGCTGCTTTGATGTCTGGTGAATTCACTGGAGCCGGCCTATTCAGGAGTTCCTCAAATTACTCTATCCATCTGTTCCTCTGTTCTTGAATTTCAATGATTGTCCTACCTTCTTTGTCTTTGACCGGTCTCTCTGATTTACTATATTTCCCTGCTTGTTTATTCGTTGTGTCGTAAAGCTGTTTCATATTTCCTTCTCTTCCAGTTCTTTCCGCCGTCGTTGCTGGTTCTTCCACGCATTTCTTCTTGTCGGCTCTAATGCTCTTCCTCACTTGTTTGTTTGCTTCTATGTACTCAGCTTGTGCTTGGACTTTTTCTGCTCGTGTTCGGCTGTTGCTAATTGCTATCTTCTTGTTCTTCCTTTCTTTGATCCTGTCCAGTATATATATATATATATATATATATATATATATATATATATATATATATATAAACTTCTGTAACGCTTATGATATTTTGTTTTGCATTTTATTAGCAACCTACTAATCATAGAATCAATGGATTTATTGGGAACATTTTCAGTTGATTGGAAAACTCCATTAGAAAATTTATCTGAGGTACCAGTTATCAACAAAAGTGGAATCTTGATTAATTTGAAAGAAAGACAGAAAAAAATGTTTACATCAGGTCATCGGACTAAACAATTTGACTGTGATCTTAATTTAGCCAAAGTAAGTATATATATCTTTGTGCAGAATATTTTTAAGAATATTGTTCGTTGACGAGAACCCCCCAGCTGTCTATTACCCCAGCATGAAATGGTAGACACTAGTATATAAGTATATCGGAAAAGTCTATAATCGATCAGATCAAAATGTAATACTTATTCATGAATTCATTGACTCATAGATAGGGTCCACGTAACAGTTGGAACCAATGATCGAATATCTCAGACAGTATGGCTCAAAATCGGTTTGATGATTTGCACCTATCGCGAATTAAAGAATTTGTTAGTTGTGTAAATAAGATTAGCTTAATTGCTATTTGAGGCATAAAAACTTTCACTTCCTTGTTGGGAGCATTCTTCTTCTTGAGTGATCTGAGAAAAAACTCAATTAATCGTGATTTCGATTATTTTGGACCGCAACCTTAGAGTACAAAATTCGGGTTAATGAGGCGGTAAACCACCACTTACCTTAGTAGATTCAGACTAATTGGTTAGGATCTGCGCATAAACTTCGAACAGTGGTTGAAGACGTTTTATCCAATATTTAATCTTTCTCCCTATCATTAATACTACAATGGTTTCAACTCATTTGTTATTCATTATCTTCATCCCACCGTCATAATGTAGTTTGACAATATGGGCTGATACACTTTTATGCTAGGCTTAATGTTGTTTATGACTAACTACTGTGTTTATACGATAGTGTCTATTCTTTTTTTTTCTTAACTCATTCTTTTCCAGTTAATGATCAATGAGATCGATTTGGCCATGACTAAACATGAACACTTGGACTCTAATCTTTGAATTAACTCAATAAATATATTCACTTATAACGATATTGTGTATTGCATAAGTTTCGATTTGTGGTGATTCATTTAAATACTACTTGATTACAATTGTATACTTCTTTTCAGTAACTGTTATCCGATTATGATAAATATTCTCTCTCTCTCTCTCTCTCTCTCTCTCTCTCTCTCTCTCTCTACCTACCTACCTACCTACCTACCTACCTACCTACCTACTTAGCCCATTTGATTTTGTTGACAACTGTGTTTTTTTCTATGATATTTTGATGCTATTGGACAAACTATTTTTTTTTCTAATTGAGTTACACCTACATATACACAAGGAAAATATTGTGATTTATAATTTTCTTAATCGCATATACATACCTATAAATCTATTATTATCATCCGTTAACAGAATTAATAACAGATTCTCTCTATATGTTATTATCCATTCTTTAATTGAATTATAATGTATAGCTGATAAGAATCCGTTTTTTTCTTTTGATTATATCCAGTTGTAATTTGGTTAGAATGGTTGATATTCCCCCCTACTAATAATAATTACACAATCTAAATAACTTTAAATTCTTGTTAATGACACTTTGACAATTATGTCATAGCCTTAGAGTTATTATTTTATTATTGTAGGACTTTTTCTTATTATTCATTAAATAAAACTCTTACTTCATGGGAGACATACAAGTGTATCGTTCAGTGAATGATTGTCATAAAACGTTGACTACTAATTAAACTTAAGTAGAAATGCATATGCAGTTTAAGAAATCGTGTTTTGTTTTTTTTTGACAGTTACATTGTGCGGATAGTTAACATAGACTTAGTTTGTAATTAGTTCTTGTTATTATTCGCTTTTTTTTCTGCATATACTAGATGTTACTTAAACTGTCCGAAGTAGGCGTGTTCTAGTTTCTTTTAGTCTTGTAATCCACAATTATAAGTATTTAGTAATTCCAACTATGATTGCTATAATCCGAAATGTATATCTAGATAAAGCATGTAATGAGAATATCTATATGATCTGTAAACATATACAGCAAACATATCAGAATTCTGTTATCGTAACAGAGGATAATTGAATACAAGAAGTATATGCGTACAGCAGTGTATTTGTTAGCGATAATCAATGTGTCATGCAAGAGGGATTCAAAATCAGAACGGATGATCAAAGATCATGTTGTTTTTTAAACAACAATTTTACAGTCGATAATGGTAATTCGATAAATTATGAGAATTGATAAAAGAAAATGTGAATAATAACAAAAACTAATTACAAAATAAGTCTATGTTAACTATTCCCACAACATAAATCCGCCATTGTATATAGCTGTTGAGACTTTAGTTTTATCCCTTGTTGGGGACGATAGATCTTTGTGGAGCTTGTATGCAGATGTATGCGTGGGCATTCCTTACCACCCACGCACATAGTCGATTGATGAACTTATCGATTAAATGTTTAAAAGCTCCATGGCAATATATATATACGTTTTCAATTGTGTTTGTGGTGCTCGCTCGTTTTCTGGCTGTTTGCAGAATATATTTTCCATACCAAGCTTGAACTTCTTCTAGATAGCGGGGCTGGAACGCATCAATAGCTAGATTACTGGTCTTTGATCACTGAGTCTTGTTCTCGTTCGCAGATTTAAGTGAACTCGTGAAGCTTCAAACCTAATATCTCTACAGTTAATTTTGTGAAACAAACTACTTATATACCTTAAAATCACAACAAATAAAACTATTTACAATGTACGAAACGTTTGTAATATTTATTGGCAGTTTAAGTAAACACAAGTAAGTGAGTAGGTCAGTAAATTCAATGATCAAATATATATGGAGTCTCGTTGTATGATTGATGAAGAACAAGGATAGTTCAGTGAAGTGAGTTTCCTTTGTTGTACTATCATATTTATGGTTAGTATATTTGCTGGGATTTTCTTTTTTTAATTAGTCGATTTCAGTATATCTTAATACAGGCCATCATTTATCGTCAGTCAGTTACAACGTAGGACCAGGTACATATGTACATCGGTCCAAGTTGCCACACCTAACTAGCATAACATGATAAGCACCAACTTCATAGAAGTACTTAATTCAGTGGTGGTAATATATAAAAGAAAGATTGCATATAAAAGGACATAGTACATAAAGAAAGAATTAATCTGTAGAAAGAAAGATATGAAGCGATTTTAATCTCTTAGTTTAAGGGAAGATAGAGAGTGTATACACCTACTCCATTGTGATCGATTCTGAACCATATCACCCACAGTCTCCAAACATTGGTTACAACAGTCACACGGACCCCAACCAAGTAGTTTGAATCTACCGACATGGCTCAGACTAGAAGTTAGTGACTTCAAGCACTGATGTCACGTTTTGGTTTGGCCGCCCCTAACTTTCTTCCAACCATCTCCAACACCGGTTGGCATTGCACGTCGTGGTAATCTGTGTTCAAGCATACGTAACACGTGGCCCAATCATCTCAGACGATGTAGATTTACAGCCTCATCAACTGATTTACCATCATTCCCTAATACCCTGCGTCTAACCTCACTATTACTTATCCGGTGATACCAGCATCTGAGAGCAATATTTTTAAAACATCTGTTATCAAATACCAGTAGCCTGCGAATATCTTCAACTCTTAATGGCCACATTTTGCAACCATCATTTATAACAAATTTATTAACTATAAAAACGTCTGTATAGCTTAAATAAATGAAACTTTTCAGAAAATTCTCTTCTCTAAATTGTCTTTTTTCTTTATAAATGTAACATTGATCATTCATGATATTCAATCTAAGCTCAACAATCTACATAACCCTATACTGATAAATGTAATCATTGCCTACAAAAATGTTGACCTACTATTTTTACCATCTTATGTTTACTAGCAGAAAAGTTTGTGAGAAAAACTGTACTTTTAAGACAATTAATTATAAGTGAGTTACGATCATAGTTGGACAGATTCCTGGATTCATTTTATTAAAAGTTTGATATATCATGCATTAATTGTGATTTTGTAGATCAATCTCGCAATCATATGAAGTGTATTAGCGAAAACTGGAATCTGTATAAATTTCAGTTTGGAGACACTGAGTTTTTCAAAATGATGTGTGGAGGATAGTCATTGACGTTTGAAATATCATTTCGTCTATACAATAATACTCGGATTATCAAAATGCTTGAAAAACGTGTCTGAGTACAAAAATTGCCTGTCGCAATTATACTACTTAAACGATTAATAAGTAGTCTAGTTATCTCACTACATTATTAAATGGTCCGATAACAATTTTCTCGTTATCATTCTAAAATAAACTTTCTGATCACCAAAACACTGGTTAATCGTTCTACACTTAATCGACTATTAGGCATAAATCTTGTTATGAGGTTTTAAACATGCTGCTTCTTTGTTTTACTTTAACAATCAACAAGCTTGTTCAAGAAAAATACATCAGAAATCCTACTTGTTTTAAAACTAAATGTTTAACAAGTCAAAAGTGAATTACATTTCTCAAAATAACTAACTATTGAGCAATCAATGTACATACATACTAAAAAGAAAAAACAAAAGACGTCTTTGGCATTTAACTATAGTTAGTAGGTCAATACACTGAAGAAGACAAGTAACATGAACAACAATAACAAACGAAATGAAATAACCACAATTCTGTTGTTGTTTGTTTTCCGTTCACAATTCAGTTCGTCAGGATTTAGTTCCTGTTTATAGAATTCCAATGTATAACACAGTGTAAATTCAAGATGATTCCTTGTCTTTACTTTCCAATCGCATTATTTATACACAGTAAATAATTGTCACAATGACAAACTGAAGAATCATTCTTTCTTTACATATATAAATAAACAAATTATACATATATAAGTGATCAAGATAGATTTAATGGCATTGTTTTTGAATTGATTATTGAAGAAGATTTAATTTGATTTTCTACAATTTCAATTTTCTTCAAAATTAAATTCGATCTACAACGTGCTTGTTGAATGGCAACTTTGGTAATTTCATAATTTTGTATGAAAAATTCCACATCATTCTAAGTTATGGAAAAGAAAGAATCATTATAAGTTGTATGTTTCTTTTTCAGATAAATATTACACCAAACATTTTTCCTATCATTCTTATAAAAACTAAACTGGCCTCAAACACTATCATGCGATAAAATGCTTCGGTCAGATTATAATATATGGACGAGCTTCGAGCGACGCCAGACTGACCTTGAGAGTGTTCAGGAATTATAATTATGATTTACGGTCGATGATTAAGATTGGGAATTAGATTTAGGGTTTTCATCACGAACTGACATCAGCTATAATGCCAAAACTCTTCAGCCAAAAGGACGAGTGAATTTCGCGCCAAAATCCAAGACCTGTTATCTCATACCTGATTGGTTCGTCCATAAATTGTAGTCTCGCCAACGCTTCTAACAAGCTTGTCTTATAATAGTGAATATAACAAGAGATAAGTAGTGTTATGACTTTAAGCCCAGTTAGTCATCACGTGATTTGTTAGTCAATCTGAATACCACTTACGCAATCTTGTTGCTGTGCCCAACTAACGACGTATCGACCGATATGAGCAGCCTAGCGTCCTTATTCTGAGAACTATTAATGGACTAATATTATATATACATTCCCATTATATAACCGCTCACTAACAAGATTATTTATATCTATACTCTGCTTATTATAAGCTTCATTTTTACTCATGGACTATTATTGTAGGATTTACTGTTCTTAAGTTATGTTCAGTTTATTGATTACAGTCTCCCACAATCACTACCACTTTTTGGCTTGATCTTGTAGAAATGTTATTTCCTATTTTATGGTGTGATGCGGTCTGTTTGGCTGGTATATAAACCAAGTATGTTTGAAATAGATGATTCGCATAGTGGAAGCTGTTATTGGCGTTCTGGACTCAACTGGATGGGCTAGGCAAACAAAGGATCAATAAGGACGCTAGGCTGCTCATATCGGTCGATACGTCGTTAGTTTGGTACAGTACCAAGATTCCGTAAGTGTTATTCCGATTCTTGTGAGTCTGTTGTCTGAAACAATTATGGTGACTAAGTAATTCTCCTGGTTCGTCCTACCATCGTCACCAAGTAATTTTGTAGTGAACAAGAACACGAGTGGAGACAGTCGATTGTATTTCAACACGAAATTACACAATATCTCACTAAAATATCACGCCCATAAACTAAATATTCAATTTGCAAAATATCAATCAATTGTCTGAAACGTCACTGTTCCTTTTGCAAATCTCAGTCGATCGTCTCACATTTCACTGTTCCTGCATTTTCATACCAATTGCTTCCCGTTCCCGTTCTTTCCTTCTCTATCTTCTACTGAAATACATCCTATTCCTGACTATCGTTATATACTACTTATGTGGTTATAGGTAGCTCACACTACAACTCTACTGGTGAAAATTCCCAATCGTGTACATACTCTGGCCTGTACCATCACGCTTAGTTGGCAGTTACCCTGTGGTACATAAAGACAAAATATTTAGAGTTGTTTAAAGTAAACCATCAGGTATTTCTAAAGGGATTCGTCTTCGTCTCCTACATATATTAGGAACTATATGGATTCGAGTTGACAACCTTAGTCACCATATTGAAAAGGGACTTATAACATTCCTTTGATCCAATAAGTCTTAGTAAATAATTCTACCAATTATCCACGCCATCTGTTTGTTTATTCTTTTTCACTACTTATGTACTCAAAATGATTACTATAACACTTGTTATTATATAGTTTTTAAATAACTTATATCAAAAGGTTTGATTTCCCCAGTTTTGGACTACTTCCTATGTTAAGAATTTATTCAAATTGTTATTTTCTTATCACTACCAATGCACCTGTCATTCTAATGTCAGTTTATACTTTCCACATATGATTCTATACACCTCTACACAAAATTACTATTCATTATATAGTCTTTTTCATTAGCATACTCGGCTTTGAACCATACATTGTTTGACGGTTATTAAAAATAATCATATGACTGAACAGAATTTTGGTTGGATTTGGGTTCGAATCTGCAATCTTCTGGTTGAAAGCTGAGCGCTGAAACTACTAAGTTATAGTTTCATATTCCAGGAAAAGAGAGTTAGCCAAATGAAATCATTAAATCTAGAAAGCGAAAATCGTCAATAAACTCTCAATGTGTTATGGAAATGAAGAAGGAATTGATGAAGGAAAAGAGACACTAAACATTTAAATTATTTAAAAAGTTATTATTCACCGAAAAGTGAGCAAGTAAAAGGAGACCTAGACAGAAAAATTGGTTACGCCTTTTTATGTAAAACGGTCTAACTGGAAGTCCTTTGTGAAAGTTGCTTTCAAACATTAGACAATCCACGCCTGTTCTTTGTATGCTTATAACCTTAAAATAAACAACTTTTTTCACCATCATTTGATGCTCAAAATTCATACTGAAATCTCACTGCAGTCATATTGTTTAAAAATACGCAAATATTTTAGAGATGTACATCGATTTTGATATTTTCTTAACAAGACAGTGTTTTACATTGACTAATCACTAGATTCTAGTTCGTGTCTATTAATTAAGTTTCGTGGAGTTCTATCGATCATGCTGTAGTTTGGTTATTTATCTCAGTTACTTAGAGCCGTTTGTACTATATTTGATATTAGGTTCCTGGAGGCAATGACAGGAAGTTCAGATTGACCAAGATTTTGTGTTATTTGGAATTCGTTAACAAGGAATATCCATTACCTTGAGGTGTCACTTCGCTCTCTGAACTGCCTGTGTAATTTTCATGGAATCCTACAACTACATATAATGAAATACTTTAAACTTGATTCAAAATATGAGATTAGATTCAATCAAATAGTGTTACCAGTTGCATTAGGTTTTCAAGCTCATTATTTGTTCGCTAAACTCAAACTACTAGTAAGTAGTGTTTACTTGTTAAATGAAATACAAAGGCATTCAGATTTTTATAAAATATATTCAAGTTAATAAATTGGACATAAATCCATTAGTTCTTGCTCAGTTAACTAGATGTATAGATTGTTAAATTTATCCAAACTGACCCCCGTAAAGAAAGTTATGTCTGTTTGGATTTCGTCTGTAATTGTTGGTATTTTTCCATCGTTGATACTAAAAACTGGGCGGATCGCCTCTATTTCACAATTTAGTCACGAGGTTTTGGTAAACCTGGATTGTATCCACTGAACAAGTAATTGGCCAGCTGGGATCAGTAGTTTAGTAGATAACACGTCGCTATTAAAGGTCAATGATACTGGGTTCGAAACTCAGTGTGAACAACAACACTGGCACATTCAGCTGACGTGTTCTAAATACACTTAAATATCCATCGTGAATATCACTATCAAACACAATCTAACTTCACTAAAGTTTGTTTGATATGTTTAGAGTATTTACGTAGTACATCTAAAATAATCTGATTACTAGTATAATTGTAAAAAAATATTTTTATGGGAGATAAAACACTGAATAGCATCGAGATTAATTCCAAACATTTTGGTGAAATGTTATAACCGACGAATCCTATTTATGTTGATTATAACTAACTGGCTAATTGTTGGAACTGTGACGATTAAAATCAAAATTATTAGGTGATTTTCACGTTACATAATGAGTTGATTGCAGTTAAAAATGTAGCCATTAAATTAGAATTCGATAACCCAAGAGTATCTATCCTGTTTGTCATCAAGCTTGAAGATTTCACTCCAGATAACTTATAGGTTAGTGATTGTACAATCCCCAAGACTTTCTGTCAGATATCAATGATCCTCTAGCTCGCATTTTTGATGACAGCGATCTTCAGGAAGTTGATATGATTGTGTATGAAAAGATGTTAACTATGTAAAGTCCAGACCAAATGTAAATGATCGTATGATATTTGATATATTATTGAATTAACATTTATATATGGTTTCAAAAGTAGAAGTAACTACTTGCTTTGTGAGAATAAAGACATCTGGAAATATGCACAAAATGTGACTCGAACCAAATGTCAAAACAATCACTTCCTGTAGTCTAATCATATGTAGGCTATAAATGCATTCTTTGTTAACTAAAGTCCCTGTAAACGAGACTACTGACCAATTTTGTGAGTCATTGTCACAGCGTAAAATAGAAACAGGCCTTATGTTCAGAAGAGTACGACAGTTATTCATGAAATGCACTTAAATATTCAATATCAGTCTATAAGTGAGAGTTATCACCAAAGAGAAATAACAATGCATTCCCAAACGAAATCCTTCCTAGTCGGAATATGTATGCTTAAAATAAAAGAGTTCACTGTATAATAAAATCAATAGACTGTTTGAATATCGTACACACATGGATGACATATATGTTCTGTATATCAGAAATGAATCTTTCAATTCATAATCTTTTGCTATCAGCAGTAATACTTAATTAGTCTGTCAGCAACAACGTAGAACTTCGTATGTACATCAGTTGAAGTTGCCATATCACATTAGCACACAGATACAATTGTCGATTCAGATCCCATAATGCTAAAGGTAGTAAAAGTATAAACAGTAATAGGAAACATTAGGGTTTGAAGGTGTTCATCAAGGATTATAATCCAGTGAAATAAATTTGGAAAGCGAAAAAGAAAGGGACATAAAGAATTTAGAAGATTAGAATTTAGGAGAACACAAAGAGTGGATGCACCTGCTCAATTGCAAACGATTTTGAGTCATATCATTCAAGGTCTCGAACCATCGGTTGCTATCGTTTCGCGGATCCCAACCAGGTAGTCTACACCTACCAACATGACTCAGTCCACTTGTCAGTGACTTCATGGACTTGTGCCATGTTTTGGTCTGACCGTCCCTAGTTTTCTTCCAACCTATTCCTATACCATAAAACATCGCACGTCGGGGCAGTCGGTGGTTGGGCATATGTAACACGTCCCAGACATCTAAACTGATGCAGTTTCAATACTTCATCAATTGATTCGCCATCCTTACCTAGTACCCGTTTCCTAACAACTGTGTTACTTACTCGATGGTCCCAGGATAAAGGAGCAATGTTTCGAAGATACCTATGATCAAATACTAGTAACCTACGAATATCCTCTACTCTTACCGGCCACGTTTTACTGCCATAAAGTAGGACGGGAAGAACTGCTGCGCAGTAAACACGTCCTTTGGTTGACAGACGGATATCTCGCCTACGCCATAAATGACGCAAGTTGGTAAAAGCTAGTCGAACCTTCTGTATCCGTGCTGAGATTTCGTCACACACCAGACCACAAGGGCTGATGAGACTTCCAAGATAAGTGAAGCGATCGACACGCTCAACTATTTCACTCCCTATCGATGCAACCCAATCCTGAAGCAACATTTTGCATTTCGAGGAGGAGAATCGTATCTCGAGCAGTACCACTAACATTACACCAAAGAGTACCGACTAACTATTTTGTCCTGTCCATCAGTATGAACCTAATATTTGACCAGAATATATAAATGAACCTATCCAGATAGAAAAATTCTAAATAAAAACAATGAACTTACATGAGTTAATAATGATGAATCCGTTAATCTGTCCAATATTTGATTAATTATCGGACTGTATTGAATTGAACTAATATGTGCAGGCGGTGGTGAACAATATTTCAAATCACTATTATTATTATTGTTATTATTATTATTATTATGGCTTGGATCGTTTGACAAATATAAACGATAAAAGTTAATTAAATTAGATTGTCTGTTTATCTCTGATTCTATATTGAAATCTTTATCGGATGATATAAATTTATGCTCATTCAATTTAGGACTTGAGGAGTGACCATTGTTACCATTATCATTATTATTATTATTACTGACCTGGAACAAATGATCATCATCGAACCATGTTGTATGTGATAACAATTTATTTCGTTTAGAATATTTTCCCTGTATAATTGATAGTTGATCATGTTTCGCATCAAAATCAATACTACTATTATTACAATTAGTAGTATTTGTAGTAACATTGATATTTTCATTATTATTCACATTGTCATTATTTATTAATCTAGGTGAATTTGAAAATACTGATGATGATGAAGATGATGTGAAAGGTGAAGTAGTTAAAGAATAGGAAGTACTAGTAGCAGTCGTATTTATATTAGTATGATTAGATGAATATGTGTTATTGTTTAATTGTATTGGAGCTGGTAATAATTTCAACAAATTAGCTGGATTAACAGCAGCCATCGCTGTGGCAGCCGCTGCTGCCGCTGCCGCAGTGGCTAAATAATTCCCATCTAAATTGGCATTTTGAATAAATGAATTCGACCAAAATAATGGATCAGTAAATGGAAATGATGTATTATTTATTATATCATTTAATAGATTATTTGATATATTCCAAAGATTTTTATTATTATTATTATTATTATTATTATTATTATTATTATTATTATTAAATTTTAACTTATCATCAGCGCCATAAGTTTCAAATTGATCATGTCTCTGTTTAGAAATATCTGTGAAATCTAAACTGTTCGCTGTTGTTGTTGTTGTTATGGTGGATAAGTTCATTTTTGATGAATAACTTGTAGGAGATCGTTTCCTAGTGGTGGAAGCGGCAGAGTATGATTTCTCACTTGAATTGTCTAATTTTGATGAAGAAAATAATGATTCATTTTTAACTTTCTCTGCTTGCATCGTCTACAGAAATGAAAAAAAGAAATAAATTCAACAGTTAACTTTCACTGTCAGTATAGAACTTTATGAGGATTGTTAATTTCTTTTTATAGTTTACATCATGAACTAACATTAGTTAGACAAACATAGGAAATTTGGATGCACTGGACAGCCGTTTCATCATAGTATGGGACCCCTCGGAAGTATTCGCGCGCAGTATCGAAGGTCCTGGGCTCGATTCCCACCTGTGGGATCGCGAATGCGCACTTCTGAGGAGTCCCGCACTAGGACAAAAACGGTCGTCCAGTGCTTCTAGACTTCCAATGGTGGTCTAACATCAGTTGATTCATGCTCTCAATCAAAACCTCAACAATCTTTATAACTCTATACTGAGAAACACTGGAAAGTTGTGACCGGTGGAGTTCATTGATATCTAGTATGATAAAGTTACCTGATGATAACACAGAAACATGGTTGTTAAATATAGCAAATTGATTGAAGCTAGACACTTAAACCATTGGATCGTTGATCAGTGATCTAGTGTTTAAACTCCCACCGCGATACCTGAACGTTGACTGTGCGGTCCTCAGTGAGTTTTTTGATACACACTGTTGAGGAATTGAACGAAACGACTATACTGTGTTATCTAACTAGGGTTTATTACTGACCTAAACTACATGACCACTTGACAACTTTTTATCATAATTAAATAGCACACACCTTATTAGTTTTGTCACTATATAAATGAACTTGACTGAACCTACAAGCCACTTTAATCGTTTTCCATAATGATTGCACTACAGAACTTTTCAAATCAATATCCAACAATTTAAGTATCATATAAAGACTTTTTTACACGGCCCTTTGTCACTTTTATAATGCTTACACATAGAACTGTAAACAGTCCCTCAGCACTGATTTGTTCACCCTCTAGCAGGGTAAATGTTCGTTTGTTAATCTGACAGTTTTGTATAACTTAATTTTTGCACTCATCAACAAAAGTTGTCAGCGATTACTAATTTTAAACTAGTATTACACTATAGTGTTTAGTTTTAATTCATAAAAATTACACCAATAAATCAATTACCCACTTGTCTTAAGTAGTCTAAATCTCCAGCTACTAAAGTTAACGCTTTTGATACAAGCTGTCGAGCTTCAATTGACAAACCATTTGCAGGTGGTTCTTTCATATTGATTTGACCTTTATTCTTTTTGGAATTACGTCTACATGCCTTAAGATAGGCACGTATTCGATTACGATGACGTTTCACTTCTAATTGAGGCCATGCTCTTGTACAAATATTTTCTAAAGCTGTTATAGCATGTCGTGGTTGTTCACAAAATGTCACTGTACGATCCAATGTATCATCAACGACACGACGTACAAAATTCTATTGTGGAAAAAAAGAAGTTATAAAGATTATTAATGAAGAATTTTTACATTTGAAATGTATGTTTAATGTCAAATGCTAGTTGTGTATACTTCGTAATTAAATAAAGCCCATTCTGTACAATGTCAGTAACAATGTAATATACATACGTGAACAAAAACAACATTCAGTAAATACTACATAATGCATATATGTGCCTGGTCCTACGTTGTAGCTGACTGACTGACATAATGTAAAACTTACATTTTTAAACGACCTTCTTGTCTCAAATGATTCTTAGCATTACACAGTGCTTGAGTAATGACAATTTATATATTGACTAATAAACTCCAATAATCATTTAAACATTGAGTACTATATTAGGGACTATCTCTGTTTGTCGTCAGTTGTTACGCAGAGAGTTCCATTAAAACCGGGTAGTTCAACAAACATCCCGTGAATCATCTTTTTTATTACTATTTTGACTCTTAATTACTATGATGTAAAATAAAAAACACTGAGGGTAAAGATGGAGATCACTATGCACAAAATTTCCTCATGGTACAGAGATATTGTAGTGTGGCATTTGATCTCATACATACACTTAGATGCATGTTCATAACTAATTAACTCAATAGACATGAGATTTAGTCTCACTGTCCGACAGACGTTTTCCACCATGAAAGCATCTTAGTCTTCTGTCCCAATAGATTGGTGTCTGACGAGATCTCAGCGCAGATCCCAAAAGTTCGTTTGGCCTTTGCCAACTTACGTCACCTATGGCGAAGGCCAGACATCCGTCTATCAATAAAAGGACGAGTATTCTGCGTGGCAGTTCGTTCTATTCTGCTTTATGACTGCAAACCGGATAAGTATTAGTGAAGTTAGACACAGGGTATTAGGGAATTATGGTAAATCAGTTGATGAGGCTGTAAATCTATATCGTCCAAAATGATTGGGCCACGTGTTAAATATGCCTGAACACCGATTGCCACGGCGCACAATGCTGACTAGTTAATAAATTTGTTATAAATGGTGGTTGTGAAACGTGGCCATTAAGAGTGGAAGATACTTGTAAGCTACTGGTATTTGACAACAGATGTTTAAAAAATATTGCTCCCAGCTGCTGGTAACACGGGGTAAGTAATGGTGAGGTTAGACACAGGGTAATAGGGAATGATAGTAAATCAGTTGATGAGGTTGTGAATCTTCATCGACTGAGATGGTTGGGTCACGTGTTACATATGCTTGAACACCGATTACCACGGTGCACAATGCTGGCTGGTGTTGGGAGCAGCTGTAAGAAAGTTAGGGGCGGCCAAACCAAAACGTGGCATCAGTGCTTTCAGTCACTGACTTCTCGTCTTCTAGCCATGTTGGTAGATGCAAACTACTTGGTTGGGGTCTACGTGACTGTTGTAACCAATGGTTGGAGACTGTGAGTGATATAGCACAGAATCGATCACAACGGCTTCCGTGCATACGCTCTTTGTCTTCCCTTAAACCGTGAGACTAAATTTTTATTACCTTTCTTTCTACCAACCAATTCTTTCTTCCCGTACTATATCCTTATATACAGTCTTTCTTCTATATATGATTACCATTGAAGTAACTTCTATGAATTTGGTGTTCATCACGTTATGCTAGTTAGGTGTGGCAACTTGGACCAATGCACATATGTGCCTGGTCCTACGTTGTAGCTGACTGACTGACTGGTCTTAGTCCTCTGTATTATGCGTTACAATCTGTTACATGAAATACATGAAAATATAATCAAAAGTCATAGCTTCTCATAGAAATGAAGAATAATACGAAAGCAAGTTTATGTTGAACTACGTACGTAGACAGCTTATTAATCAAGAATGTTTTCGTGTAATTGAATTAAAGCCTTATTTTAACACGGAACTTCATGATATTGCTTGGAGGCCAATACTGAATTTGGTGAATACTGTTTCAAAACTGATTTATTCAGATAAAGACTAGCATTCATATTTATTTAATAGTCCAGGATGGAATGTTCGAATTAGTCATTCACAATCAGTTAAGAACCATGAAGTATTTCTCAAAAATTTAAGCATTAGGAAGATAATTAAATCAATCATATGAAGTTAGTTTCTATCACATAGTGAAATTACCTATAACTAACCATTAACACACAAGATATACAGAATATAATTACTCGATAGTATGAATCGACTCGAATTGATATGTAAAAAGCACTAAACTCTGGCCTGAAAGTTTAAGCGCAACGAATATGAGTATCTTCCGTTCTATATCACTGACGCCCAACGGTTCTTTAATTGATCTTCATATCGATTCAATCAAAGAGAATTTAAGAACAGTATCAGTTGTTTAATTATTTATACATATCCAAACTGACTGACTACGTTTCACTTGACTTGATTAGTAATAATCATACTAGAATTCTGTTAAAATAACAATTGAATTGTACGAGATAATAGTTTCACTTAACTTCCATAAATATATACATAAATGTTCAATACGAACGTCAAGGCAGTTCTACTGTATGGAGCTGAAACTTGGAGAACTACAACAACCACAATCAAGAAAGTACAAGTATTTATAAATAACTGTCTACGCAAGATACTCAACATCCATTGGCCGGATACCATCAGCAATAGCCTTCTGTGGGAGAGAACAAACCAACTTCCAGCTGAAGAAGAAATTAGGAAAAGACGATGGAAATGGATAGGACATACATTACGCAAATCGTCAAACTGCATCACGAGGCAAGCCCTAACTTGGAATCCTGAAGGGAAGCGCAAAAGAGGAAGGCCAAAGAACACATTGCGTCGGATAATAGAAGCAGATATGAAAAGGATGAATTACAACTGGACGGAGCTAGAAATGATTGCCCAGGACAGGGTTGGATGGAGAATGCTGGTGAGTGGCCTATGCTCCTTCACGAGGAGTAACAGGCGTAAGTAAGTAAGTAAGTATTATCAGAATGGGGATTTGTGGGGATTTTAGTAAATTTAATAGTTGAATTCATGAATCAATCTAAATTAGAACACTTGGAAGCACTAGACGGCCATTTTGTCTTAATATGAGAATCCTAAGAAGTTTACATTCATGATCCGGCAGAAAACAGTCGTCCAGTGCTTCCAGGATTTCCATGGTTGTCTAAGTTAGACCGACTTATGAATTCAACTATTAAAATAAGTGCATTAACTGAAAAAACCGATGATTTCTGTTCTTCAAGGATCAACATATTTTTTAGAATCATTATGACAAGTAGAAGTCTTGTGCTGATGATGTCGTTCACAAGAACGATGAAAGCTCCACGACCAAACCATCCAGCTCAGAGAACAAAACCCCATCAACATTATGACAAGTCCTGATTTCTTTCGTAGAATATCGATAGTTGAAGGACAGTGATAGAAACATCAAATCTAAATTTTAAGCACATCACTTGAAATTAATTAATTTCAACTTCAAATTATTAAAAATCAGACTTGAACATATCTGTATAGGATTGTGGAGATTATTTAGTTTTTGATTGAGATCATGAACTGATTAAAGCTAGATCATCATGGAAAACCTGGAGGCACTGGACGGCTGTTTCATCCTCTCGTGGGACTCCTCAGCAGTGTGTGTGCAAGATACCGCTCGCGAGAGTGGAAGTCCCGGGTTCGAATCCCGCCAGTGAGGTCGTGGATATGCACTCCCGAAGAGTCCTGCGATAGGACGAAACGGCCGTCCAGTGCTTCCAGGCTTTAAATGGTAGTTTAACATCAATCGCTTCATGATCTTAATCAAAAATTGAACATATCCATTTTATCCGTGTTTGAGATCTATTAACTACGAGACGCTTGCGTACTTCAAACACAAACTCAACCCTCAAGATTTCCAAGATCACACAGTGAACCCAATACTATGTCAGTTAATAATAAAAATCCTTTGCAAATTATATAATAAAACAATCTTCATTAATGAATTCATTAACTAACATTATACGCAGCAGTTGTAAGCTCCGATGCAGATGATAATTCATTATCTATTTCATCTTTATGATGATTAACATTCATTGTATCATTGAAAGTGTTCCAATTACCGTTATTCGTCAATTTGTTTGGTATATTCTCACGTGTGGAGCCTTTTTTAATCGATTGTTTTGATAGTATACGATTTGTAGATAGTTCATTTGTCAGTTCTTCTTTATTATTTTCAAACTGTTCATATGAATTCATCCAATGTGAATATGTTCTATTCATATTTACTTGTTGATTAAAAGATTTAAATTTTGGATAATCATGAATTAATTCATCATATTCATATGTTTTATTAGTAGTATAATTATAAACTGCTGATGGTTCAGGAATCATTGAACCAACTTGAAGCGTCTAAGTGGAAAGAAAAGTAAAATCAGAATACCGATCAATAATTTTAATGATCATTCCATTGATTCTGATTTGAGATTACATAATTTACAGGGCTGGACTATAATCAGGTATAAGATAACAGATCTCGGATTTTGTCACGAAATTCACTCATCCATTTGACTAAATAGAGTTATGCCATTATAGCTGATGTCAGTTCGTGATGAAAACTCTAAATCTAATTCCCAAGCCTAACCATCAATTGTAAATCATAATTCTTATTCCTCACATCGGTTTATAAACCTCATTTGGTCTTAGTTATTAGGTGAACATTCTCAAGGTCAGTCTAGCGTCACCCTAAGGTCATTCATAAATTATGGTCTCACCGATATAGTCACTAAGTAATAATAAATGTCGTATTCTTTAGTAATGGTTAAATTCTATCTATTAAGTTGCAATATAGCTACTAGATTAAGCGATCAGCATTGCTAAACTGATCGCTAGAATTCAATCAACATTAAGAAGTAGGCAACATGACATTGTTTACTATGATGAAATAATACTTCACTGACGACCTTGAGAAGGTGAAGTTAAGCTTTAGTCAATTAGAGTGCAGATGATATGTACCAATAATTTATTGAATAAAAACTCAAAAAAGAATAGTTAGTGGTAGATTTTGGAGTTAGAATTCAGAATTTCGACTAGAAAATATACTTTTACTTTGTACTACCAAATGATCAATTAGTGAGTATACACCTCAATCCTATAAGAGGTTGGTCATCATATGAAGTGTTAACGGTGTTTGTTGACACGAATTCGGGACTGATATAAAACATCTATTTCCTCAAGATTGTAGATATATTTTTTTTTGCTAAATATCAACTAGTGTGAAACCCCTATGTCATACTTGGATTCCTTTAATCAAATCAATATTTAGGGTAAAAATTATGGTCGAAATAATAGCGTCCTTCATATATATAAGGGAACTAAAAGACATAGCTATCTGGTTCTTGTGATTAATTCTCCAAAGTTATTAAAATGGTCATCTTTTTCTCCACACAAGTGATGTCCATAAAAAAGACATACTCAGAGTGAAATTAATAATTGTATATATCTTTTGGAAAGGTTTCCTATAATCAACCATCTTTACTTCTCAATATAATACATTGGTATTGGCAATTAAAGTATAGTTCTTCACATATTTACATGAGTAAGTCAACTGATAGAGATATGCGATCTAAATTCGAAAGATTAGTTCAGCGAAGAGTTCTCTTTTCGGCGAATTCATTTTCAAAGCTGTACAATCGCAAATATATATATATATATATATATATATATATATATATATATATATATATATATATATATATACTTATTTTTACAGGATGATAATAATACTGATAATAAACTTCTGTTAGACATGATGACAGTGAGGTTAAATAAACAAAAGTATTAGAATAGATTAAAGTTTTCACGAGATCATTACATCAGTTTACTATTTATACAACTGTTCAATTTGATTATCAAATATATTTCCAGATATCATTTCATATAGACTATCTTTGTCTGTAAACAACTAAGAATGTTTAGGGATGAATGGTAGCTAGCAAGAGAATCAAGGACGAATGTTTTGTCCTAGTTGGGACTCATTAGCTGGATGTATCTGAATCGTAGAAGTGATGTTCACTCGCGGAATAAATGAAGAATTCGATTTTTTTCTCAAATCATCTTAATGATATCAACAAATGTATCTTTCGTAAAAGATAACAAGAAACGATGGTAAACATTACAGAAATATATATTTCACTTATAATTATTTAGCCTCAAGAAAAAAATATCAGATTTAACTAATCTACTTTGAAGAATACTTCTTGAATGGATTTTTGCGAGATAACTGAAGTAAGTATCCACATGATTTTATTAAATATCAATCGCAAAGTTTTAAGCATATTTCAATTGAAGTAACGTGACAACGTATTGTAGATCACCAAAGTAGATGATTTCTGCTGAATGATTGAGGGCCTACTCGAGTTATACGAGAATGGTGTGACCAACAGCTAACGTCAAAGTCACACTTCGTGGTCAGCACCCAATGTGGATTATCCCTTCATCATACCGAGGTAATATGGTTGCTTTCAAGACCATACAATACAAAGGAAGTTATTACAGAAATATATTAATATTAGATGGGTTTTGTGGATACGATAGTAATTTCAATGGTTAAGATCATGAGTCAGTCGAAGCTAAACCACCATGGAAAACCCGGGAGTACTGGACGGCCGTTTCGTCCTATTGTGGGACTCGGCAGTGCGCGTCCATGACCTCGCCTCCTGCGGGGCCCGAACCCAGGACCCTACTGGTTCCGCGATCGAACACCTAACCACTAGACCACTAAGCCGGCATCCGATGGTGTTAATGTCCAACTTCAACTAATCCATGGTGGTCTAGCTTCAACTGACTCATGATCTTAACCATAGAAATATATTAGTTAAATTAGGTACAGGCGAAAGCGTGATCACCACCGCATGGGCCAGTCCGTGACGTACAACTAACTGATGCGCGTTGGTTGTCCTTGACCTAGACGGGGATCATCGGTAAGCTGTTCGATATTCAGTAACCCAACTGCATGATGATTTGACTAGGGCTCTGTGACATTTCATTGGCTCTACAGTGTTTGACCAAAAACTATCATCCAAATGAAAACTATTCAACTAACTGAACTAGGTGACATTAGTCTCTCAACAAGATCCAGTTAAATTATATCAAATGATTAAGGTAAAACTAGATACAATTTATTAATTGATTTCTTTCACTGTTAATAACTCGAATTCTATGAAAATTCATTTGTCCATTAGATTCTAAACACCATTTGCGTACATACATATGGTTGTTTCGATCAGAGTTAGATCAAATAGCCTACTTATTAAAAACTAATATACCTCCATTAGGCTTTTATAGGTAGAATCTGATAAAAACAAATCTATGATTGTACCACTATTGAGATGTTCTAATTTCTTTACATCTTTTCTAAATTAGAAAATTAATTTTTCTGATCTACGATATTATTGATTATAATCAACTTTGTACACCATAATAATAATAATAGTAATAGTTAATTGTTGAATTCATGAGTCAATTGAAGTTAGACCACACCATGGAAAGCCTGGAAGCACTGGACAGCCGTTTCGTCCTACTATGGGACGCCTCAGCAACGCGCATCCACGATCCAGCCTCACGAGATTCGAACCTAAGACCTATCAGTCTCACACATAAGCGTTTAACCACTAGACTACTGAACTGGTCGGCATTCAACAGTGTTAATATTTAACTTCAACCAATTCAATATTAATTTTAATCAGAAAAAAAAAACTACTTACATTATCATCCACAGTTTTTCGTTTCTTTACATCTATAATACATTCTTCTTGATGTTTCTGTTCTCCATTCAATGATAAACATAAATTATTTTTTATATGATGATATTTTAAATTTGTTAAAGTATTCATTGAATTTGAATGATTCCATTGATTTTCAACAGTACTACGATGACGTTTCTTTGAAGTAGAATTTATTAAAGATTTTTCTGTTGATTTTATTTCTAATGATTTACAACGTATAGGTAAATTGTTATTTTCATGAATTATACTACTTTCTATATCATTTGTTACAGTAGCAGTAGTAGTAGTAGTAGTAGCAGGAGGAGGAGGAGGAGTAATAATAGTAGTGGTAGTAGTAGTAGTAATAGGATCTATGATATTAGATGATGTTGTAATTGTATTCGTAGTATTTAAATCAATTGGAGTCAATTCAGAATATTGTATATCTGAATTGAATGATTCACAAATGATAGAAGATGAAGTCTAAAATGAAATGTTCACAAGAAAAAAAAAGATCAAATAAATGATCCAATATCATTTGAATAGATCAATTCTTTTATTAGATATATCAATATAATCAACTTACCATTAATGATAAATGATATAATGATAAATTATTAGAATTATTAGAATGAAACATTTCAATGTTGATAATATTACTCTTATTCTTATTAAGTAGATAAATCGAATCACTTAGTGAATATTTATACAATTCATTATAGAATGAATTAAATACTCATCAAAAACTTTGGACAACATTTAATGACCTAGACTAATAGTACTAATCGATATATCAACAGTGATATATATATATATATATATGGTATATATGGTGTATACATATATATAAGAATAAAAAGTGGAGTTTCACTCAGAAACATACTTTATCATATGTACTGTGATCAGTATTAACTCATCTATCTCATGTACATTGGTCAAGCCACCTTAAATCAATACTACTACTACTACTACTACTACTACTACTACTACTACTACTACTACTACTAATAATAATAATAATAATAATAATAATAATAATAATAATGGTAATGATACTAATGTGACTTATTCAAGTATTGTTAAGATTAAGAAAAATTATTGATTTTATTGGGTTATGTTTTGTTGTTGTTGTTGTTGTCAATTCCATTGTGCCTCCATTTGAGAAACTATTTAACTAATTGATTCATCATAGATTATATAAGTTTTATATTTTGCTGATTTTTCAATTGAATTCATATAAAGATAACTATTTAGAAAGTGTAAAAATTTATTCCATTCAAGGCATAGTACTAAGAAATGTTTAGAAAAAGTATATCGATATAGATATACATAGATAGATGATATGGATTTATACATTCAATGTTCTAACCTAATTAATTGACAAAACAATAATGGTTCACAGATAACAATTGTATATATGTATATCACTTTTATAGGTGTAAAGGTTGTTAACAGATTGTTATTTGTACCAGAGTAGTAGTTGCATAACATTATATATGTGTCATATATGTATATATAAGCATTAATTTCAAAGGTATTGTAGTGTATGCTACTAATGTCGATAGATATAAGTAGCATGTATCATCAATCGAAAGTAAACTACTTGGTCGTAGAAGGTTAAGATGATTAAATAAAACAGAACGAGAATAATGAATGATTAAAGTGAAAACCAAAGAACAATGGATTGACATTTTGTATATAAAGTATTTATTGTATGATTCTCAGATTTTATGAAATGATTCTGTAATTTTATATTCAAATACATTCCGTTTTCCCCATTTATGTGTTCTTGTTCATTACAGTACTATGGAAATCTCACAATTTATTGATCACTGGGTGGTGATCAATGTCATATGTGTCAAGTTCTGCTTAGTCTAGATCGAATGCTATCGAGGTCTGTATCTTACACTTGTTGGTAGACCATGCTGACAAGGACAATCGTGGAGAAAATACAGTTGTTCTCGAAGGGAAGCCTGGTTTTTGGTGGAATTCTACCATTTTCGAACAACGATAAGCTTACTACACTTATATGCTTTCCAGATGGTGGAGAAGATTCGTAGCACAAGTGGATGATTTTGGTGGAGTTTTTTCTCTGAGCTAGATGGTTTGGTAGTTCAACTTTCATCGTTCTTCTGAACGACATCATCAACACAAACTTCAGCTCAGAGAACAAAATTCCACCAAAATATTTTTTACTGAAACACAACAAATAATCAAATTCACTTGGTGTTATTTTACATGTATCTTCTCATTGTTATTTAGGACTGCAATTGATCAGTCTCATATTAACATATGTGCATCCTATGCGGATTGCCTCGATATAGCCTTAAGTCACAAGATTTCTAAGCAAAGATGGATAATGGCTAGCCGTGGAATCCAAGACACGCGTTTTATCCAATTTCGAACTCGTCGGCTGGATGTACCTGCATCCGAGTTGGTGTTCACTCCGGGACTCGAACCCAGTACCGTTCGCTTCAAACACCATTACGTTATCCACTTAGCTACTGAGTCCTGATAGCCACTTGCTTTTTGCAATGTGGCAAAGTTTTAATTCACTTGATGTTGTTTTACTTGTATCTTCTCAATGCGATAGCGTTTGAAGCGAAAGGTACTGGGTTCGAGTCCCGGAGACAACATCAACCCTGAGATGCGGATACATCCAGCTGACGAGTCCCAAATAGGACAAAACGCGTGTCCTGGATTCCACTGCTAGGCACTATGCACTAAATAATCAGTTAAAAGTGATCTTAGATTAAAATATTAAACCATGACTATTATCATTGAATAGTTTCTTAATTCTCGCTGACTAGTTGGCATTTATATATTTAGTGTTCATTCTTGGCGCTGTCCATCAATTCAGTTACAGTGATTTAACAGTTGTATATCTGGCATGAAACATTTAAACTGAATCTACTCAAATCTAATAAAATAAAATATTCATTTACTTACCATAAGTTGAATATTTCAAGTAATTTGCATTATTTCCATCAGAGATATATTGATGATAATTAGTACTAGTAAATTTAGTGATTGATCTTCATATCATCTAATAAAGTAAAACATGAAAAAAAAAAGATACTGGGTAAATGATAGTACTTAATAAGGAAAAAAGTAGTAAATACTGGAAACATAAATAAATAAAAATGTGAAAACAGGAACTGGCTATCCTGAAGAATCCAATTCCATTTTTACCAACTAAAGTTTTAATTCATTTTGTATTGTTTGTTTAAATCTTTCCATTGATGTTAAGGACTAGAATCGATCAGTCACTTATCTCGATATTACCTTCAGTCACAAAGATGGATGTTGGCTAGCAGTGGAATCTGGGATGTATGTTTCATCCCAATTGCGACTCGTCAGCTGGATGTACCTGCGTTCCAACGTTGAGGTCCACTCCGAGACTCGAACTCAGTGTCGTTTGCTTTAAGTACTAGCTTGTGCAGTGGGGCGAAGCTTTAATCCATTTTGTATTGTCTGCGTGAATGTTCTCATTGATGTTTAGAACTGAAATTGATTAGTCTCTAGTGGTTATCAGGACTTAATTACTAAGGATAACACGATAGCGTTTGAGGAAAATGGTACTGGGTTGGAGTCCTGGAATGAACATCAACATTGGAATGCATGTACACCCCATGATGAGTCTCAAATAGGACGAAACGTTCGTCCTGAATTCCACTGCTAACCGCGATCCATCTTTGCTTATAATAACTGAAGTTTGTTTAATGAATAGATACCCTTCACCACAGCCACAATTATAAAATTCCTCATCGACAAAACGGCAAGTATGAATAATGATATTTCATGGTAAGGACTGTGTTATAGTTGTAGGTGTGAACTTCTTGATAAAGAATCTCGAGTTATTCATAATAATCTTTGATCAGAGACTGGATAACATGGCTCATAAGTAGTGATAGTAGCACAGATGTAATAATTCTGTATGTTCCCACAAATATTGAATTTTAATGTTAGTCTACACATTCGATTCCTCAATTACATTTGTCTCTGTTAAACTGTAATTTAAACTTAATTGATAAACACAAACACAAATGATTGTTATGATAACACAGAGAAATTCTAGCCTCATTACTACTCAGTTAAAAACAGGTCAAGTTGATAAGGAATAAAGTTAAGTATTGTATACACTTTTTACGAGATAAATAAAGCTTTTATGGTTCATTGTGAATTGTCGTATTATAAAATGTAATTGTTTTCTGTATAGGAACTGATTTGTACGATTTCAAATCATTCTCTCCTGGAAACCATTACTTGAGTATAGTTGAATTCAGTTACTATGATCGTCCCATATAGGTTATACGCGATGAAATCTGTGAGCAATCATTTCATGATTTAATTTCGATATCAACAGTGAAACTGATCAGATTCGTGATTGAGATCCAAAAACTAATTGATGATAACCACCATTGAAAGCCAAGAAGCACTAGACGGCCGCTTCGTCCTATTGTGGGACTCCTCAGTGGAGCGCATTAATGATCCCGCCCGTGGGACTCAAACCCAGGTCCTTCGGTCTCGCCCTCAACCTCTAGACCACTGAGCCAGCCAGCACCCAACGGTATTAATGTCTAACCTCAACCAATCCACTAAATTGCGCCACCTTCCTCCATGGTATTGAGGTAGATACCTGTCTCTACACCGTTGGATGCCGACTCAGTAGTCTAGAGGTTAAGCGTTCACGCGCGAGGCTAAAGGCCGTGAGTCCGAATCACGCGAGTGGGATAGTGGGTGCGCTCTACTGAGGAGTCCCACAATAGGACGAGACGGCCGTCCAAAGCTTCCAGGTTTTGAATGGTGGATTAGCATCAATCGGTTCAAGATCTTAATCAATAACTTAATAATCTCCACAACCATATAGCGATGATAAGATTCTGACAAGTAATAACCATATACTTTTTTTATTGATGCACCATGACATTGAAATCACATTTGCGAGTCTGACTAGTTCAATCTAACAACATCGGCTCAATAATTCTAGATATTCTTTATGTTTAGTTTTCACCTATGGATATTCTTTTGATTTTTATCCTGTTAATTTTCTTCCCCACTGTGTTGATATAAATCTTGATAACATGAACAGATGTATATTTGTTCATATTTTACTGAATTACTGACTGATCGATTGGAAAAAAACAAACTATTCCAAGTGAATTCATATGCTGAATAAAAATCCTAAATATGGTCTATTTCAACAATGTTTGATTACAATATGATCCATATATGTTCATATATATTTGTATTGTTCATAATTTTAGATAATGGCTTTTATACATTACTGTCTATCGGCAATGAAACGTATATGTTATCAAGTGATTTGCAATAGTTTAGTTGAGTGGAAAGGATTTTTAACTACAAACTGAGATTAATCTTAAAACTACTACAAACTACGCAAAAATAAACAATAGTTTCATCTCAAAATGGAATTCCCTCTGTTAGACGTATGATCTAAAAGAGGATATTCAATTTTTGGCGGTTAGGATTTAGTTATTTAGTCGTTTGATAAGCAATTAATGACGTAACTCTTCGATTGAAATTAATTTTTGTTTGAGATCATTAATCGATTGATGTTAGACCACCATTGTAAACCTGGAAGCACTAGACGGCTGTTTCGTCTTATTGTGGGACTCC